GCACATCTCTTCTATCTTTGTTAAAATTTCTTTTATTTGGTTCCCGTTCTCCTTTATTAAACTCACAAATTTTCTCTTTCCCTCCTTTTTCCATATTTTTTTTTTTTTTTTTTGGGGGGGGGGTTACGCCTGGCAAGAGGGACCCCATATTATGCATACTGCAAAATTGCGTGTTTCCCCCCGCCCCTTTCCCGGTAAAAAACCCCGACCTTATTATAATATCATCCCCCTTTCTTTCTTTTCTCTTCTCATTATTCTCCTTTTCCCCCTTTTCTCTCCTCTGCCTGGGGGAACCCTTTCTTCCTTTTCCGCCTTTCTTCTCCTCTCTCTTCACCTTTCTTTCTCTCCCCCTCCTTTTTCTCCGCTCCGGCCTTTTCTCTCCTCCCTCTTTTCTTTTCCTTTCTCTCTTCCCTTTGCTTTCTTTTCCCCCTCCTTTCTCTCCTTTTCTCCCTTTTTCTTTTTCCTCTTCCCCCTTTCCCCCCTTTTTTTAACCAGGGGCACGTGCCCCCTGTGCCCCCTGCAAGCGCGTAGCCAGGATTTCATTTTAGGGGGGGGGGGCGGTAGTGAGCACGCAAAGCGTGCGAATCACATAAAGAGCGCGCGTAGCGCGCTCCCTAGGTGGGTGGGTGCAGGGAGGGGGGATTCGCGCGGAAGCTTTGAAAGAAGACGATTCGTTGTACCTTTCTCGACTCATAATCCTTGTCTGAATTCAGTCCGCCCCTTCTGCGCATAGCGCGGAAGCTTTGACGTATTATTAGACAAAGAAGACGATTCGTTGTAGAGTTCTCGACTCTTAATCCTCGTCTGAATTCAGGTTCCCCTCACGAGCGAAGCGCGGAAGCTTTTACGTTTCATTAAATCATTAGAGAAAGAAGACGATTCGATGTACCGTTCTCGACTCTTAATCCTTATCTGAAGTCAGTTTCCTCCCCTCCCGCGCAAAGCGCGGAAGCTTTGACGTTTCATTAAATTATTAGAGAAAGAAGACGATTCGTTGTACCGTTCTCGACTCCTTTCCCTTTTTCTTCCTACGTCTTTTTACTTTTTTTCTTCTCATTCTCTCTCTTTTTTTTTTTGGCCGGCGTTTTTTTTTTTTTTTTTTTTTTTTTTTTTTTGGGGGGGGGGGGGGGGGGGGGGGGGCGACCGCCCCATCGCCCCCCCTGGCTACGCGCCTGCCCGCGAATTTTTTTTCCGTACTCGAGAGAGCAAAAATCCCATGTGCGCATGCGCGTGGACTTATGATTTCTCTGCTACTTCCCATACGAAATGTACATGTATTCGCATGTACTGTGCACGATTCGCGTTCTACGAGTAAACGATGGCATAGTAGTCTTCAAACACAGACTCTGATTTGCCAGTTTGACAAATCAATATGCGTATGTGTCGCGATGTGCTTATTCAAGTCTGTGTAGTTGTATGATTCAGACCCAGTAGTGCATATGGAAATACATTGCAACTTGTATAGAATGGTATAGTAGTCTGCAAGCACAGACGCTAATCTGACAGTTTGACAACATACTAGTAGTGTGCTGAGAAGTACTTTATTCAAGTCTGCGTAGATGTATGATTCAGACCCTACTGGTGCGTGCGTTAGAAATGCATCTCAATGTGTAGAGTGTAGTATAGTAGTCTGCAAGGACATAATAATATATTGTGTATTGATGAGTAATGATTTTATGCAAGTTTGTGTAGTTTAATGATTCCAGACCCCATGGTAGGCCTATGTATTGTGCCACTGCTCTCTCACACTCTTTCTCTCTCTCTCTCTCTCTCTCTCTCCATATCTCTCTCTCTTTCTCTCTCTCTCTCTCTCACGCACCAGTAGGGTCTGAATCATAAAACTACTCAGACTTGAATAACACTATTTTGTCAAACTGTCAGATTAGCGTCTGTGCTTGCAGACTACTATGCCACTCTGCAAGTTGAGATGCCTTTCCAATACACGCACCAGTAGGGTCTGAATCATAAAACTACACATATTTGAATATAAAGCACTACTCAAGACACTATGTTGTCAAACTGTCCGATTGGCGTCTGTGCTTGCAGACTACTATACCATGCTATTCAATTTGGGATGCATTTCTGTAAGCACTAAAATGTCTGAATCATACAACTACTCAGACTTGAATACTAGTACTATTGCTACGCACGATATATGCGTAATTGTTTTGTCAAACTGGCAAATCAGAGTCTGTGTTTGAAGACTACTATGCCATCGTTTACTCGTAGAACGCGAATCGTGCACAGTACATGCGAATACAATACATTTCGTATGGGAAGTAGCAGAGAAATCACAAGTCCACGCGCATGCGCACATGGGGTATTTGCCCTCTCGAGTACGGAAAAAAATGCGCCGCCTGCCCCCCCCCCCCCCCCCCCCTGAATCCGCCACTGGTCACACGCCGAAGCAATTTGTCTGGCCATGATCTTACTGTTTCAGATTGAAATTAGGGCTCAAACCGGCATATACGCGGGTCTATCCGGATATTGCGAGTATCATATTGGACTAATGCGTTTTTATACATTGAAGGCATTTTAAAACTATTATTGTATGAAATTTTAACTAAATAATGCTAAACACCCTGCTTAAGGTGAGATCTTACTCTTTACTCCCATATATATATTATGTCACATGTCGAAGCAATCATTGTCTGGATCTTACTGTTTCAGATTGAAATAAGGGCTCAAACCGGCAAAATATAGTTTACCCGCACTATCAGAAATAATTAGACATAAATCCGTTTTAAAATTTGAAAGCTTTTAAAACTATCTCATGACATTTTAACTAAATAATACATAACACCCTGTTAAAGCTAGTGAGATCTTACTCTTAACACCCATACACTGTTTCAGATTGAAATTAGGGCTCAAACCGGCATATACGTGGTTTACCAGCCCTACCGATTAGCTACTCCCGTTTGAAAATTATATATCACAACTATAATCTGAGATTTTCATGGTCGCAGCTATTTGAAATTTATCAAAACTAACCGGGATCACCGGTAAATTTTTATATTTAAATTTTCTCGAAAGCAGAAGTGTTTTGATTTTCTAGTGCTTATATTAATACATCCACAAAATATATCAAAATTGTAAAAAATCAATATCCACCCAATTGTCAAACTTTCCGAAAACTTTGTATTACCTTTGAGCCAGAGGTCCCTTCTGTCGAAACCAGCGGTGGCATGCGGAGCCAGGAACTTGTTCTGCGGAAGAGTATAGCTATTAGAAATCGATTTTGTTTCTGCATGCTACAACTTAAGTCATATTCCGCCACACCGCCAACAAACAAGACAATCACGATTACTACAACAACACAGAACATTATTATGACACACTAACATAAAACATTGAGAATAGATACCGAAATATCTGTTCAAATAGTTTACCAATATAGGCCTACACTGTGAAAAGGTTGGGCAATATTTTTTCAACACTTTGCGCCCAACGTTGCGGCCAATAGTCAACCTAACCATCTATTGACATTTTGGAATTCTTCCGATACGCCAGTTTGAGCCCTATAATTCAATCTAAAACAATAAAACATAAAGTTTCGACATGTGACCTGTATGAGAGTAAAGAGTAAGATCTCAGCTTTACATTGGTGTAGGCCATTATTTAATTAATTGTTATCAATTTGTTTTGTTTAAACATCAAAATATTTTTCTTTTACTCGATCTTGTGGCCGTTACCGTCAGCGCATATTTTTTTTTACACAACTGTTTAGCCATTTTCGCGAAAAAATTCCAAGAAGTGCTCTGGTGAAAGAGTTTAGTCGTCAGCGCACTTATTGTGCAAGCACGTATACGTACACCCATGCAGGGAAGGGAAAATGATAGAAAGGGGAAAACAAGGATGGTGGAGAGGATATGGAGAAGGAAAAACGAGGCAATACATAAGGAAAGAAAATAAGTCAAAGGAAGAACATAGAAATACATAATTGAAGAGCTATAAGAGGATCATAGATCTAGATCGACTAAGCTAGAAAAACAGGGACATATAAAGAAGGAGAATTAAAGGAAATCTATCAGATTATGACGAAGGAGAAAAGGATAGATTGAAAGAGAAACAAAAGAAATACATAAAACAAAAGAGAAGAGGTTAGAATGAAGGAGAACAAAAGAACAACAGAACGAAGGAGAACTGCTGGGGGATAGATTGCCTGTGGAAAAACAAAGAAATATATAACGAAGGAAAAAAAGGATAGATTGGAGAAAAAAGAAAGAAATACGTGACAAAAGAGAAGAGGATAGATTGAAGGAGAACACAGAAATAAATAATGAAAGAGAAGAACGGATAGATTTAACCCGAAACAAATAACGAGTATGTCATTATTATATGTGCAGCTCCAGCAATCCAACACTGCTAAGGGTAATGCTAGACGCTGTCTCTAGTCGTTTGCACATTTGACTGAAGTGGTTAAACAGTTGTGTAAAAAAAATATGCGCTTACCGTCAGCCGTGGTGCGTAATTTTTTTTCCTTTTCGGATGTACGATTTGGAGACACTGTAGTTCGAATATTTGGTCGCTAGCCTCCTCCTTATGAGCGCGTGTTAAAGATAAACAACTTTAGTAGACTCTACTGGTAATGCGATTGAATTGTGAAGGAAAATGTGTGGAAAGGATCAGAAACAGTTGATCATGTAGCATGTAAGTATTGGTGTGCACTGCAAGGTTCTGGAGTCATCAAAATCATAATAAATTTGACCGAGTCTTGGTAAAGTAACAAGCACTCACATAGAAAGCTATATATGGGACAACACACATGGTGTCGGGGCTAGTACTACCTTGATTTCCTTGTCTTTCTATGCTCATTACTCAGCCAGTATACATTTTCTTCCAAAATTGTTTGGCACATGTCATTTATTTGTAATCATGAACATTCAGTGTAAGTTTCGTTTGATTCTGTGAGATTTTTTTTTTTTTTTTTTACCATTAGAGGTCTAGATTGTTAGATCTAGACCCTCTACTGCCTACTGGCACTGGAGTTTAGACCCTATCTGATTGTGCATGTAATCATCAAGGCCTAGAATCTAGACCTTGACCTATTTCAGCATTTGCCCGATACCAGATGACTAGCTCGTTGACTATGTTCACGAAGAACCTTATTAAAGGCCCACTTAGCTACTTGCTTCCTATATATAGAAAACAATGCCTAATCGGTGACCATTGGTCCCCCATCGATCAGAGCTGAATTAATCAGCCACCTCCCAGAATCTTCCTAGCCAAGGCAAAATAGGACAGACGGCCTTCAGTTTACACCAAGAAAGTGGCAGGTAGCCTAATCATGACTTTTATAATTTGTACCTTGTACCTTATTTTCGTCTCTTCCGAAAGGTCCGCTAGGAACTATAACTGAAAGTAGATCTAGTCTATAACTTGGCGTGACGAGAGTAGAAATTTGTGTATTTCATTTGCCTTTGGTTTACTTTTTGTGAAGACTTAAAACCAAATTTTCTGTCTCTTTCGTTCGTTAGCCTCTTATTGGGGTAGGGTCGGCTCTCTCTTTAGAGACGGAAACCGTCTATACACATTCCCTTGATAACGCCACGGCCATTTCAGGTCGTATTGTTATGCCCCCAAAATCCCCCAAAATGTCATTTTACCTCGTGCATATCCAATTGTAAATTAGGCCTAGGCTATAATACATCGGTTCCACTTACTAACTTGACTGAAATAATCCGTTTAATGGTACCTTTTAAGGAAATTATGGGTCAAAATCGACATCCATGTTGAAAATCTTGCAAGCTGTGTTAAACTTTCGCTGCGCATGGAGTCATCTAAATCAATCTCATCCCTTCTAGTCTACGCCAAAGGCAAAATGATTATGAAGGAAAAACTGTGCGCCATCTACACGTTCGTAATGGCCTTATCACAGTTTTTCCTTCATTAAAGTTTAACACAGCTTGCAAGATTTTCAACATGGATGTCGATTTTGACCCATAATTTCCTTAAAAGGTACCATTAAACGGATTATTTCAGTCAAGTTAGTAAGTGGAACCGATGTATTATAGCCTAGGCCTAATTTACAATTGGATATGCACGAGGTAAAATGACATTTTGGGGGATTTTGGGGGCATAACAATACGACCTGAAATGGCCATGGCGTTATCAAGGGAATGTGTATAGACGGTTTCCGTCACTAAAGAGAGAGCCGACCCTACCCCAATAAGAGGCTAACGAACGAAAGAGATGGAAAATTTGGTCTAGTGAAGACTGTGCTGGATTTGATGTCCACGTTTGGTTGAGGTAGCTTGTAGCTAGGTCATTCCAGAGTTTTACAACTTCAGGGAAGAAGGATTCTGTGAATGGTGTTGATGAGCACTGAAAGACGGTCAACTGTTTATCATGTGTCAGTCTACTCCTTGATCCTTTCCTCTGGAGATAATCTTCTAGTGGGATATCTAGTTCGAGTTCTGCATTATAATCATTTTGTGGAGTGTAGTTGGCCTTTGGATTCGTTCGTTCGTTCGTGTCTCCTTAGATCAAGATTACTGTAATCTTGATCTTCGGAGTAGTTGCTACAACCGGCCGTGTCAGACACGTTGCCCCGGGGTGCGAGATAGGACTCTTGTAGCGTGCCCCCATTTAAAACAATTATACAGTTACAGTTAACAATACATTTAATTAATAGTATGAAACTATTAAAATTACTCTCACGTTACGGGAAAAAATATTGCATATACATATATTATGAATCAATTGATTTGGTCGATCCAGTTAGATGGCACAAACACGGCACTACTGGACAGAGATCCTAATAATTACAGAGCTTGGTCTTGTTGCTTTGGATTAGGCGTCTTCTCTCTACTTGAACCTTGAACCTTGAAGAATTACTCTCTTTAAAGCGTGAACGCTGTCCTGGAGAGGGCTGTGCTGTGTTGCGTGCTGTTGGTGATGTGCTGTTGGTGAAGTGATGGTGGTTGTTCTCCGTGCACTATATACAATGTGCAGGGTGCAGTGTGCAGGTGGTGCAGGTGTGTCTCTCGTTAAAACATCTTCAGGGGCAGGGGCGGCGCCATAGTCTGTATGATGGGTAGTGCCGCTCCCCTAAAGCCAAGAATTGTATTTGCAGTGACAGCGTTGCTTGGGAGAGTGTTCCAGACCCGGACTGCTCTGAGAAACATGCTGTACATGTAGCAGTTAACTCTGCAAAATGGTTGGGTGAATCTGAAGTTGTGGCTTTGATGTTGTGCTTGTTGCGGTCTGGTGATGCCTGTGATAAGTCGGATGTCAGGAGGCAAGGAGATCTGGACAAGTTTGTGGTGTACATGTACTTTGAAGAGCATTTCGCGTTGATTGAGCAAGCGGCGGTGTTGTAGCGTGTCCCAGCCAAGAGATGACAGCATGGTGGTAACACTAGATTCTCTGCTATAGTCCTGGAGGACGAATCTGGCAGCTTGTCTCTGTATGCTGTCTATGAGTTTGATCTCCTTCTGGGTGTGTGGATTCCATGCACTTGAAGCATATTTCAACTGGGGTCGTACAAGCTGCTTGTATGCAATTTCCTTGACTTTCTGCTCACATTTCCCAAGGGCTCGACGTACAACACCAAGAATTCTTGCAGCTTTCGCTTGGATCTTCTGTGCATGGGTGTTCCAGCTCAGATTGTTTGCCACTGTGACTCCGAGGTATTTATAGGAAGTAGCTTTGGGAACTGCTTTCCCATTGATGTTGAAGTCAAATGTCAAGGGATGCCGCTTCAAAGAGATGCACATGTGGGCACATTTCTTCACATTGAATGACATATCCCAAAGGTCTGCCCATTTCTTCTTTTATGTTTTCTATTTCTTGAATTTTATGTGTATTATTCATAGTAGTTAAATCCTTTTATTCTAGAACTTCAAGTCGTTTCTGCAGATCAATTTTGATTTTACAAGTTTCTAATGATTTGAGTGTAGATTAAGCCAAATTTTAAAGCAATCAGAATGCTTTGAGCTATGTTTCTCCATTTCCTTTAACAGTCGATAGGTTTCTAAAGAAAATCTTCACAAGATGCCAAAGCGGACTCCGAAGGGTATCTTTGGTCTTCCAAGTAGAAACATGCTCTTCTCCTTCACACCTCGTGTGGGTGATGAATGGCCTGATGAGCAGGACGATGATGGTGATGACTCGGACTACGAGCCTGGACGAGATCTCAACCTATGGTAGAAGACATACCCAGAAGCTCTGATAGGTAATTATTCTCATATCTTCCAAACTTTACTGCAGTGCGTAATCTTTGTTGTATGAAGTAGCATTTACCAAGGAAGAAGAAGAAGAAGAAAAGCATCTTCTTAAATGACATTCTTGTTTTATTTTTCATCATTGGAAACTTGGTTGAAAAAAAATCTTTTTTTTTTTTAGATCCTCATAGCTGTCAGGCATGATTTATTCTGTCTTTAGGTCCATGTCCATTTCCATTTCTTGTGTGTAATAAAGTTATTTTATACTCTCTTCTTTCTTGATGATGGCAGTGACGTGTCAGAAGAAGGGACATCCTTAGGAAAACGTAAGAGGAAATCAAAGACACCTAAGATCAACGAGAGAGAGAAGCCCAAGAAATCAAAATCACACATGAAAAAGAAAAAGAAAGCATCTGAAAGGACATCTGAAGGGAGAGCAAGTGTTGAAAAGACTGTGAAGAGAAGAACAATTGTTGAATCCGGTAGGGATATTACTGCAGTGGGTGAAGGGGATGATCTATGGGGCCAGAGACTGCCTGTGATTGTGTTAGAGAGGGTTATATTCTTTGCTGTATGTGAGACGGGTGTCGTTCCACTTCTCTGCAGGTAGGTGTAGGTACTTTAAGGGTTCTAGCCATTACATTATACACTAGATGCTCATACCAAGAATTTCCTCAGAAGCAAAATACAAAGGCGAAAACCTACCAGACGGTAAATTTTACCTCATAATTAAGGGACTAATAAAGTAATCACAGGAAATATATGTCAATACATACTTTAAAGAAGAGATGCATGATATTGCATTTGATTTTTACCTACTAAATTATTAAAATACCTACTGTATTATATTATTAAAAAGTTGTAATGTGGCCAGTATGGCACATCAATATTTCTAAAAATACTATTCCAGTCCCCTAAAAAGACCTCTAAATGGGCACAGGGAGATCAGCTCACTTGCTCTGCTGTAGAATTCATGCTGCCAGCACCAGTACAGAGGTGTACTTCACTTGCCTTGTTAATTATTAAATCACGGCAAACTATGTCGAAGTAGTGTGATTTTTCATATATTTAGGGCCCTTTCTTTGTCAAAACACAAAGCTCATTTCATTAATCACTTCCAAATCTTACTTACATAGGAATATTGACAATATAACCTTGACCCTTTTCCTCTTAGAGTTTCCAAAGTGTGTCGTTTGTGGAGAGAAGCAGCCAAGGCATCCTGCTTGTGGCATCATGTTGCCCTTGACAACGGACGGGTGAAAGCAACCGATGCAACCCTAGAATGGTTAACTGCAAACCGAATCCCACCACAGCTCAAAACAATCAACCTCAATTCATGGACCAAACTAACTGACAGGAGTTTTGTGGTAAAACATTTCTCTTATAGTTCAGACTGACCTACATATTCTTTTAAAATTGCCATTTAAATTTGTGCGTAACTAGACAGTTGAGAAAGATTTTTTTAAAAATATTGATTCTAGTAGCATACATTATTGTAAAATGTGAAAAGTTGTATTTCTATTCATGGCTCAACTGTACTTTTTTCTTTTAGTACCAGTTAAATTAATACAGATTCACCTTTTAACATTCTTTTTTTCCAAAGTTATTTTTGAACGCAGCATGCTTGAAGATTGCTTGTCATATCTAAAAAAAACTGGTGGGACTATGGAGCTCAAAATTGAGATTTCAGCTTTATAAGCCACAATTACGACATACAGTATACCAAATTTGGCCAATTTGAGGGGAAAATGTTTATCTCATTTGGCGGCCTACATACATGTATTAACATATAGGTGAATCATGTAGCTGTCATTTCTTCATAAGCTTCAAACTTTGACCCTTTCTATTCAGGCTCTGGTTGAAGCGTGTTCAAACATCCAGAATATCAGCGTTCAAAAGTGTGCCAAACTGACCAACCGCTCAATATATGCCATCAAAGATCACTGTCCGAATCTCAAAGAACTTGATCTGGGTTTCAGTGGGGTAAGTTTTGCCATATAACATATGAGTACATTACAGATGATGATCAATTATGTTAGTGAATTTTAACAGAGTTTTGTAAAAGATACCAAAAGGAATTAATACAAGTTTTGACTAAAATCTAAATGTTATCAAGCCACCTATTGTTTAACTAATTATCAAACTTATTTGATGAATATTGCATTTTTATTTTTTCAGAGTTCCTTGGCTTCTTCCCCCAGTGTAAGGGATTTATTAAAGGAGAGAGGAGGGACATTAGAGGGGCTTCAATTAGCTGGATGTTCTATCATAAGTTCAGCTCATCTTATGAGCTCTATCAAGGTAAGTCTACAAAGCATTTTTATATGGAATTTTCAGTGCTGTAAACTCCAATCCTGCCCAAATTAAACAGGTTTTCGGTTTGTTTTGATTTTAAGTTTTCTTTTCTAGTTTAAAATAAAGATATAGATACATTATTTTGATATCCTTAAACTAAAAGTGTTCCTTAGTAGAGGGAAATGGTAGAAGCATGTTTTTAGCAATTTTTGGTATTTGGCATCTCTTTTTCTTCCCCTTCTAGTCGTTCTGTCACAATCTTCGTCTGCTAGATCTGTCAAATTGTCATGTGACCATTGACTGTTTGATGCTGCCAATAGAAGAGATGCAGAAAGGATGTCCTCTCTTAGAGATCTTAAGATTAGCAGGGATTAGGGTTCAACCTGCTAATGCATCAGCTAAAGCACAGGTATATATATGTCTTGTTCATGAACTCAATAACTTCATTATATTGTCTGTTTGGAGCCAGTAAGGTTTTCACTGGTGTTGTTATCTTGAATTTCAATCCCATCTCGGACCGTCATGTAATATTTGTACTTTTTATAAAATGGGATCCCGGATCGTCCAGATTCCCAAAATTGAAAATACGGATATCTGTTTAAGGCCTACCTCCCCAATAAATATCCCTAGCCTTCAAATTGTCAAAGCCGGCACGCCTAGGGGTAACTAGTTCACAAAGTCTTTATTGCTGTTTAAACTTATACCAAAATTACTTTGTAAAAGACAGTAATTGTCCTAAAAATCCCTAAAATATCTGACCTGGCTTTTATGTCATGAAAGAATAAAGGTCAACAGCTTAAAAAGCGGAGAAACCCGATTATGCTATTTTTATTGCTCTAGAAATGCATCTACCAAATACAATATTACAAGTCTTCTAAAAAGAAGTAAATAAGTATCTACAAAATCAGTCAACTGTAAAGAGCTTGTAAAATTGTAGACATATTTTTAGGTATGAGCAGAAGCAAAGGTTCATTAATGGAATTATACTGGTATTTTAGAAAGAGGTCAATAAGTATGATAATAATTATATATCCATTTATATAGTGCAGCTACTATATGAATATATGCTAAGGTATTTATCACCCTGGCTGTGGCTGAGCTGCCTTGATAAGGTGCTAAAGCATTCAAGGAAATGCCTCCTTCACAGGGGCAATTGTAGATGAATGTCTTGCCAAAGGACATTAGTATCGCTGCGGGACTCGAATATGAACCCTAGTCCGCTGAAGTATCTATGACACCTCTACGTATTAAAAATCAATCAATTGTAAACAAATTGTAAGATTGTAGAGGTACAGTGTATATTACTAAATACAAAGTAGACGTGTCATAGTCGAGTGGTTTAAGCACTTGACTTGTCGTGGTTCGATTCCCGACATGGCAATAATGTCCTTTGGCAAGGCATTAATCTTCATTTGCAACACTCGACCCAGGTGAGGTATGTGGGTACCTGGCAGGAATTAATTCCTTGAAATGCTAGAGCGCTGTAGTGGCAGCTAGGCTAAAGCCGGGATAATAATAAGTGCGCCTCGGAATAGAATTTTTAGATAGACGGGGCTATAGAAATGCCTATTATTATTATTATTATTACAAATAGAAATAATACATGATAATCAGTCAATGTCATGCAATATTACAAGTCTTTTAGAAAGCATCAGTGCCTGCCCTATTTTTCAAGAAGATGTACTAGTCTATAACATGAAGCAACTTATAATGTCAGTTAATCACCTAAAGTGAATTTTTGTTTACAAATGAATCAAGATAATGATCTATATGCTACCTTTTACCTAATCTTCACATTCCCAAGAACATTCAGATCTGAAAATGCCTCTTTCATGAAATGAACAGAAGCTTTCTGTATTTTAATAATGATCCCAAACAGAACAAATGATGAAGTTTAATGTTTATGGTAGTTCCTTTTCATTGAATATTATTAAATGCTTTTTTTTTTTACTCAGAGGGAAGCAGAAGGATTCAGTAAACTCAAAGAGCTGAGTTTAGCAGTAGCCGATAATGTTGCCTGGCAGGTAGTATTACCTACTAACCTAGGCATCAGTGATGATTTCCTACGCAGAGTTCTCAGGAATTCACCATATCTCAAGCTACTTGACCTCAGAGGATGTACTTTGATTAAAGTGGAAACATTACAGGTACACATCTAAACGGATTTTACTGCACTTCAAGATAAAGACCAGTTACATGTATGATCATACGATTGCATTGTGAAAGAAACGTTGTGGAATGGATCAGAAAAGGTTGATCATCTAGCATATAAGTACCTTATTGGTACTGCAAGGTTCTGGAATCATCAAAATGATAAGAAATTTAGCCCAGTCTTTGTAAAGTTAAAAGCACTGTACACAGAAAGATGTATATGGGACCATGCACACATGCGCGACACGTGCATTTATCTCTCACAGTCCAATAGATAAACTAATTTACCAAATACATCAATTAGTAGGCGGTTTCCTGGCAAAAATTTTACCATCATGTATTAGTCAAAACATATTCTTTCACATGATTGGTAATAAAGAGCTTCCATTTCATTTTTTGAAATTGGGGCGTAACCAATACTGGTCTTTACCTTTAAATGTTAATTACAGGCATTATTCACTATCTAGGGTAATATAATATAATGCATTGGAAGTGTGTCGCGGTGGTTGTAAGTTTCGTTTCAATGAATTCCTTTTTTGCCTGAAATTCCTTATCTTTGGCCATCATGGTACCTTTTTTTGGTTGCACAAGGTTGGCAGCTCAGATGTAGCACCTCCATGACTTTGTGATTGTTCTAAGATGCACAAACTCTTACTTCTCCATGTTTAAAATATCTGTGGATATTTGGGGTCATTTGAACCATGTGCTACTTATAAACTGGTCCAACCCCCCTCCCCCCCCCCCCCCAAAAAAAGGGGGGGGGGGCCTGGTCAAATGTTTATAGCATAAAGGTCCAAATGTTAGTAGGTCAGTGGTTTTAATTTTTTTTTTTTTGGGGGGGGGGGAGGGGCTGGATGCATTACTTGGGAATTTCTTCTCATTATTATATATTTTTTATTTTTTTATTTCACAGGACCTGAATGTTGAAAACCTTGAGCAGTTGTACATATCTCGCTGTTCCTTCACAAGATCTCAAGGATTTGATGGCATGATCTCCTCTAAGGTATGCTTCTTTTTATATTGTTTATGCTTCTAGACAAATAAAAGATTATATGACATATTTTACAGTCAATTTATAACACTGACTTGTTTTCAAACATTACTTCTAAATACTACACTGTACATAACTCTAGGCCTAATCCAAAACTAATCTATTCCCAATCGCAACCAAGACCTTATCTTAAATTTTTGACAAAGCATCTTGTCAGGTCTCCAAATAGTAATTATAGCTTTGGTGAGATGTTAAATAGTTCAAGTTTGGAGAAAGTAACCTGGAAGTGTATTACTGCATTAATATTTAAATTAACTTTGAAAGAGTACATTGATTTAATCATTCAAATAATTTTATTTCCCCTGTCTTTTTGGTCTGTTTTATAGTGGAGTCACAGTCTAATTGAGCTGGACATATCTTGGAACAACTATTTCGAATCTTGCCGTGATGAATTCATGAAGTCTTTATCCTCAGCTCATCATCTTAGAACCCTAGACCTTAGTGGAACCAGTGTAACAGTCAATGGTGTCAGGTAAACACCACTTAATCTATTATCTCAATATTGCAAGGCCTAATTACCCTAGGAGATAGGGGGCTTTAATCCAAGATATCCCGGTAGGATGTGAACGTTCATGTGGTTGGACGAGCAAGTGTGCACTTGTAAAATGGCCACTGGATGGTATGCTCCCCAGGGAGTGGAAAATGTGCATACATTGTGTGCGGGTAAGCCTGAATCCGATGACCGGGGTAATAATATATCTGTAAAGTGCTTAGGCACATCGTCGAATTGATGTATTGAGCGCTATATAAACACAGAATATTATTATTATTATTATTAATCAAAAATTTTGGCGGGGGAGGATTGAAAAGCTTATCCGGGGTAAAATTTTGTACTGATTAAAAATGATTGATGCCATTCACAACATGTTGGTCAGCCTCAGGGGTAATTTTTCCAATGGTTATTATTAGTAAAAGAGATCTGATAGGCCTGAAAAAAATGTGCCCTGGTGCTAGAAAAATTAGTAGTCCAATTAACCACCATCAACAACAATGTCAATTTCGTCACTTTTTGACCCGAATTGACCATTTACGCAATTTCTGTAATTAACAAGAAATTTCACTGAGCAGGGAGGAATTTTATTGGTTTAAATCGAGCAGACTTTATAATTGGAATGATGGGAGAGATTGATCCTAGGTAATTTTTTTTACGGATTCCAAGAATATTATAGTATTAATGACTGCTTTGAGAGAAATAGTTGTTTTTATACGCTCTCGGGAAGGTTACAATTGTGCTATTGCCCGAGGCGTGCCGAGGGCAATAGCACAATTGTAACCTTCCCGAGAGCGTATAAAAACAACTATTTCCGAATATCGAAGCAGTCATTAATACTTTTATATACCGAAGAGTCAACGTACCAATCAACTGGTAGAACAGGTAGAACTCCGTAACTCAGCTGGTAGAACAGGAAGAACTCCGTAGAAAATAACTCAACTGGTAGAACTCCGTAGAAAATAACTCTATTTGTTAAAAATGTTTACAGTACAGTTGTTAAAATGATATGTGGGGGCTTGCACCTGCTGACTAGAAACATGGGCATGGCTACTTGTAGTCATGTTGCATGTGCGTGGGAAGTTCTCTGGGTTATTTGTGATCTCATTGAAAACGTCATTTAGTTCCCGCAGTTCCTGGCTTTCACTACGCTGACCACCAGTAGATGTTGATGACGATGGTACTGATTTCGGATCAACAGCTGCCGCGATACCATGACCTATGTTTGATGACGATGGTACTGATTTCGGATCAACGGCTGCCGCGATAGCATGACTCGTGTTTTCTTTTGCTGTACTGCTGGTCATAGCATAGTGTTTGAGACTGGTCTCCGCCTTGTGTCAGGAGACACTCATGATTTCTCTGTCTCTGAACCCAGCATTTTGTAGGGTACTGATGCTGGTTGCCCTTAGGCAATGGTTGGTGTAAGCCTTGGTACCTGCATGAGATGAAATTGTTTTCATTTTGTCTCCGATGCTGTTTTTCCCTAGGGGTGCATTACAGTACCATTGATCGGAAGAAGATGGATTGGATTTCAACTCACGCTTGGCCTGTGCATTTGCCGGTCTCTGCCAAAACTCTTACATTGTGGATTCAATTTATAGCGTAAGAAGGAGGCAACAGGACATCGTGGACCATTAGTTGGAATCATGACACCACCTTGGCTTTTCTGTAGTTTATCTGCACGGTTGTTTTTTGTGAGTGTATCTTTCAGAGTTATTGAGCATTTTCCCCCTTCATCACAAATGTCAAAGCTGTCAAGTGTCATTTCACGCAAATTCTCTCTACCTCTATTACAAAAATACAACATGACGTTCATAAATACCTTGTCTTGTAGACCTACAGGATCATCCAAATCAAGCGAACCTTGGATTTTGTCCATGTCTTCTGCTGAGATAGCTGGTTTGTGAGTTACAACACCCTTTCCTTCCTGTTTAAGCATTGCTGAAAAACACTTACAAACTCTCGTCGAGTTGGAAAAATCTTCATGCTTGATGATATCTATCTTGTTACAATTGAGGAAATGACGCTGAAGTCCGAATCTAATAGCTAACATTGACTTCTTCATGTAATAACTTCCGTTCTTCCGTCTAGCACCAGCGTAAAACTTTTGCAGTACATTGTCCAGCTCCGAATTTGAAAGTTTGTTTACGCTATCGAGGTCTGTGTTGATAACTTGCAGGAAGTCTTTGAATATTTTCATGGAGAATTTAACAGAATTTTTTGTGTTCTTGCTGTCAGCAGAATCAATCAAGTCTCGCATTTGATCTTAATCAAGAAGCTGAAATCTTGGGAGCGTTTCTTTAGCCATTTTGGCCTAGTACAGTCGGTCGTCTACGCTGTCCGCTACTAGGGAGTCGGGCTAACTCGCCCCACGGGACATCTCGCCCCAGCGAGATATCCCGACATGATTTATCGATCGAGAGATACCAGTAGTCTGCTAATTTACGGCCAGGACAAAAGAATGTGAACATACATCAGCCATCTCGTCTAAAATGTATAATGAGCACAAACATATACACATTGGTATCTCTTGATCGATGAATCGTGTCGGGACATCTCGCCCCAGTCTTTGAGGTTGGGGCGAGATGTCCCGTGGGGCGAGTTAGCCCGGATTCGCTGCTAGTTGTATTACAAAATTGGTAAAATATAGCGACCAATTCTTCGCACACGTACGGTATCCGCAATCGCTCAAACCATTTTCTAACATGTAAACCTATGGGTATTTCACCAAGACTGAACTATTTTCCCAGTAACCATGGTTACTGGGATTTTAGAACTATTACATGGGTTTGGAATTTGATCGGGGATTTTACAGGAATAGTTAAAGTTTATGAATGCGATTTCGACCAATCAGATGGCTGGATTTCTTAAGTGAGGTATATAAGAGGTCATATCGACCTCAATCTTTACCTTTAGGTCACTTACATGTAAATAGTTATTGGGGATTCAAAATCGAGGGTAAATGCACTCAGAACTATTAATGGATATATTGGTTTGTCACCAAATTTTTATGTTGAAATATGCACTGATTCCAGAAAAATCCATTCTGTGAATTTATTTACACCATTTTGACCACTCTTGCCATTTTGGAGTCACAATACAAACAATTTGAAAGAGGGATTTACATATCTCAGATATTTTGACAAAGACTATGCATCCTTAGGAAATAAAAGACATGCCTGGTGGACATTGGTAACTGTTTAGATCCCTTACATAAAACCCACCCTTGAATATGCTTCCATCATTTAGCAATTAGCACACTTCAATTACCTGCAATATGAGACCAATAAATTAGAATTCGTTCAAAAACGGGTACTCAAAATAATTGTAGGATATGTGCATTATACAAGCCCTTGCCACGACTAATCTTCCTACCCTCTCTTCTCAAAGAGATCCACTTTTGTTAAGTTTTGGACAAAATTTCTTGAAAATCAGATCATCACAAGCACCTAATCCCCCTTTGTAAGTCTGTTCTTAAGCACAAGACCATTGCGTATTTAAACATGGCTGGTTTTCCGACAACTAAATGCTACGTTTAGTATCTCATTCTCACTCTCTCCCTCTCCTCAGGTACCTCCCCCTGTAACTTTATATCTCTTTATCTCTTTGATATCATGTGTGTAGGCCTACTGATGCAGTGTATTTTCTTTGTATTTTTCATTTCTTTTGTACATTATTTTATATATTGTATTATTCTAGTTGTAAACTGGTCCATTCAGCATGTGCTGCCGGTCATTTCTTGAAACTTCTTATATACAAATAGATAATTCAATGAATAAATAAATAAACCCCCAATAATGACAAAACCCACCTATCCCTGGATTCTCACTTCAATGATGAGAGTGTGTGGCTATGTCAGCTACATCAATGTCATTTGGCTGACCATTATTTTATATTTGCCACTTTAGACCCAGGTGTAGTAAGTAGGTACCTAGCTGTTTTTATTTTTGAAATACACTGTGCACAGCCTAGGCAATAGGCAACAAAATCAAAGTACTATGGAAAAGATTTTATAATATATTGTGTCTTATTATCTTCATTAGATCCATCCTAAAGGGCTGCACAGCTCTGGTGTCATTGAAGCTTACATCGTGTCGAAGTCTGCCTAGAGGATGCAAGCGCTGCTATGAAGGAAAAAGCCTCAGGAAATTACTCAAAGAACTTCAGAATGTCAATGATGCAGATGGAGATGATTAGAATGATTTCTGTAATAGTGTGGTAGACTTCTCAGGGAGACAAAGTGTTTATATAGAAGTCACGTTCATGTATCTTGTGACAATGATGTAAGCATCAACAAATTATGCCAGGAACTTCAGAAAGCTCCTGAAAGCAGGCTTACCTGCTGCTAGAGAGTAGAGACACATGTAGGGGATTAAAGGTAAAGACCAGTTATGGTCATGCGATTGCATTGTGAAAGAAACGTTGTGAAATCAATCAGAAAAGGTTGATCATCTAGCATCTAGCATCTGCAAGGTTCTGGAATCATCAAAATGATAAGAAATTTGGCCCATTCTTCGTAAAGTTACAAGCACTATACACAGAAAGATGTATATGGGACTACCCTATATCTCTCACAGACCATGAGAGAAACAAATTTACCAAATATATGAATTAGTAGGTGGTTTCCCGGCAAATTTTTTATCATCATGTATTAGTCAAAACATATTCTTTCACATGATTGGTAATGAGAGCTTCCATTTCATTTTTTGAAATTGGGGCGTATCCAATACTGGTCTTTACCTTTAAGCATGGTCTACGAGGATAACTTCCTCAAGAAGTTATTAAAGGAAAAATCCTCTAGAAATAAAAAGATGATTAGAAACATTCAAGTAATTTGGGGTCTCCAAGGGGTAATCAATGACTGATGCAAGGGTATAAAAGCTTCAAGAAATTATTAAATGATCTTCAATGTGTTTAATAAGGTAGATGAAGATGATATGTAGAAAGCTCATACAGGGATTCTAATCAGTGATAGAAACAAACAGTCCTCGGTAAATTAGTCGAGTTGAAAGTGATGATGATGAGGATGGAAATGATTATATAATAGAGATGTTCACTTAATTTCATAACAATTCGAAGAAACTCTTTAAAATCTACTTGGTGGTCTTAACAATGTCAATGGCATTGTTTTAATCCTTTAATAAAACAAACAAATTCTGACTATTTATTGCATAACTGGTAATTTTTGGATATTGCTATTGATGCTTGGTGCTCTTATAAACCAGTGGACTAACTTTAATGACTAAGTAATGTTCAATCATAAACTTGTATGCCTTCATCAATACTGGCTTAAGCCTTTCAAATGTGTGTTAGGAATCTCAGGGTCATTTGATAAGCTGCTTTTTTCATGATGGCGTAACAACCTATTTTGGATATAAACACCAGATTGCATTTTATTTTCATTTTCTATAAGGTAATATTATATACATTGTAGATATTGACAAAATTTGTTTGTTGTTCTGTTTGTAAAAAGTTTAGGTGAGTTGTATCAAATTTTTCAAATAACACTATGTGACTGCATCATTCCTACTGTAAAATGTGCTAACCTGCATGGCTAAGATGCACATACCGTTATGCATGTCTTTGGTGCATACAAAGTTAAGCCATGATGAAATGCACATAGTTTCATATTTCAAGGACATAGGTTTTAGATGTGCAATCCGCCCACTGGAATGTGCATTATGCTGTTGGACTGTGTGATTCTTCTCTTTTTGATCAAGTTACGGTAGTTGCTTATTTCTCAACTTGATATTCATATTATAGACCTGTTTTTGTAAAAGAAATACATGTAATACATGCTCATGCATAGTGATATGCACTCCACTCGGTTTAATAAGTCGCAATGAGCCGAATAATGAACTTGAAAAATATTATGCGTTATCTGATTTAATCTGTGCAGATGGGATGCTGTACAGCTTTGTTGATGCTGATACAGCTTTGTTGAGAGTGTATTAAATGGGCATGTAGATGCTTTATAGGCTTTCTTGTACCAACAGAAATAATTTTATGTTTATTAGACAAATGATATGACAAATTATCCATGTATTGGTGTTTTTAATCGACAACAAAACAACATGGAACATTTGTTGCAATAAATGTTACAATTTAATAAATCTGAATTATAAACTTATTAAAATAAATGCAAAGCTTATTATGGGCAATGTTATATGCAGTCTTCTGTTTATCCACAATAAAGAAACGGATTACAGACCGTCAGAAATTTAGGATAGATTTATTCAAAAAAAGTGATTTCTACCAATTAATTTTTGGAGATCGTGACATTTTTTTCCCCTTTAGTTTCAAACTTGAAAATTTGGACCCAATAGCTTTGTTTAAAAAAAAATTAAAATAAAAGAATTTCAATTGCGAGACTGGGATAATAATCTGACATTATACCAGGAAATAATGAATCGCGTCAAAAAAATACACAGTGAATTATATGTCACAATATAGCTTTGTGTAAAACTTTGATATGGAAAGATTTAAATTGCATTCTACTATATTTATATGTATGCATAAGAGATCATTCCTCTGGATCTCTTTTAAGTTCAAATAACTTATTATAATAGACCATTTTTTGTAATGTTTTTACCAAATCTAACGCATACGTCTTTGTGAAGTGCCTCTATACAAATTATTTCATTTATCTGTTACAAATAATTGTATGTCAATAGTCAGAATATGAATTCCATAAATTAGCTACTGCTAGGTAGGACAAACATGGCAGGACCGAAGGCCCGCAAGACCAAATATGAACGAAATCTTTCTTTTTTTAAGTAAAGAAGTTTATATCGAGGAGTTGTTTCATACAAAATATGGCATTGTCATTGTTTGTAATTAGTGTGTTATATTTGTTGTATTTACACGGTTTGTATATTATATAATTATATCTTTATGGTTAAAAATGAGATGTCTGCTTCTGCTACGCGTCCTTTGTCTGCATATTAAAGGGAATGTACCGTGACGAGACTACGTGTCTTTCCTGACTCAGGGCCAATCGGGTATATTAGTGCTTTCCATTTAGGCACCCGACGTGGGCTACAATGTGTAACATCATATTTATTCCCTGCGCAGCTTCTGGGCCCACGTTCCCTTCCAAATCACATGACAGGAGTTGAGGGCAATTTCTGTGAATCCCCGCCACGTCGTGAAAACGGCAACGTGCAGTTTCCTCGATATCCCTGTTATCATTCTATTATTTTTTTCTTTCTATCTTTCCTATCATGTTCATCTTTGTTTTTTCCTTGTTTCACCTTCTCTTATTTTATTCCTTGTTTTTATTATTCTATTTTTTCCTCTTGCTATCCTTTCTTTCTTCCTTCTCTTATGTTATTCTTTGTTTTTATCATTCTATTTATTTGTTTGTTTTATATCCGTATAAAAAGACATCATGCATTCAGTAAAATAATAACAAATAAAATAATGAATTACAAGATAAAAATAAACCAGCTGGATAGCCCATAGAATGTTGTTTTTTATGTTTTTCTTTGTTTCTTCCTTCTATCACCTTCTCTTATGTTATACTTTGTTTTTATCATTCTATCACTTTCTCTTTCTGTCTTTCCTTTATGTTTTCTTTGTTTCTTCCTTCTATCACCTTCTCTTATTTTATTCTTTGTTTGTATCATTCTATCATTTTCTCTTTCTGTCTTTCCTTTATGTTTTCTTTGTTTCTTCCTTCTATTACCTTCTCTTATGTTATTCTTTGTTTGTATCATTCTATCACTTTCTCTTTCTGTCTTTCCTTATGTTTTTCTTAGTTTTTTCCTTGTATCACCTTCTCTTATGTTATTCCTTGTTTTTATCATTCTATCCCTTTGTCTTTCTGTCTTTGTTTTTCTTTGTTTCTTCCTCGTATCACCTTCTCTTATGTTATTCTTTGTTTTTATCATTCTATCACTTTCTCTTTCTGTCTTTGTTTTTCTTAGTTTCTTCCTTGTATCACCTTCTCTTATGTTATTCTTTGTTTTTATCATCCTATCACTTTCTCTTTCTGTCTTTCCTTTATGTTTTCTTTGTTTCTTCCTTCTATCACCTTCTCTTATGTTATTCTTTGTTTGTATCATTCTATCACTTTCTCTTTCTGTCTTTCCTTATGTTTTTCTTAGTTTTTTCCTTGTATCACCTTCTCTTATGTTATTCCTTGTTTTTATCATTCTATCACTTTCTCTTTCTGTCTTTGTTTTTCTTTGTTTCTTCCTCGTATCACCTTCTCTTATGTTATTCTTTGTTTTTATCATTCTATCACTTTCTCTTTCTGTCTTTGTTTTTCTTAGTTTCTTCCTTGTATCACCTTCTCTTATGTTATTCTTTGTTTTTATCATCCTATCACTTTCTCTTTCTGTCTTTCTGTATGTTATTCTTGTTACTTCCTTGTATCACCTTCCCTTATGTTATTATTTGTTTTTTATCATTCTATCTGCTTCTGTTATCCTGAGTGAATCTACCATCACAGCAGACCACCCACCACAAGGATAGAGAGAGTATTAAAGAGATGTAGAAAGAGGGGACAAAGGGGGCATGAAAACCAAAATCGATGTTTGTAATACTAACGTGGCATTTTACTTCTTACCCCCATTCTCTCTCTCTTCCTCTCACCCTTTTTTCTCTCTTTTTCTTCTTTCTCTAGCTTACTTTTTCAATCACTCCACTAATATAAGAAGAGTTGGGTACTTTTTTAAAATGTGATATTATAGGAATGTTTAATACTGGTTGATTATATTTCCACACACATGCAAGGTCACATCACAACAGTATTAACTGAAAAGCAAGGATATGACAAGGCAAAAAAAAAAAGCATTTCAAATCAACTTCAGGTTCTGAAGATTTTAATTAGGAACATATACTAGTAAATAACCAATTACTCTTAAAACATTTTAGTTCAATGAAAGCAAAGTGAATAATCATAACATTCTTTTTTTCCTCATCTTATTGCTGAAATCATTTTCAACCATTTTATTTTTTGTTCAAATATAATTCACTGCTGCTATTAATAGGTTGGTAAGACTAGATATTCTTTTTCTTGACTGGCATCAATCATAACTGCATAAAAAACATAAATGCAAAATCTATTTGCAGGAAGTTCAATGAAATATAACTGTGAAATTTACATTCTATACAAACTGTTACAATTTAAATTCATATCTTCTTTTCCTCAAGTGATGTTCATGACTTGTTTAATACAAGTTGAAATATACACAATTACATGTTTCTCAATTATTTTCACCGGCTTGTAATGATCACTCACATCATCACGTTATCAAATTTGTGAGTACTTTCATAGAACATGCTATCTGATCTACGAAGTGTTAGTATTTCAATGAAATGTTGGGTCACGTAACAGAACAGTGATGGTAATTGATGTAGATGATCACTGAGAAGAGACTAACGCAAAAGAATCATGCATGATTATCTGGACATGATTTTGGGTGCTTTCATAAAGGTTGCCTCTGTCTGAAAGTGAGAAAATACTGTAAACTAGACCAACAATACGTAAACTTTCAGAGTTACTTCCTCCATTTGTTACCGTACGTGCAGCAAGCATGGATATGGCTATATGTCTATATGCAGGCGCGGATCCAGGATTTCTTAGGGGGGGGGCCCAGATTTGAAATTATGCGAGCCAAATATTGGTACGTTATGGTGACCAACAGTGACGTAATGGGGGGGGGGGGGGGGGGCGAGTTCCCCCCTCCCAGGCTTTGACGTTTCATTATATTATTAGAGAAAGAAGACAATTCGTTGTACCGTTCTCGAAAATAATTTTCGTCTGAATTTAGTTTTTCTCCTCCCGCGCGAAGCGCGGAAAATTTTACGACTTATTAAATTATTAGAGAAAGAAGACGATTTGTTGTACAGTTCTCGACTCTTAATCCTTGTCTAAATTCAGTCCCCCCCCCCCTCCCCCTCCTGCGCGAAGCGCGGAAGCTTCGACGTTTTATTAAACTATTAAAGGAAGAAGACGATTCGTTGTACCTTTCTCGAAAATAATTCTCGTTTGAATTTAGTTTTTCCCTCCCGCGCGAAGCGCGGAAGCTTTGACGTTTTATTAAACTATTAAAGAAATAAGACGATTCGTTGTACCGTTCTCGACCCTTTATCCTCGTCTGATTTCAGTTCCCCCCCCCCCCCCCTCTCGCGCGAAGCGCGGAAGCTTTTACATTTCATTAAATCATTAGAGAAAGAAAACGATTCGTTGTACAGTTCCCGACTCTTAATCCATGTCTAAATTCAGTTCTTCCCCCTCCCCCTCCTGCGCGAAGCGCGGAAGCTTCTACGTTTCATTAAATCATTAGAGAAAGAAGACGATTTGTTGTACAGTTCTCGACTCTTAATCCTCGTCTGAATTCAGGTTCCCCCCTCCCGCGCAAAGCGCGGAAACTTTTAATCTTCATTTAATCATTAGAGAGGAAGACGATTCATTGTACCGTTCTCGAAAATAATCCTCATCGGAATTTAGTTCCCCCCCATCCCGCGCGAAGCGCATAAGCTTTTACGTTTCATTAAATAATTAATGATTCGTATTAACGTTCTCGCCTCTGAATCTGAATCCTCGTCTCGATTCAGCCCCCCCCCTCCTCCCCTCCTGCGCGAGAAAGAAAACGATGCGTTGTACCGTTCTCTATACTCTTAATCCTTGTCTGAATTTCAAAGAGGTGGGGTCGAGGCGGCGGAGCCGGCCCCCGGAAGCCCAGCGGTTTTAGGCGTTTAATTAAGGTCAGATGAGCATATTTTTGTGTATACCTTATTATTTTGTGACACTGGCAAGTCACTATTTGGCGTGGGGTCCAGGGGGCGGAGCCCCAAAAAATCCGGGGTTTTAGGCATTAAATTACCGTCAGATGATCATCTAAGAGGCCGCCGTAGGGCCCTAGGTGGAATCCAGGGGGCAAAGCCCCCGGAAGCTTAGGGGTTTTAGGCATTTAATCACGGTCAGATGAGCATATTTTGATGTCTCGAGGCTCTTGATCCCCGCCGTACCTCGGGCCCTGACATGTAGGAATCTCAAGAATCATATTTTTTGCCTGGTTGTAAATTTAGGAATTTTTTTAATTTTCCAACAAACACGTACAAACGTATAATTTACTAAAAAGTGAGGAAAAATTTCGGAAATTATGTCATTTCAGCATTATTTGTAATACACCATTGTGGAATCAGAAATAAACCACGTTCGAATTTGATTTCCCCCAAGCCCCCCCCCCCCCCCTCTATCAGTACGCCAGTATCTCCTCTTTTCCTTTTTTTTTCTTTCCCTTTCCTTCCTTCTCTCTTATTTTTTTTTTTGATTTGGGGGGGGGGGGGGGGGGGGGTTAACAGCCTGGGAGGCAAGGCCCTTTCGGCCCCCCCCCCCCCCGATTTCCTTCTTCCCCCTTTACTTTTCTTCTTCCTCTTCTTTCTTTCCCTTTTCCCTTTCTCCCTTCTTTTCCTTCTTCTCTCTTTTTTTTTTTTTTTTTGCGGGGGGGGGGGGGGGCCAAGGCCCGCTCGGCCCCCCCCCTGGATCCGCGCCTGTCTATATGTCTGTATACATTGCATGTCTATGTTATGACTAGTCTCAATAACAAGCACTTATCATTTTTTATTAAGTGGTAAAAATCGAATAGCTTGTATCTAGAAAAGTACTCAAACAATAACGTGATCACATGAGTGATCGTTAAGAACCATGATAATCTACAATGCCCTATATACATATAAAGAGTCTCCATACACTATTTACGTCCATTAGTATAATACATCTGATACTTCATTACACGAGATAGAAGGAAAACAATTCAAATGGATAAGAATAATTGATGGTATGTCCTACCTTTTCACAAATTAGCCATGATATACCCAGTATGCAGTACTGATAACTGGCTGTCATACAAGTTGTGATCATTATCATCTTTTCAAATCTAGACAAACTTTAGATTTGTCAAAATTATACTTACAATTCATTCATAAAAAATACACAGTTCAGTGTGAGTAATGCCTCTACATATAACAATGTCATATTTCATATAAAACTGCAATATTACACCTGTTGAAGTATTACTTAGATAAAAGTATTGTCTTTTAAAAGTCCACTTCTCTTTAGCATACACATTTCAGATATTTAAAAAAAATACACAGTTCAGTGTGAGTAATGCTTCTACATAAAATAATGTCATTAATATAAAACTACAATAGTACACCTGCGAAGTATTACTTTGAAAAAAATATTGTGTCTTTTAAAAGTCCACTTCTCTTTAGCATACACATGTTAGATATTAATAATCGGGTCTATCTAAAAGAGTAAACAATAGGCCTATTTGTTGAATAAAGAGCTCCATCAAGTACCATAATGATAATTCTATGATATGTAACTATGCTAAATGATTTCTGCAATGTGAAGAGAAAAAAAAAGAGTTGTAACTAAAAGTTGTACTACAAGTTCTTAATTTGATTTGTAATTGTATTGAGATTGCACATATTCCCTTATAGCAGGGCAGCTTTCATTTTATATCGAGTTATATTTTGATCCAGAACTACATGATAATAACGATGGTGGCGATGATGATGATGATGATATGGTAGTAGTGGCGATGATGATGATGATGATAATGTATGATCACAACGATTGAGACTAATGATTGTTCACACATTGTCAGTACAGCGGTCCATACATACATGTACAAATGTCTAGGACCATGATAATCTACAATGTAACTTGTAACTTCTATAGTTTGCATGTACAGGTACACATTAAAATATATCTATTCATTTACATGTACATACAACACTGTCATTCAAGCGGTCATCTTAAAGCATTCATTCAAGTCTTAATGTCAAATGGTGATTAGTCTTGTTTTCAAATATATAGGCTCTAAATACCAAGACAAGGAGTAAAATTGTTATTACATTACATTATCTGAGTCAAGATATTACTGAGATATAAAAAAAGAAATCTGAGACTGAGACTGGTATTGCCATATCACTACTAAACAGGTTATGGTCAGCTATGGTACGACATCAGACATCAGACAACAGAAAAAACATGAAATATAGAGAGTTGATTTCTAAATTCTAACAAACTACTTTGGCAAAAGTTCCAGGAAGACGGTGATGAACATATGGTGGGAATGAACAAGTGACCTCAGTCAGTCACAACAACTCTGAACAAATGATCCCCATCATTTATATCCGTTTTACTTTAGAACTGAAATATAGACATTTGTGGTTACACATTCAGATAAGTGTATATGTATATGAAATTTCTGTCCAACCTCAATCTTGCATAAAATATGCTAAGTAAATATTTGTTTTTATCTTTTCAACTCTTGATTAATTTTTAAAGAAGTAATAGCTGATATCTGCAAACAACTTTTATCAACATAAACAGTGAGGGATCATAACTTGACCCCCCTAAAAAAGGGTTCATTTTTACATATGAATGCCCTGAAAATTTACTTATTATTTCCTAGCCGTTTTATAAGGAAATAATATCAACCTTTGAACCATTTAAATATGATGCAAATTCTATGTGAACCATACATTCTCGTCCATGGTTCCAAGTTACATTTTCCTGGAAGTTGAAAGTGCCTTGAAAGGGGGAAAATCATTCCAACAAAATTGTTTTGATGATATAGGGCGTTTCATTTCAAAATTTTAATACATTTGTGAAAAAACAACACAGGGAGAAATCTATTAGTAGTGACTAAAAAGGTAATCATATTTAAATCTCTAAAGTTGTGTGAAAAGTGAAGTATTCTACATAAGAATAACTACACACTCATATTGGCAAGAGAAATCACATGAAAATAAATATGACATACATGTACCGGTATGTGCCTGACTATTGGATACATTACATTATGTAAAGGATATGTTCTTAGAGTTTTGCATACACATACTTGATTATTATTTGTCTGCTGAGGTTTTTAAAAGATAACATCCATTCTTCCTCTCAGCAGATGCTGTTTGAAAGAAATGTGCATAAATATATCATAATAATACTGCGAGTGCACTGTGCACAGCTACATATAAATATACATGTACATGTATGTCTGCTGTTCATTGCACTTCTGTTCCTTTCCAACAGCTCTTTTAAAAAATACGGCTGTCTGACTATCCATAGGCATAGCTCATAGCATTGTTCAATGAAAACAAAACTGATTGACAGGGTATATAGTGTTCAGTGAACAATAAATCTTTTTTTTTTTAGCAGATCATTTTGATTGAACACTGAGTTTCTCAGGATTTTTCTCTACGAATGTATAATCCTGAAATTTGAGTGGAAAATAGTTGGAGGAAGGCTTCATGAGTCCAAATCAACATGAGCTGGGTTGGTTTTTAGAAAAAGCATTGTTATACAAAAGCTTCAGCGCTAGTCTTGGTTTAAACTTTCCTTTAAAACAAAAAAAAAAACTTTCTGACTGGGGGCCCTTTAAGACAGTATTTGAAACAGATTTCTTCTGCTTTGTATGTTCCAAACAACCTTCTTTTTCATTCAACTCTTTCATCTATCTGAGTATGACTATTAAAATGGACTTTTAGCATGGGGGAATATTACAAATGAATGTTTGATCTGTTGGTTGGACTAGCTATGACTACTGTATTCACTAATCAACCTGCCGACAACTTTATTTACATGTAATGTACATGTATTTGTCTTTGTTAACAGCCGGTTTGGTTTAGCTATTTAAAGAGACACAAGTTTGAATTATAGAGCATATATTATGTGCATCTCTGAAGCTAGCAGTCAAGTAGTTCACATCATCACTTTCAATTTCATGTGATTGGGACTTTATATCTAATGCTGTTTTTAACTGCAGTGAGAGAGAAAAAAAAAATTGTGACAAATTGTATGTATGTCCCGTGTATAACAATTATAGTTCACAATAATATTGCTGCAGATGAAATATTTTTAACATAAGAGAGGAGAAGTAAGATGAAGAGAGAGAGAGACAGCGAGAAAGAGAGAGAGAGGGGGGGGGGCTGGGAGACAGAACAGGGGGATGAAAATAAAGATACAAATAGAAAAATAGACGTACAAAAGAGAGAGAAAAAAAAAGACCTCAATAATGTCATGACATTTCTGCTGCATTATACTGTGCACAAATCAAAGGCATATTCTTGGCAATAATGGCACACCCTGCACAAATCAAAGAAATTCAAAATCTATAATGTACCTTGTATATGATAAAGGCAAAACTTTGCAAAGTTTGAAAATCGGACGTCATGAAAATCGCTTGATATACATATAGATTTCAAAATGTACATGGTTTGCAATGGATTTTCTGACAATACTCTCTAGTTTACGTGTAATGACTGTCAAATACCTAACTCACTTTTACGTTCAAATGCAAAATTAGGTCATGGAACTTCATGTTAATGAACATGTATGTCAAAGCTCCATATACTACATGTATTCAAAAAGGTTACAAGATATTAGTCATTATAAACAAGATAAAATACATGTAGAAGAATAGAATAAGTTACATTTTCTCTAATAGATTACATGTACAAAGGACATAACTTTCTAAACTCCTAGCTGAAAATCACTGATCGACTGTTTCAGCATAGAAGATACATGTGGGAAAAGCTTCAATCCAATCATTTTGGGCTTTTGTTTAGATGACGCCTGAACAAAGTAATTAAATGTTAATTCATTTATTCAAGCATTTGAAACAAAGGCATCAGCATTGCCATTTGCAACCATTCTAAACGAGTTAAATCATCTGTTGGTATCTTCTATAATACTGATACAGCATGGGTACATGTAGTTCATCTGAGTTGGAATATACTTCACACCTCGCATCAATATATTAAGAAGACAAAAAGAAGAAAATATAATCAATACATGTATCCTCATTCTCTCTCCTGGAGATGTAGAATGGAATCACATTCACAAGACAGAAACAAGACATATATTTGGCTCGAGGGTAAATGAGTTGCAGTAACTTGAGATATATACAAATCTGCAGAAACTACACAAGACTGTCAAATAAGATGGGCAGAATACTCTGTGTATCAGTCCTCACGTACATCTTTCACACACTCAAATCAATCTGATGAAACTATGACATCACAAAGCATGTCGTATCCTTAACAACATCTTGTAAATTAATAACATTCTTCATACTTCCACGACCGAATCGTCCAGTTTAGCATCAGTTTTCTTGTTATATTTTCCCTTTTTCTTTGGTTTCTTTTCCTTTGATCCTCGTTTCTTTTTAATCTTCTCTTGAGGAGCCTGTGCCTCTGGTGTCGCTGAGGATGGTGATGAGGATGATGCTAGTGCTGCGTCGGCCTCATCTTGGCCCAGAAGCATAGAATAGCGTGCTGGAGGACGTTTCTTCTGCTTCGGTGCCCGATTCTTGTTCAGATGGCTTAGTTTAGAAGGTGAGGCAGGTGTGTCAAAGGTCACTCGTTCCTGATGAACGATGGAGTCCAGGTCATCAACACTGGAAGCATCCAGGTCATCTGCACTTAAATTATCGTCTTCGCTGGCTATCGGACAAACGTTCAGAGTTGAAAGGTCAGCTGTCAGATCATGCCTAGTGGAGAGAGTAAAGATATTTGTTTAAAAAAGGAACAACAAATGCAACCCTTAAATTATCCTCTTGGAATACATGCAATTCTTTAACATCTACTTCAAAATAGAGCATATTATATTTCAACAAAATCTATTCTAAAAATATTGCTTTAATTAAAACGATTTCTGTTAGCTGTGAACCAATCACTCTAGAAATACATGTGTATAAAGGTACATGTATACATGTATCACCCTCTACCATAACATACATCACACCCATGGGAATTGATTTGTATAACTTTAATGAAATGAAACTTACATTTTACATGTGACAGATTTAGTGAAGCAAACAACAAATGTCATTATGAGTCACAAACAGAAAGAAAAGTGAAAGTTAATTACAACTTTATATCACTTCCTTTCCGTCAAACAACATGCACAAAATAGATCAACTCAAACACCAATGCTTCTCCGCAAAAAAACAAAAAAATCCTCCAAAATGAGAACACATTTGGTATACAAGCATCTGAAACTAGAATTTGACTTTTGTATTAAAAGCACAACCTATTGCATGAATGAACTTTCACAAATATTGCAAGGGATTGACATAAGACTGAATACCATTCGCTATAAAATATTCCATATCATGACATGATCGTTTCTGTTTTACGGTACTACTTTGCTGTGCTAATGATACAGCTTGAGCAATGGATGATTTTTAAAACTTTTTATCAGCTTAACCCTATCTAGCTTGGGGGGAGGGCTTCTAAAGCCCCCCCCCCCCCCTCCCCTCTACATTTTTTGCAATAATTTTTCAACGCAAACAAATATTGCGCTGAAGTTGTAATACTTTTTTTCTTTAACGTCTTGCGCATCTTTTGAAACAAATTTTTCAAAAATCGGACCTACCGTTACAAAGTCACGTGACCTTTTGTCTTTGCATGTCAGCCCCAAAATCACTCAAATATACTTTGCAATGGGAGAAAAGAATAAATTATAGCCTTTGTTGTTTTTCCCCCTACTTAAGCCTCCTGATTATGGCTGGATTTTGTGCAACTATGCATTTCTAAAACCTTGGCCTAAACCCTACATAACCTTTACAGTAGATTGTATGAAAATGAGAAGATAATAACAATAATTATCAAGTTAGGCATCTGTGGAACCATTAGATGGTCTTGGTCTACTAGTCTGCTTCAGGATTTCCTATCAACACCATGTAGGGCTATCGCATCGACTAGGTGTGAGAGACGCTTAATTTCCAGGGTTACCTGCGCAAATGCATGCCCGCCATCATCCTCTTTAACGGGCCGCCTAAGACAACACTTACATGTTGCTGGGCAAGGAGAGGGGACGGAGGAAGGGACATAGATAGATAGATACATAGCTTTATATAGAATAAAATCAATTTAATGATTTACCACAATAAATCAATGTATCTACCTATTATTTGCTAGACCAGCACATATAAGAACGGGTGGCATGTCCCAAGTGAAAGGGGATAAATGGCAGACAATGCTGCTCTCAGGGATAAAGTCGTGAACAGTAAATCCCCAGAAGAAACGTCCCCAAGATAAAGAAACGTCCCCGAGATGAAAAGAAGTGAAAGGCGACCCTCAAAAAATCTTCAAGACCGATATCTTGAAAAAGAAAGGTTCTCGGGTGAGGAGGAAGAGCTTGTCGTCCGTACGAAAACTCTTGTTCCTGTCCAAGTACCATTTCAATGCTGTCACCGGGCAACAGACCTTGTCCTCCTTGACCAAAGAGAAGTCAGAGAGAGGGCTGAGGAAAACCACATTTTCCATGGGTTGTCAAAAAGTACAAAAGTTAAAAGTTCCATTCAAAGAAGCCATTATATACATGTATCAGGGATTATCTGGACTTTGATAACGATTTTCATTGTGAAAGTACAGCCAACATGGGTCACTTCCATTTCCAAATGAAAAGGATTTGACATATTTCCTCTTCATAATCAGTGCCACTCAGAAAGACCCTTTGGCAATCACAGTCAGATATCAGTGGTCTGGAGATGAAATCATTTCAAATTAATATAAAGTGGTGGCTAATTCAAAATTCTAAAAAATAGGGATATAGAGTCAATAATAGAGTCAATAATGTGATTTTCCTCTAATAATAATTTATAACAATTGCAAAAGGAATAATTTATATCTCTTTGAAAGACATGGAGAAATAATAACAGAGGGGAGGGGCGAGTGTACACCCAGCTCGAAGACAATCACTTTTGCATTTTTGTCTGCTCAGCACTGGACTTGAACCCACGGGCATGACGATTGTCACGAGAGTCAGACCAACTCCGCCCCCTCCTACACCAAAAGTGAAGTTTAGTATCTTCAAATATCTTATAACATGCGTCACTGAAGAAACAACAATAAAGATAGGCTACCAGCCACAGTAATTTAGAGTTTTCTAGTCTATTTATCAAGATATGCTTACACGACAAATTCCCGCAAAAAGGGACGGAAGGTTGCCAAACAAGACAGTAACATAATAAAATTGTATTTTTTTATTTAAAAAGTCCATCAACCCTTATCATTATCTGAATTAATCGTGCATTAGTGATGTTATCGTATCTGAATGCAAGGGTGATCCCTCAGACTGCAATCTTTGTGATATTCTGCAATGTTTGTGAAAAGTGTATCGACCAAATACGGAAGCATCGTCTGCAAACTTCAAGATGATGCATACAAGATCATCCGGAGCCCGGATGATCTCTTTGAACTCGGAGTTGACAATGTCCAATACGGCGATTTTAAGCTCCATTTCCTTGCCTAGTATGTTTCACTCAATTTTAAGGCTATGTTAGATTCCCGAATATTTCATTATGTTCGATATTAACGAAGACATTAATTTGTTTGATATTGACTCTTTTGAATTAACCCCATTCGAATTTGATAACAGATTATGTTCAAAGTTCCCAAAAGCTTTTACGATTTCTCATATAAATATTAGATCTTTAAATAAGAATATTGATGCCTTAAGATTATTGTATGAAGAATGCATAAAATCAAAATTTCATTTAATTGGATTGTCTGAAGTCTGGAATGTATCTTGTGCAGATATCCTTGGGATAGATGGTTATACTTTGGAAGTGAATTGCCGGGACCCTGGTTTAAGGGGAGGAGGTGTTGGAGTCTATGTTCATTCTTCTTTGAAATATAAAATGTTAAAATATGATATTGACTTTGCTGAATCACTATGGCTTGAGGTTCAGATCGGTGATCGTTCCGTTGTTGTAGGTGTCATTTATAGAAAACCAAACACTGATATTTTCCAGTTTCAAGGGAGTTTATTGTCTGTGTTAGAAAGGATTAAAGTTGATAAAAAGTTGTGTATTTTAATGGGTGATTTCAATATTGATTTGTATAATCCCAGCGTAAATGCTGAAATGTTAGTTACTTCCTTAGTGTGTTTGGGGATACATCAATTAATTAAGACCCTTACGAGGGTAACACCCATGTCAGGTTCCTTAATTGATCATATTTACACAAATATGGGTGCAGATCGCATATGTGCTGGTACAATTGTAACTGACGTTTCTGATCATTTCCCTATATTTGCTATTTTTGAAGATAGCTCAGTAAAATTACAACCACAAGGAGAAGTACGGTATAGAAGTTATAAAAACTATGAGAAAGAACAGTTTTGGGATAGTCTACTCTTGGAATCATGGGAAAATGTATATGAATGTACTGATGTTAATAAAGCATATGATATATTTGTACAATCATTCATAGGTATATGTGATCAATATGCTCCGATTGTTCATCGTCACTCTTCCAGGAGGAAAAATGATAAACCATGGCTGACTAGAGCTATTAAGAAGTCAATTAAAAAGAAACATAAATTGTATGGTAAAGTATTAAAATCAAACTATAGTGAAGATAATTTGAAAAAATATAGGACGTATAGAAATGTTTTAACTACAGTTTTGAGGAATGCGAAGAGGAAATATTATAGTGATGTATTTGAAATGTATAAAGGTGACACAGCGCAAACATGGAAGTCAATAAATAAGCTATTGAAGAGTGGAAACAGTAAAGTAAAAACGTCACATGTAGATAAGCTCTGTGTTGATGATAATGGTAGTAAGAAAGTTGTAACCTCAGGGAAAGAAATATCAGAAGGCTTTAATGATTTTTTTGTGAACGTTGGGCCTAACCTTGCTAAATCTATTAATGGTAATGTTGACGATGTTATTACATTTAAAGGTTATCTTAGTGATGGAATAATTGACTCCATGTTTTGGGAACCAGTTACTCATTATGAGGTACGGGACTATTTATTAACTTTAAATGTAAAGAAAGCTTGCGGCTTTGATGATATTCCAGCCCGATTACTGAAGGATGCTGCTGAAGTAATTGCAAAACCACTATCTTATATTTATAATCAGTCATTATTGAACGGTGTGTTCCCAGATGCAATGAAAGTAGCCAAAGTTACACCAATTTTTAAAAAGGGAGATAAAAATGTCCCAGGCAATTACAGACCTATTTCAGTTTTGCCTCTTTTGGCCAAAATATTTGAGAAATTAGTAAACAAGAGGCTACTTGATTATTTTGAAAGAAATGATGTCTTGTATAAGCACCAGTATGGCTTTCGTAAACATTATAGTACTAAGTTGTCTTTAATTAATTTGGTTAATGATGTGCTTAAATCACTGGATAAGGGCAGTGTAACACTAGGTGTATTCCTAGATTTCCAGAAAGCTTTTGATACAATTGATCACGCAATATTGGCTGGAAAATTAGAACATTATGGAATAAGGGGCCTTCCTCTCCAGTGGTTTAAAGATTATCTTTGTAATAGATTTCAGTTTGTGAACTATGATGGACATAGCTCATTGAAGCAGATAATAACATGTGGTGTTCCTCAGGGTTCTGTGTTGGGACCTACACTGTTTTTGTTGTACATAAACGATTTACCAAACTCAACAAATTATTTTAATTTTAGACTTTTTGCCGATGATTCTAACTTGTTTCATACGTTTCCACCGAGACAGAATTCAATTGATATGGATAATATAGTTAATATGCATCTTGATAAGGTGACCATATGGTGTAAGGTGAATAAACTTACAGTCAATCTATTAAAGACTAATTATTTGTTAATAAGAGGGAGTAGGCAATCAGTAGTGACTCAAGGGGTGCTAAAAATAGCAGAGACTGAAATAACCCAGGTTGATGTTGCATCATTTGTAGGAATTTATATAGGAAACCTCATATCCAAAGGGTTAATAAGTTTATTAGGAAAAGGGTTGGTGTTTTATATAGATTAAGACAGTTTGTGCCAAGGCGTGTTTTGTTGTTACTGTATAAGACGTTAATCCAACCGCATATGACCTACGGAATTGAGGTTTGGGGAAGTAATTATGAAATGAACATGAAGTGTTTATTATTAAGCCAAAAGATGGCACTAAGAGTAATAACGTTTAGTCCAATTAGGACTCATTCACAACCGATATTCCAGGAGCTAAAATTATTGAATGTGTATCAACTCTATAAATTATCTGTTTGTGTTTTTATGTATCAATTATTGAATGATAAATTGCCACAGTCTCTAATTCAGTATTGCTGTTTCATAGAGCACAACTATGAAACTAGACAAAGAGAAAGTAAGAAGTTAAGTGTGCCTAAAGTAAGGACAACGCAAGGTAAATTTTCAATGTCATTCAGAGGCACATGCTATTGGAATGATCTACCCCTTTCTGTAAGGGAGAAAGCATCAGTGTCTTGCTTTCGTAGAACTCTTATATCACAAATGTTAATAGAATAGTTGTTTATAACTTAGAACCAAGGCTCTTGCCTTTTTGTAAATGTTTTGTTATATAATTCTTCATCTTTTATTTAGTGTAAAATACCATAGCTTTGTAAATAAGCACAGAACACATTTACCCTAGATGTAGAATAGTTTGTAGCTTAGGTATGAATTCAATAGTTATTCATATTTATTCATTACATTCTCATTTATTGCTGTGATACTTTTTGTGTGTTAGTGGTACTAGACACGATTAGCATTAAATGCTATTTTCTGGTCCCATTTATCCTTTCAATGTTAATTAATCATTCACATTTGATTGTTATATTGATGTACTTTTTGTTTTGGATAATAAACTTCAAACTCAAACTCAAACTCAAACTCAAACTCAAACTTATATAAACCATGCCTTTTATGCCTTCAACATGTTGTTACATGTATATTGCAGCAATTATTGCAATGGTAGTGGGTTTTTTTACCATTTAAAAAAAAAGTGACATGTTAATTTATGTAATAATTGCAAAATGACTTGGTGAATGGTGAGTATATTATTATCAAGTTAAACACATTTTAATAATAACACAGAAAATAATTGTATATGTAAATCATACTTGTACAAATAATCCCAAAAGAAAGATAACTTACTTTTCTCTTTCTAATGTCCTCATCTGTTCTGTGAGTGCATTCTCTAGCTCATGACTTCCCTCTGATGAGTTTATACTCTGAGCTGCTACCGAGTCTGTGGAGGGCAGATGTCCTGAATCAGCTGATGAGTCTACAGGAGCTTTGATCTGTGTTTCAGGAGAGGGGGGAGGGATAGAATGCGTAGAACCATGATGTTTAGTTTGTTGGCGTTGTTTACATTTATTGCCTTTGTTCATCTTTCGATTGCCACCTTTGTTTTGGGCCTTCTTGAGGGCCTTTGTGTCTGTCTTCTCATTATCAGATTCATGGATCTCCTCACAATTGTTGATATGTTCGTTGACCTTCTCATCAACCTTGCCATTGACCTGGTTGTTGACCTCCTCAGTGACCTGTTCGTTGACCTTCTTTTCGACCTTGCCGTTGACCTGTTTGTTGACCTCCTCAGTGACCTTTGCACTTGACTTCTTTGAAGATTTTTTGTATTTACTACCAGAAGAACCCATGGTTAAAGATCAATCCAGTCTCTTTACTGCACTTGATCAATGTAAAGAAATTGGACACTGCTTAATTGATTGCAACCTCAAAACATTAAGCACCAAGACATACATGTAGATGATTCGCTTTTTACCCATTCCATTTCAAGTTATACAGGAAGAAAGGATACACATGCATATGAATTCACTTGTAGAGCCAAAGCGATAGAGAAACAACACGCTGTAAAATTTCCATTTATCTCCTTTATCCATTTAATGTGACACGAGTGAAATCATTGATGAGTCTAATGAGCATGATATATTCCAAGATCATTATCACCCATGCATAGAAAGAAAATCATTCCACCATAAGGCTCAGATAGAAACAGATAGACACAGACAAACATATATGTAGAACAAGCAAAGAAGAGCTCCTCACATCTGAAACCATCCACTACATATTACATGATGGATAGTGTTCTAAACAGCAGCGATACCAAGCACAGTGAGATATATGGTAAATCAGCCACCCACTCTTTACTACCACTGCTTTATCTATCACTGATGACCCTGCCTACACTCAATCATATGGAATACTGTCTCCTCAACACCTTGTCCTACTACCAGATATTTCCTCTCTCACGCATAACACATCCTTCCTAGAGTGAAGGTCACATGATCAACTATTTGTACATTTTCTTTCTGTCATTGGTTAGGTCCTATATCACATTATGATAGTGCACACATCCTTTTCCTGTTGTTGGTGCATCAACTGGTAGCAGTATTAAACACCTACATATACCGGTACGTGCAAGGTAGAGCCTAGCTGTCTTGAATTCACAGTATTGTCATGACTCATATATAGGGACATGGGGGCATCCCCCTCCCATCCTAAGAGCAACATCCATCTCCATAGATAATCATTGCTGTTCATTGGAATATAATAGAGAAAGCTTTAAACAGTTCCTTTCTCTCTTTGCCCCTCTTCCTATAATCTCTCTCATTTTATCTTCTAATCTCTTTCTTTTATTCCTTTCTTCTCCTCTCTTCCCCTCTATCTCACCTTCCACCCCTTCTCTCTATATCCCCCTCCCTCCCTTTCCTTTCTCTTCTTCTCTTCATTATCTTTCCCCCATGCACTCATCTAGTTAATACATGTACAAAAAGCTTGTACCAACTTCATGTCAAATGAATCTAAAAGTTAAAACATGTTTCCTTCTTATGATTCTTCATTTTACCGTCCCAGTTTGGATTGGATCATTTTAACCCAACATACTTTAGGTACAGTATTGTGAATTTCTTTCCCCTTTGCCTACATCCACTACCATTCCATGTTATGCCCCTTTCTTTTGTTGATGTGCTAACAAGGAAATTACTGTTTCTTTCTATTTTAGACCCATACCCTAACCACTGCTAGACAATAGCGATACAGCATCGTTCACACTTAACACATATTCCGAAGTCTAACTGCACTTTCATAACATTTGAGAAAACTCAGCTAAATAGATATTGTGTAAACATGCTGTTAAAAAAGGATATACACGTAAGGTCCTCTGCCAAATGAATTTTAATTTTCAAGGAATAAATTTCATGCAAGAAATTTTTGTTCTTTTCAGGAGATGCATATATTGGATGTCTTGATGTTAACAGGCCTGATATGTATCACAGTACTGGGAAGACTGTTCTAAAATACAACCTGTCTGACAACTTGTTATTTTTTCTAACTGAATAAAGCATGTTTTTCCTTTATATTAAAGTATCTATGGAATCATAGCCAACCTTGGGTAAGTCGACCTTGACTGAACTGAGTGAAATGTGTCCACTAAGGCACTGAATCTTGGACTTGTGTGTAATGCTACGGTCACAAAGGTTCGTGCGACCGATAATTTCGTACGAATCTCCCTAGCAGTTCGTAATGGCATTTGTGACCGAGGCATAAGTTGCAGAAATATGATTTACACATTTATATGTAATGTACTACATGTACATGTACATGTATGTTGTCCCTAGGCCTAGCATAATTGCCTCGTAGCCCTCAGACACCTTTCCCAGCCGTAAGCGCATGCGTAAAGTCTTGATCACAGCCCCTAACAGCTTGTGTCTGATTTCCAGATCATAATGCAATAATTGAACAAATTTGAAACATAAGGTTATCCTTCTAAACATCAGGGCAATGAAATATCTACCCTACTTACTTTTATGGACATTGAAAAGAGGAATTCTAGGTCATATGAAGCAAAATAGATCGTCCCTCTCTCCCTCTTATCTTCGTAATTGCCATAATCATGAATTTCAGTGGTTCACTAGTCCCCCGCCCCCCCCCCCCCCCCACTCAGTGTTATTTAGGGTACGCATATGCATGTTCCCTCCTTTTGAAAACACCCCCTAATTCCGGTGTGTAAAACGGGCTTTTGTGTAATACGAGCCAGACTTTGGTGCGTGAAAAGTACCCCTTTACCGGACATTTTGGTAACACGCATGGTATCCCTCCGATCACGGAGTGGGGGGGGGGGGATTAGTCTCCGCGTGGTAGCAGTTGTACCAGGAAGTACAGATGAGCTTTTGAGCATCTTATCCAAATTCATCTTTTCCCTTTCAAAAAACGTGTATGGATAAGTTATTCAGTTTCCAATCCCCCAAAAATGACTCCACGGGCATGCCTCATTCCCAACAAACAAGCACACGTTTACAAGTATGAAGTGTTCAGTCGGTGTTCTTTTAAAGGTAATGCAAAGTTTTGGGAAATTTTGAAAATTGGATGGATAGTAACTCTTTAAAATGTTGATATATTTGGATGCCCCTATGGTAGTATTAAGCACTATAGAATTTAACCCCCTGAAATACTTCGGCTTTCGAGATATTGAATAATCAAAATTTACCCCTGCTAAAATTTCAAATATTTCAAATAGTGCCTAAAGCCATTCCATGGTAGCTGCGACCATAACAATCTCAGAATATGCAGTTCTAATATATAATTTCCAAGCGGGAATAGCAAATTGGACGATTGTAAGGAAGGAAAAAAATGTTAAAACTAAAGTAATATCAGTCTCGAGAGGGACTGAAATATTTTGGCAGTTTGTTGTGTTAAGTTTGATTTCAATCATTTTTTTCCTTCAGTTTTCAATATCGAGAGGGAGCTAGACAACAGAGTTTATTATTTACATATTCATTACTTCAGGGGTGATTTTTTTCCCCCTCAACCACGGCCCCCTTGAGTAAAAAAGAAAGAAGAGGATTCGGGGGGGGGGGGGAATGGCATCTAACAACATTCCCCCTTTTGAGTAAGAAAAATTGGGAAATAATAGGGGAAAATAGGGAAGAATAGAGAAAATAAGGGGAAAATTGGGAAAATCAGGATAAAATCAGGGGGGGGGGGGGGGGGGAAAGTGGGTAAAAAAAAAATTATAAACAAAAAAATCAGGAAAAATAAATAAATTGGGAAACCGATTTAAATCGGGTTTTATCAGGCCTGTTACTTAAGACTCTATTTCAACCGCGACAACGATCATTGAATATTGTAAAATCGCTTATGCTTCCAACATGTTTATTTGAACCAAATTCATGACCCCATACCAAAACTTTGTAATACCTTCAAGTTTTAATTTCTTCTTCCATTAGTATCATTGAACTATTTTGGCAGTTTGTTGTGCTAAGTTTGATTTCAATCAATTGTTTTCCTCCTGTTTTCAATATCAGTACTTGAGAGATCTAGGCTGGTACAACAGAGAGAGAGAGAGATGCTGGAGAGAGAGATGCTGGAGAGAGAGAGAGAGAGAAGAACGGAGGAGCATGCGCCGCAAATCTGGAGTACAAAGGTGTATTGTGTAATCAAAATCATGGCATGGCATGTGATCGATTGTACATTACTGTCTTACTTGACTTTCCGAATTCCAATATGCTTTCTCTTTGTAACTGTTTTGGGAATTGGGTTGATTATTCCTCTATAAAAAAATATTTGTATTAACTTCTTCTGATCTAATAGATGAATACAGGTCTAATTTCACACAATTATCACTCAAGACAGAAATACTATGAATTAAAAATAATTCATCAATATCTATGGTATTAATTGGGTAAATTCTCCATCATTTGATATCAGTTTTCTAAATATCTGCACTTCCAATTCAAAAGCCATTATTTTATATTGTTGTTGATTTATTTATTTCCATTGGGAAGGCTGAATAGAATCCCAACAGAATACAGGGCTTATATAGATATATCAATATCTCTCTACAAACAATAATTTATTGATCTTATTTGCAAAATATTAATACAATTTTCTTTTTTTTTAAAGGGTAAAACGTACCTGTCTATAGATACATTTACATACATATGTATTAGCTGCCATGTGTGCACATGTCATGCTATTGTGAAATCTGGAAATATAATTATATTCATGGCCTTTGCAATCCAGAAAACTTGCAAATGCTAGTTCAGAAACTGTGCTTTAATGGCAGTGTCTTAACATAGAGTGATCTCATGAAACTCTTCAGCTCTCCTTACATGAACAAAGCTGGAAAAGGCTGGCAAGTAAGAGATACAATGATAACAAGGCAATTCTGAAATCGTATACTATTAGCCTACTAAGCCTCATATATAATTATTTTTTCACTATGATGACATAGAGGGTAGCTACAAGTTTTTCTCTCTAAGAAATAACAGCTGGACAAACAACTATTTCCTTCATTAGAGTGACAAAGAGCGTGTTGAAATGACGATTTGGGCTGAAAAAACCTTGTACAACTTTTGGTTTGTATTACACTCAGGAAATCGCACTGTCAGACCAGATCTATACAACAGAGCAAGGCCTCCATTTCTCTTGGAATTGGTGCAGGAAAATGTTTTAGTGTTTATCCTATTGGGGTAATATTATACAAACAACGCACGGCCCAGCGTGCGATAGGGGTAAATGCATGCACGCGAGGTTTCTTTAGATTGATGCCACCTCTGTGCACGAGGCGATTCTACCTTAGCTTTTTTGTAGCTTCCTTAGGGGGGGAACTTGAATTCATGTCGGGCAGAAGAAAAGAGGAAGTACATGTATTTGCGCGGGCATGGTCATATATAGGGGATTAGGTGAGGAGTTTTGCAGCTGTTGCAGGGGCAACAAAGGTCCAAAGAACTTTTTTCAGTTACTGGGGACAATTCTAATTGGCATTAGAATAGCAATTATGAAATACATAGCTAAGTAAAGAGATAATTTGTCAATTCTATTTTAAAGTAGATATTCATTGAATTTAATAACTAATTTTATGTTCATTATTGCAAAGTTGAAACTTTGATTCGACAAGGTTATCAAAATTCAATGCTTGGAAACATTTGAAGTAATGATTATTATAAATTACAAAACGCTTAAATACAGCCACGGCATAGCACCTGAAGAGCTCTCCGAATGCTGCTGAGATGTGTGAGATCACAGTATGGACATGATTTGCACAAGCAGACGATGTCCCATGACATCTCACACATTTTCAGAGCCTGTGTTTTCATCTTTTCTTGAGTTCTTTCTCTTACTTCAGTACCGTCGGGCTAAATTTATAATCTATTGCCTCACTCTAAACCCCGCGCATGGTTTTATTTTGATCACAAATGCAGCGATACAAAAATAAAGGAATCTGTCGCTTGTAAACAAAATAAGACACCACTGTATATTCAGCTGCACCCACCGTGGTATGTTCGGCGTTCCAAGAGGGAACAAATGCCGCCCTTAGTATCATTCCGGGGGTTTTTCAATTTGAAAGTCTGGTTTCTTTGATTGTTAATTAACCCCTATCCTGTGTATTTACAGGCAAAAGATTTTAGTTATCAGAATCGGGTCATATCCCCTTTTGAATGGTTTGACATGCCATTACATTTATATACACTAAACTCATACATGCCAACATTTGAAAATCAGAAATCTGTACAAATTATGCTATTTTCAAAAAAAAAGAGGAACAATCCTAACTCTCCTATTCAATACTACAGACAAATTTGTACAGGAAGAGGAACACCTGCATTAAAATGATAATTATCTTCTCCCAAAAAGAGGAATGTTCCTCTTTAATCTGAACAGTTGGCATGTATGTAAACTCACTATAATTTTGACAAATAATAGCTTTGCAATTATGTTCATTCTTTATGGGATGTCGTCTGCTTGGGCAGTATTGGTCCATATAGTGACGTCATTAAAACATCATTATTTTCCGGCGAATCTCTCGTATATCCCAGCTGCTATGGAGGTGGTTGTATTTGTATTTTTATAAATCACCCGATATGTAGTTGACCTAAAACTTGTACGATGGCCATCGGTTAGCTTACCAGTTTCTAGGGATACATTAGTTGACATATTTGTGATTTTCTTTGAATTTCACCTTTAAACATCCCCTCACCATGTAGAATCATACTAGTACATTAACACATCATTGCTAGTACCATAACTAACGTTGTATAAACCGCCCTCGTGTATTAACCGCACCCCTTTTTTTCGCCCTTAAAAAAAAAAAATAATAATGTAAGATCATTGATGTAAATTAAAAAACAGTAGGGGACCTAGGATAGAACCTTATGGTACACCATGTAATAGAAGAAAAATTGGAGGAATTATTATAAACTACATATTGAGAGCTATCAGAAAGATTACTTTCAAACCAAGATGACAGACAAACTTGAGTGTTGTTCTAGTTTCCGAATGGTGAGTCAACACACCGATTACCGAGCCGGGAGACATTGCCAGGCATAGCGTCAGGTGGAGGGGCATAAATTGAAACTTAAAAAAAAAAAAAAAATTGGTGTACCGTGTATAATCCGCACCCCGACTTTGAATTTTATTGGCAGCAAATAGGTGCGGTTAATACACCGTTAATTACGGTATTACATAAATTAGGCAGAAGATGAATCAGTTGATAAGACCAAATAGTAATTCCACTAGCCTTTACCCAATTAACTGGAAAAGGGACCCAGATGTTTCGGAGTCCCATGTAATGAAGCCTGAAAAGCAGAAAGAGACTAAGATTGAGGCAAAATCCTGTTATTTTTATCAGTACAAATCAGATGAACCAGGCAGGATGGGCAATACTTTATACAAAGCCAGGAAAAGGAAACATTGTTATCAGGTAGGTCCACAACTATGCAACAATGTTGATCAAAGAATGACACAATATTGTTCCATTGAAAAGAGACTAAAGATTCATATACACTGTACTTCATTCAATCAATCTCTAATTTCTCTTTGTTGCCCCCTCCCCCCCCCCCCCCATCACGCATACAAATTATCAGTCAATTTTACATCCACCTAATAAATATCGTTTGTAGACAATCTTTATTGCCTCAATCAAGATATTTTATGCTAAATATATTACTCATTGCGGATATACATGAAGTATCGAAAATAATAGGCCTTGTCCGTTATTGTTCTGATTATTTGATCGGTCCACCCGTAGAGTATAAAACACGCTTGCTTACAAAAATATTTATCACCTGACGAAGTATAGCAGTGGCACACGAAACGTCGTGATCTTTCAGATCCCTTGTTGACCATACATTGCGAGACAAACGAATGTCACTAGCGATATTATTTTCAATAAGATATTTTATGTTCAGCCTTTTCAATTTGTTCCAAGCAAAATGCCAAAATGCCCATCACTATCACACTATGCCACACTCAATCTTTGATATCACTTTCAAATAACATTGCATGTAATGCAAGGCAAAAGCAAAAGGAATAATGATTTAGAACTTTTAACCACCAATTGCAGGAAATGAGCGTCAACTGATTTTCAAAAAAACTGATGATCTCATGCTGCAATCCATTATGCTAACCACAAAGTCATTGTCTTTCTTCATGAAGTACAATAATGAAGTTCATTCTATTACTTTGTTACAAAGATATTTCAAGCACAGGCAGAGTATTCAATTCTATCTGACCACAAAATACGTCATCAGTCACATGCTTGATACACAATCAATCACAATGGTTGAGCTGATAAAAAATTCTAATATTGGAAAAGTCTTCATAACCGTGTGGCCCATGTGTATTTCTCTGAATCTGAACCACAACATGAAGTAACCACAACAATCCTGCCAAACTGGATAACCATTCTCATGTATCAGTTAAAATATAAAAAACACCATGTTCTTTACACTATTACATCATTCTCTATTATATCACTATTTATCACTTCATTACATGTCATTTATACATGACTAATATGAAAGACAATTTTTTTCCCCTTCCATATCTGTTTAATCTCACACATTTATACATATAAATAAGAATTTTCTTAAATTAATTTTGTATGTACTGTACAAGTGTACATGTAAGTGTCTGTAAGATAAGTATATGAAATATGTCTCAAAAAGCTATCTACCGGTAACATAAAAATAGATGTTTATTAAAAACAATTTTACACTAAATACCAAGAATTAAATTGATGGAATGAAAATAATAAAACAATGACATTACTTCTACCACTGTAATCATAGTTCATATACAATACAAAGTACAATTACAAATAATGATTGTGTACTTACCAATGAGTTACGTATATCTGTTAAATGCAGTGAGGCTGAGTTAAAAGCTCGTTCTATAGTTGATATATCATGCAAGGCTCTCTTCATCTTTAACATCTTCTCATGGATAATGATCTCAAGACATCTACCAATAAAATCAAAGAAAATGGTCAGTTTGGTTTCGACAATGCAGATACCATATTTGTGAATATTTAATTTCAAAGTATTTTCTAAACAACCTCACAAAAACTAGAAATCATCTTCAATAAAAACCAGAACTCTCATTTGCACAAAGTGACCTGTGTTATATAAAGCACACATGGTGCCATTCTTTCTATGCCCCTATACAATTTCCTCCAAAATCGTTTGGCACATGTCATTTATTTGTAATCTTGAACATTCATTGTAAGTTTTGTTGGATTCTGTGAGAATTTGTTTTCTATCATTACTAGAAGTCAAACTAATCTTTAAGGCTTGTTAAGAATGTGACACAGCAAAACTACTGCGTTTTTTTAATGATGGCGTAAATTTTAATACTATGGAGCCTAGTGAATAAGAGCAAGTCCTTTGTTGCACACAATTACACATGCTAAAAAATGTGGCTTTTTGTGTCGGTTTACCGCGCCATATCTGACAAGCCTTTATGAACCAGAGAATCAAACACCCTAAAATACAACCCCTAGATTTTTAATTTTTAATCAGTGATTGAATTTTTACATAAAACTAGTTTTGTCACTGATCATATTGAAATATTATCACAAATATGTATTCGATTTTTGCTCTATTGATTTAAAAAAAAACATTTCAATATCTACTGGTATGTTATTTGAATATGAATACACAGTGTCACTCAAAACTCTTATTACATACAATACATGATATGAACTCCTCTAAAAATGTAATTATGTACAGGGGAAATTTCCCCATTTCTCATTTCATTAGGCTGACCATAAACCCTCAGATGATATAGAATTTATTTTTAAAAATTAGGCCTGAGTCAAACCGTTTAACCGACGGTTAAACGACCGCATTCATCAAAACCGTTTGGCATTTCTCGCTCCGTTTAACCGTTATTTGTTTACATTTTGGAATGTGCTAATAGCCGATAATAAAGATAATCAAAGGAACCACAGTGTAATGTTACACCCTGGCAGCTGGGCGCCAGTTGTCTGGCAGCAGTAATCTCTATTCTATGAATGAATTTGTAACCAACCATGCGCCCTTCTCTCTTAATCTCACCCTCTTTATTTCCCTTCTCTCTGTGTTCATCGCTCATGTACCTTTTCTTATTGTTGCACTTTCAGACAGTCAGTTCCTCTCACTTCCCTTCTCTCCGAGTCTCTTTCTCTCTCTCTCAATATTAATATCAATCCCTTGCCGACTCGGCCCCCCTTAAAATTGTATAAATAAAATACAAAAATAATGATAACAATAATAATTGCATTTTTAGAAATATTAATCAACAAATCAACAAAGTCTTGGACATTGTGAGTAATTTAAGTTTTTGATCATTCTTCAATTCACAGCCACCCTTTCTCTAGCCTTTTGACAAGGCCTCGTGACTCTGGCTAACCGGCTGAGATGAGTCTAGATACCCGGAGTGAACGCGCGACCGAGTGACGAATGTCACGAGGCCTTTTGGAAATTAGGTTTCACTGCTCTGCATGAATTATTCATAGACACATATTAGCATGCCAATACACCTACTTTGGATTTATTGACCAATCATAACGGCGATCTCCCAGTTGGCTTCGTTCGTGATTCGTTCCATGTAGAGGTCAGTGGTCTTAGCACGTACGTAATAGTTAATAGTAGGTCCATGTTCGTACTACGTAGAGTTTACTGTGTGAGTGTGTGTGTGTGTGTGTGTGTGTGTGTGTGTGTGTGATGGATACTATATGCTGACGTCGTGCGAGGATACGTTCGCTGATTGGACGTTCCATTTTCTGAAGCGATTTCCAGTCGGAAACAATGGTTAACATAAGAAATCCAAACCAGATTGATAAAGGCTACATGTACTTGGAAGGGCTTCTCGCTCTCTCGTTCACTCAGGTTTTCGCGATTAGTCTCGTACCCTTTCTCATGTTCTATCTCACTTGTCTTACTTCTTCACTCTCTCCATGGTCCATGCAGGGACATGCTCTGTCACACACACACGTACACACAACACAATCCACCTCAAACATCGGCGCCCAAATACACTGTACAAACTTTCATCATACACACACACATATGGCGAACATGTGGCTTTTTGACCTCGCACTGAACTGGGTCCATGACTCCATGCACTTCGGTCACCAACCTGTAATTTATGCTGGTATCAAACTCCACCCACATACCTAGAGATGCTTCCTGATTGGTCACTAACATTGATCAGCTCATTGCTGGGTGTATCTTGGGTGTGTGTGATCAAGGAGGATACACAAGCTGGTATCTCTTTGGTGTGATACACACATCCACATTCATACAGCAATGATACATGCAAACATGATTGCAGAGGCATATATAAACACATCACAGATCAAGCCATCTTCACATCGACTTTACCTCAATATTATTGTTTAAGGTAACTTTGCAAGGCTTATCATGATATCAGATGACGAATAATAAGATATGTTTATGTTGTTTGTTATGGTCTCTGTTTACTGGGTTGACCCAGTTTGTGATGCTCAGCCCAACGGGCTGAAGACCAGCAGGTGTTCCATTCAGCTACAGCACTATTACAAATTCATGTATTTTCATAACGGTTAAACGAAACCGCCCATATACTTTTAACGGTTAGACGTTTAGCACAAACATCGTAATGACTCAGGCTTAAAACAAGGGAAACGCTCTCGGCGGTCTCGCCTGCATAACGCAATTCAATATGATAAACCAGAACGTCAATGACGTAGCGCTCATCCTCATCTCTCAACAACAAATATTGTAAATTTTATGTGGTATACTTTTGAACTGGTCAAAAAATAAAAATTTGATGCCCTGGAAGGGACATAATTTCATTTCATTTGCATAAAGTACCATAAATAATCAATGGAGCAAAATCTCACAATTCTGTGTAGAACTTTAGTGAACCAAAGTTAGCTCTAGGATATAAAGCAAACCAAATCAAAATCGGTCGAGAAATGAAGGAGAAGAAGCCTTTTTTGTGATTTTGAATAAATTTGCATAAATTAGCATAGATAATGAATTTCACGATTCTGTGTAGAAATTTTAAATCCCCCTCCTAGCCCTATCATATGAAAAAATCAGAATCAAAATTGGTTGAAAAATAACGAAGAAGAAGCATTTTGAAAATCTTAATGTTGATGCCACAACAAAGTCTAAGTTTGTTAACCTTAAATGACCTTTGACCTTAACTTAGTGACCTGAAATTCTACTCACATGATTGGGGAGACTTGATAACCCTATAGTCCAAGTTTCATTGACTAAGAACTTATACTTTCAAAATTATATCAAAAATTCAAAAACTTAACCTTATGGCCCGGTCCCACTGCACTTACGGATGCAAAGAGGATGTAAAACGTAAACAAAATCTTGCCATCCGTTGGAAAACGCTATGCATCCGTTGTGTACTCATTGCATACGTGTTTCATACGCTCTATCCATCGGGCATCCGTCCACTGTAATTTCATCCGCGCAAAAAGTTTTGAGCTGCACAAAACTTTTAGAACGGAGGAACTTTCCGCCGTGTACGATGTAAATCCGCGACAAATACGAGCAACAAACGTTCTATGTCCGTTATCATCCGTTCAACGTCCGCTGTATCCTCTCTGCATCCTCGCAACTCACATCCGCTGCAGCTGTAAACGGAAAGAGGGAGTAAAGATAAGGTACGTGGAACGTCTATACATCGTTAGTAGCACGGAAATAGAAAGGATGTAAGCGTATGCATCTCGTATAGAAAGTATTCAAAACGGACAAAGCGTTTGTATCTGGGATGTATCTCGTATATTTAGGATGTCTAGAGTATGTAGAAGGACACCTAGCGGACAACCGATATTTTGTATGAAAAGGGGGAGAAAATCATCTGGATCTTGGTATGAGTCGAGCAGCCGTGGTGTACAGACCTCATCACCCTTGGTCTTGGTCTTCAACATCATCATCAATTGTTCTCCACCATGGATGATCAAAGATTCCATATGATAGCTGCACTCATTCAACAGCAGAACCACAACCTGTTCAGACTGTATCAAACAAAAAAATGCAAAGTTTTAACCATTTTTTCAAAGTTTTTACCAACACTTTATTGAGTAAACAAAAAAATGCAAAGTTTTAACCATTTTTTCAAAGTTTTTACCAACACTTTATTAAGTAAACAAAACATTTGTATAAGTAAACAATTCTGCTCACAAGTGTTCACAACAAGTGTTTCAAAGTTTTTACCAACACTTTATTAAGTAAACAAAAAGGTATGCAAAGTTTTAGCAATTTTTTCAAAGTTTTTATCAACACTTTACAAAGTAAAAAACATTTTTATAAGTAAACAATGCTGCTCACAACAAGTGTTTCAAAGTTTTTACCAACACTTTATTAAGTAAAAAAATAAAAAAATGCAAAGCTTTAGCCAATTTTTCTAAATGTTTACCAACACTTTATTAAGTAAACAAAACATTTGTATAAGTAAACAATGCTGCTCACAAGTGTTCACAACAAGTGTTTCAAAGTTTTTACCAACACTTTATTAAGTAAACAAAAAGGTATGCAAACTTTTAGCCATTTTTTCAAAGTTTTTATCAACACTTTACAAAGTAAAAAACAATTTTATAAGTAAACAATGCTGCTCACAACAAGTGTTTCAAAGTTTTTACCAACACTTTATTAAGTCAACAAAAAAATGCAAAGTTTTAGCCAATTTTTCAAAGTTTTTGCCAACACTTTATTAAGTAAACAAAACATTTTTATAAGTAAACAATGCTGCTCACAAGTGTTCACAACAAGTGTTCACAAGTACAACTCGGTCTCTCAAACTATTCTGAGTCACTCTGAGTCATGTCCATGGTCTCAGCTGTGAGGCGTAAGGCAGTGACTGTGGCTGTGCTTGGCCTCGAGGGTACAGCAGGTGGTGGTGTGGTCAGGAGTGGCTCTAGGGTGGAGGAAGGGTTGGGATGAGTGTGCTGGGGCTGTCTGGTCTGCAGCTGGGTGAGGAGTGGCGTCTGTGGCGTCCGATGAACATGGGCCTGGACTGGAAAGTTCTGCTTCTGCTGTGGGAAGTCGTGGTAGTCGTAGCCTTGGTAGGTGAGGGGCTGTTGAAAGCCGTGGAAGGGCTGTGACGTCGCCTGGGGTAGAGGAGCAGACCTGTACTGGGTAGGACAAACTTCAGCTGGGCCTTGAGGGTTGTGGAAAAGTGCTGTGATCTTCTGCTTCATCACCTGGTACTCGGCCTCGGGCAGGTCCCTCAGGGTCTGGCTCACGTAGGTGATGAAGGGCTTCCGGGCCGAGGATGCTCTGTCCAAGTCGACCAGCTGAGAGAGAAGTTCTGTGCTGGTCTTCATTGTGTCCCTGATCTCCAACAGCACACTGTCGTCCTGTCCCTCCAGTCTATCTCTCTGCCTGCGTCCTCTGGATCTGGTGGTGGAGGTGGAGGTGGGTTGGCCTCTGGTGGCTGCCGCTTGTTCCTCCATTTGTGACAGCACGGCGTCATCCTCCACGGGATCCTCCAAGTTCGGCACCATGGGGAGTTCAGCTGTCGAGGGCTCCTGGCTTGAAGATGCCTGGCTGTCTGTGGGCTGTCTGAGGGAAAGGGGTCTCAGAGGGGCTGCTCCTCGGTGGCGGATCTCACCCTCCAGGAATCTGCACTTGGCCATGACGTACTTCTCCCGGTCAGTGAGCTTGACGGCGGCCTGCCCGGATTTCTTGAGGTGTAGCTTCCCATACCAGGAGTGCATGTGCTTCCACCATCCAAGGAGTACTTCTGCAGTGTACCCCAGGCTCTCTGCCTTGTCTCTCCAAGCTGCCTGCTTCTTCTTGGTATCCCGATACAGTCTGTGGCCCTTTCTCCAGAGGTACTCGTTCTCCCTCAGCCATTCCAGCACATCGTCCTCATGCTCCTCGGAAACGGTGTACTGTTTCCTCTCTCCCTTCTTCTCTAATTGCCTCTTCCTCCCTCTGGCTGGAGCTTGTTCAGGGCCTTCAGGGGCTTCAGCAGGGCCTTCATGTGCTTGAACAACAGGGCCTTCAGGGGCTTGGACATCAGGGCCTTCTGGGGCTTGAACATCAGGGCCTTGAGCAGCAGGGCTTTGAGGGGCTTGAGGGCCTTGGGGCTGGTCCACCACAGCAGCAGCAGCTTCACCATCAGAGTCAGTGTCAGGGGGTAGGGTGCTGGTTCTGGCCTTCTTCACCTTGCCAGGGCTTGAACGAGTAGGCACGGACTTCCTTTTCTTGCCTGACTGACGCACCATGGTGTTGATACAAGAGGTAGTATAGAGATGTATCAATGTAGCCTTCTTCAATAACGAGATGTAGTAGAGATGTATCAATGTAGCCGCCAGCACGTCTTTCCGCTTTATGCTGACTGCGTGTATGTGTGTGACCATGGACGTAAATCTGTAATTGAAACCTATTGTTCAGGGGGATGATCTATTCATTCATCCCCCCTGAACAATAGGTATTACGTAAGGATTGAGGCCCATGTGTGTAATTGGGTTTTTACGGACGTGTATCAATCAGATATGATTATTTGCGTCTGGGGACCGACCTTTTGTGCGTGCTGCATCCCTTTATATCCACAGAGTGGACGCAATTCATACTCCCCGCATGCGCAGTGAACGGTTTGCATCCTATATACATCCGCTCGGCATCCCCTTTGTTTCCGTTAGGCGTACGTGATGCATCCGCTTTATCCGCTATGCATCCGCTCTTTCCGCTATGCGTCTGCTTCGTAATTATCTCCGGTAACCCCTTCGGAGCTGTCATCCACTTCCATCCGCTTTCATCCGCTAGGCTTCCGATGAACATTCGTTCAACATCCCCGCTACATACTACCCACGTCCGTTCTTTTCCGTTCTGTTTTCGCAAATTTTCGCAAATTTTGTCCATTTCTGGAGCGGATGAAAACGGATGGAGCCTCCCCTGAAATTTTGCTCGTCCGCTGTGTCCGTTATGCATACATTTTGTGTCCATCGGCCAGTGGGACCGGGCCTTTAGGTTAAGTTTTCGATGATGATGCTACAACATAGTCCAAGTCTGTTGACCTGAAATGACCTTTGACCTTGACTTTGTGATCTGAATTTCTACTCACATGATTGGGGATACTTGATTACCCTATAGTCAAAGTTTCATTGACTAAGAACTTATACTTTCAAAATTATATCAAAAATTCAAAAACTTAACCTTAGTTTTTGATGTTGACGCCGCCGTCACCGCCATCGCCGTCACCGGAAAAGCGGCGCCTATGTCTCGCTTTTTGCTACGCAGGCGAGACAAAAAATAGATGGATCCTTGACTGCATGCAGTCGAAAATGATGCCTCCACCATAGAGCGATTTTACAAACCAAAACAGGAACAATTATACAAATTCAAGTTTGATTTTAATCCATTAACATGTATGACCTTTTGATATTTGACCTCATGACCTTAGATCTAATCAGTTCATTGGCTCTGCAAGATACATACATGTCCATATATCTTGCGATGACGCAATCATGAGAATGGGACTTACGAACAGAGGGACAACCAGAAAACATAATGCCTCCAGCTAATTTGTAGCAGAGGCATAACCTGTCTACAGGGACCGCCCAAGGAAGTGGTCTTTGTAGACAGGTTCCTTTAGTACATGTTTCAATGTGAAACCAATTTCAAGGAAACAAAAAATGTGCTCGTTGTAGACAGGTGGTCACTAAAGCAGGTTTGACTGTATATTACATTTTTACATACCAACATCACACATTGCTAGTAATGACCATTTAATACAAAACACAAATATATAAGATTTATAAAAGAGACAATGTTCTTGTTCCTCTTTCTACTGTGCATATAATTAAAACATGTATATGACAAAGAGGCAGTAAATATAAGAAAAAGATTGTTACTCACTGTGCTTGTTTCTCAACGTCTTGTAATGATTCCCAGGCATTACCAACTTTATTACTCTTCAAGATACATGGAGCAAAGACTATGGCAAGGTTACTAGCAGACATCTTATTAGTATTCTCATTTTCTGCAATCCTGCAAGAAGAATTAAGAAGTTGCAATTAAATCTGGGATACATCTACACATACTATTACTATCAAAAGAGTTTGAAATAAATCAGTATTTTCAAAGGGTAATAAAGCCTGTGTTAGTTAAACTCTTGGAATTTTTAAAAGACATGTTTTTCTCTCTGCATCTCTTCATAGAAATGATCTCAGAACCAAATCAATAACCTTCTCTATTAAAGTAGCCATACAAGCCAAAATGATAGAACTGACCAAAGAGACCACCTAAATAGATAACTTTCCTTGACAGCTAAAATAGTAGAATTAACCTCCTTTAGAGTTGCCAACCTGTCACTTTAAAGAAAGTATCACTTAGTTTCAAAAAGCACATTTTAATAGGAAAGAAGTTTTTTTGTCTTGCGGCACTTAATGTCAGTTTTTTTCCCCATATAACCTGTCTTGCGACATGGTCCGAGAGCTTTGTTTTACTTCAAATAAATTTAAAGTTAATAAACCTGTAACAAATCCCCAAAAAGTTTTAAGTTCAATGTTTTCTCCTCAGAGGTACAAAGATGCATATATACATTGTAGCATTACATCCATTGCTAATACTTTTGAACCGCTTCCCTCCTCCCTGCACCCTGCATTGAAAAAGCCTTCATACGAATGAGGTTAAGCAATCACACTTTGCCATACTTTTCTATCTTTTTGCTTTTTCTACATACAGCAAATTTAAATAACGATCATAATATTAATGACAGTTCATTATAAAGCATTTTACTGACCAATGTGCTTACTGTATTATTTTGACCCCAATTGCTGGATTAAATTATGATTCTAGAGTACAAACTCTCCACTCCACTGGGGAGCATTCTAGCTACCATATCAAGAGATGTCATATCTCACCTGGCTAGATGGAAGATAAGTCTCTCTAGAGCATCATAATTCTCAAGAGGCAGCTTCTCAATACTACTCTGTAATGACTGTAGCTTCTCATGTTTATCAACAATCTCTGTAGCCCTCAGGAACTCCTCATACAGCTGATATGTCAGGAGAGGCTCTGGCATTTCCCTGAAGAAGGACTTTAATACCTGGGCAATCACTAGCACACTGTAGCTGCCAAAGTCTATGTTATCAACATCTAAACAGATAGAAAAGATAGAGTTTAATAGTTAATCCAGCCTATATACAGTTTACATGAACATGTATTGTGCTGTCATGATAATATAGTATTAATGACTGCTTTGAGAGAAATAGTTGTTTTTATACGCTCAAGGGAAGGTTAGAATTGTGCTATTGCCCGAGGCGTGCCGAGGGCAATAGCCCAATTGTAACCTTCCCGAGAGCATATAAAAACAACTATTTCTCAAATATTAAAGCAGTCATTAATACTTTTATATGCCGAAAACAAAAGAGTCAACTAATGACACCACCTTGGCCTTTCTCTAGTTTATCTGCACGGTTGTTCTTTATGAGTGTATCTTTGAGAGTAGACTAGATCTAGATTCTAGTCTAAGCAAGATATTTTTACAATTTTGGGGGTGGGCCGGCCCTGTGGGGAATATGGAGAAGAACCTGCGGTTTCATATGACACCTCGCTTATTGAGTATCACCTTCAGGATCACAACAGATTATAAAGGTTTGAATCTCGAATTGAAAAAAAAACTTGACTTTTTTTGCATGGTCGCGCAATGCACGTAGACTGCATAGAGACTGCATTGCATGCAATCTCTATGGGAAGAATTTTCTCACACAACATCGGGTGCGCGATCAGACACCCTGACTACTAGATCTATTTTTCGTCTACGTCTATGCTTTTTCAGCAACTAAACGAACATGTTTATGGATAATTTCATGTACCCTTTTTCTTACCGACCAATTCTTCGCACACATACGGTATCCTCGATCGCTCAAACCATTTTTTAACATGTAAACCTACGGGTAACCATGGTTACTGGGATTTTAGAACTATTTTTTAGGACTATTACATGGGTTTGGAATTTTACCGGGAATTTTACAGGAATAGTTAAAGTTTATGAATGCAATTTCGACCAATCAGATGGCTGGATTTCTTAAGTGAGGTATATAACATATGATATATGTAGCGTAAGAGATTACTGATAAAAATACGACTACTAGTATTAGGACTAGTAATAGGGATGGAGGCAGTGATAAATCTCAAATGTAACCAGCATTCAAATGATGATGTTAGCCTTAAAGCCACACTGTCCTACTTGTATCTACTTGCTCCCTCTATATAGAAAACAATGCCTAATCGGTGACCATTGGTCCCCCATGAACCTCTTTTTCTTATGTTAATTGAGAGCTGAGTTGATGAGATAACCACCTGTCCAGTGACCTTGCAGGGCGGTCTAATCCCTCCTATAAACTAGTACAGATAAGCTTTAAAGCCCATCTGCACTAGTTTGGTCAGGAGCCTGGGATTAGGCCTCCCTGCATGGTCACTGGCAGGTGTTTATCTCATCAAATCAGCTCTCAATTAACAAAAGAAAAAGGGGACCATGGGGGACCAATGGTCACCGATTAGGCATTGTTTGCTATATAGAGGGTTAAAGTAGCTATAAGTAGTGCAGTGGGGCTTTAAAGAAATATCCCTAAACAGGTCTGCTACTTATTCCTTTGCTATCAGCAACCCTTTTATAAATATACTTTGCCCGGTGTTTCCATTACAACCAAATATAAACACTCATCATGTGACTAAACAGCTACAATTTTCACTTTCTCCGCAGAGCAAACAAGTAAACTATTCATCCTAGTACAGTCAATCCTGCCTTAGTGGCCACCTCTCTATAAAAGCCACCTGTCTGTAGTGGCCATGCATTTTGTCTCCCTCAAGAGAGAAATGTATGTTGAAGAACCTGTCTAGAAAGGCCACCCGTCTTCAGTGGTCACCTTTTCTGTTTCCCTTGGGTGGCCTTAATAGACAGGTTTGACTGTATTTATTATACATGGAATACAGAGATTTACACCCCATGAAAAAAATATTTTCCTTAATACCTGGTTCGCTGTTAATGAGATGTTTGATTTCCCTGACCTTGGCAGCGGGACCAGGTTTACGATAGATACCCTCCGTATAGAGGCCGTTGACCTCCACTGCAGTGATGAGGCGCTCAAGGACGATGGGGATACGAATCTCCTCATTGACAAGGTCTTCTAACCTAGCACCAATAACCATCCCTTTCACTCCCTGAGGCTTACCACGGCAGATCTGAACTGACTTTGAGCAACACTTCTTGTGACAGGTGTACTTGCAGACTGAGGGGAAAAAATATGGAGTCATACTTAAGTTCTGGTAAACCACTCTTTCTCGTTTTCTTTATTACTTTTTTTTTGGGGGGGGGGGACTTTAGATCAGCTAAAAAATAACCCATGGTCTTACATGCTACAGTACATTGCCAATGTGTTGGCTTTACATTATTTTCATATCAGGTTTACAATTTATCTTTGACAGGCTTACATTAGGTGAAAATATTTGACAGATTAGGAAATATATATGCAGATCAATACCATAAATCTCTCTGTATACGATACATCTGTGTGTAAGATGCACCCCCGTTTATAAACACAGCCAAAAAACAAAAAAATTGTTGTAAAACTAATACCTAGCCATTTTTGGTGATTTTACTCACATAAAGTTGCTAGATATTGATATCAAAACACATCAGTTTTCCATGAAAAATTGGCTTCTATTATTAAAAGAGAATACTTGATACTTTTCCGTCTTTCTCAGCGAGTGTTGGATGGCCGCCATACTGCACAGCACTCGCTACGATAAATCATATTTACGCCAAGAGATGGCGCTGCTCAGTAATAATTTTTTTTGTGTGTGACTCCGTTGGCACCAAGCCAGGTTTGTGTTTGAAAACCCATGCAGGGAGCACCAATTTGTGCTTGTGAACTTGTCACAAATAATAGTAAAAATGTTGATTTTAAAACTAAAGATGACTGACAAATTTCCTCCAGAGTCCAAACAGAAATCCAGACATTGGCAGCTAGTGTGGTTCTAGTTTCCGAGTGGTGAGTCGACACCTGTGTGTGACTGAGCTGGGAGACACTTTTACTCATGGTACCATGCTGGTGTGTTCCGGGCAGGAGTAAGCATCGCTCAGCACAGTGCTAGGTGGAGGGGCATATATTGACACTAAAAAAAAGTTTATTACTGAGCAGCGCCATTTCTTGGCGTAAATATGATTCCCCTTCAACTTAGAAACGCAGGTTAACTTTAAATAGTATTCTTTATTTGCATTATGTAATTCACGTTGAGACACAGAGATGGTCGTAAACCACTGAAAAATAGCATTTTGAGGACTCAAAATGTCTTGTGCCTGTATATTAACGCATCCCCGACCTTATAATTTTTCGGGCCGAAAAAAAGATGTGTGTTATACACAGAGATTTAGTATTTAGGACTCAGTATTTTTTTTTAATAACAATAATTTGTTTCTATCAAATAATAGTTATTGAAATAGATTCAATGTAATATTAAAATCTATTTCATGGCTGACATGAAGGTCTTTAAGCAAATTATGATAAGTTTCCAAAGGTATACGTCCCAAATTGCAAGGTTTAGACCTGTTTTTTTTATGTGATATTGTTCTTCTCACCTTGACATACATAGCCTTTCTCCATGAGCCACAAGAAGTTCCCACACAATTCACATGCTGTGTGAATACCTAACTGAATGCTTAGGAACTTATGGCCCAAGTGTTCAAAGGTTTCCTCCTTCTTCTCCTTTTTTCTCTTTGGTTCTTTCACCTTTATAGTGGAATCAAAAGCATAAGAATTTTACCATAATTGAAAGTTTATTCCAATGTACATTTCATAACACAATATTATTCTCTTTCCTTTTTTCTCATTCCTCTATCACAGGTCTTGACCAATTAAGTTGATAACAATTTATCAAATTTCTTGATGAGCAGCATAGTCCATGTAATTGTTTTCAGGTACATTCATGTACATCATATAGTTGTATTGAATATTGAATAACTTCCACTAAATAAACTCTGAAGCAGATTTCTTCATAATTGACTACAATGCTCATATTTACCTGGCTTAAAATTGAATTTTTTTTAATTATTTATTTTTATCAAAGAATTCTCTGTCTGAAAGGTTTTTTGTGTGTGCATGTAATATATCCACGTTCGGCGAATGAATGTACAAAAACACACATGCAATTCCAATGCATACACGCACGCGATCCCAATGCACACACACACACACACATACTTGTAGATGCCCTCGAATGAGGACCTATGAAATAACTCTCGCAAACATGGACTTTTTAAATTCCTTGTAAATGCCTTCAAACATGGACTCATGAATAAGGCCGTCAAACATGGACTTGTTAAATTCCTTGTTAATTAGGCGTTTTAACATGAACGTATTAAATCCCTTGTAAAGTCCTTTGAAAATGGACTTGATAACTTTAACCCAATGAAATGGACCTTTGACATTTATTATTTATACACATACATATGTACCTCCGAATGTGGACGTACTAGTTTGGCTAGGAGGAATTAGACCACCCAGGGTGGTCATGACAGGTGGCTATCTCATCAACTCAGCTCTCGATCAATTAACATAAGAAAAAGAGGATCATGGGGGACCAATAGTCACCGATTAGGCATTGTATTCTATAAATGGGGAGCAAGTAGATACAAGTAGTACGATGGGGCTTTAAACGCCTTCAAGAATGGACTCAGTAAATAAACAGTACAAGCATGGACCTTTGACATTCCTTCTTATACATAACTTCAAACGTGGACTTGGTAAACTAGCATATTGAACGTGGACTTGGTAAACTAGCATATTGAACGTGGACTTGGTAAACTAGCATATTGAACGTGGACGTTTGACATTAGATAACATACCGGTACTGTCAAATGTGGATTTTTTAAATTAATCCAGCAACTATGGACTGCTTACTTTCCTTGTTGTTTGTTGTACATGGTACCAGAACAAAAGCAAATTATTCATAAATAACTATGTGAGCGTTATAGATGTGAAAATATATATTACTGGTATATACATTCTACTACGTTTGTCATGAAACCATTTCCGAACATATCATATTCTGCATGTTATACTACTCTACAACATAATGGACAACACGAAAGATTAAGGGTAGGCAACAATAATGGCAAATGCCATTTTTTAATCAAACAAAATATGCTTACGTTTTCATACACATAATCGTATGAAGTACATGGTCACAAGCTGGAGTACGTGATATAAAACTATCAAACACAATGATCCAAGTAGGGAACCAAATGTCAAGTTCAAAAATTTTAAACAAATTACAAAAACATGTTTTAGTAAGAGAAAAAGTGACTTGCATAACAAACATATATATAGAACTCATAATACATGTATGGAATTTCAACACAATTAAAGTGTTCCTTTGACGTAGCGTAATAGATGCCAACGTCACAAATATGCTGTCACAATTAAGACTGTTTAACAGGTGCAATGAAAGATATAAAAAATTGTAGGTGACATACAATAAATCATGTACATCTTCATAATATTTCACAGGCTTCAAGGTCTGTGTGAATGGAAATTTATCTAGCATTACAAGAAATTCCTTTAAGAGCAAAATATCTTTAACAGGATTCAAGCTGAACACTAACTCGCTAGCAAATGGCTATAAAAGGCATATAACTATCGGTACAACTGAAATAATTAAGTGTGACCTCCGTTTAAAGCTGTAATTTGCATTTAGGACAATTCGTATTAATTTTCTATTTCTATTTTTTCTTGCCAAACTGCATGGATCTGATTTTGTGCGGCTGATTGACCGTTTGCAGCTATAAAACTCACCAAAGAAAATTTGTTTTCTGCCCCCAAGCCAAAACAGTCTGTCCCTGAAAGGTTCAATTTAAAGTTATATTTCAGATATCTCCATGAAAAGCATGGTCTTGCTGGGCGCTTGCAGCCCTGAGTTATTGCACTATATAGGCTTACATAGTTCTCCGTTATGGGTTATAAACTCGAAGGGTTTGATTCTTTTCTTTTTGTTAAATCCTATGAACACGATCCCAATAGTTCATGAAAATTTACCTATATTTACGGATGTGCACCCTGAACCTTAATGATACCAATGACAAGGTTCAATAGTAGTAGACCAGTATACATTAACTCATAACAAGTGAATACAATAGTTCATCACTAGGTGGGAGAAGAGGCCATCAATATGAATACATTTGTGGACTGGTGTATGGTTAAATGACAACAAATTACAAACCTTACAAATCACATACTCCTAATTTTCTTCTTCACAAAACACTTTTAAGGAACAACTGGAGTTTTTACATTGTTGTACTTATACAAAAGAACTTAAACTACACATCAATGTACCACAGGTATAACTCGCTAAACTGCTCATTGGGTAGCTAGTAACAAGTAAATATTTCATTTGGTGGCCTCAAGAATTTCATACTGTTTTTTTAGACTCGAGATAGGTTGTGACTACAAGCCTTCAAAGTAATTGTCCATCAATAGAAACTTATAAATACAAATAACAAATATGCCTAACCATTTTTCAAAATATACTGTTAACACATAACCTTTTTTGTAAATACAAACATAACACTGACAGTGGCAGATTCAGGAGTGGGTTTGGCACCCCCCCCCCCCCCCCCTCAGAAAAAATTGTGTTTTTCAATCTTGTCTGTGTGTGGTTACAAGAATATTTTGTGTGAGCCTGAATTACACCCTTGTTGTTGTTGAAAATGTAAGAACCTTTGTATTAAATTGTTAACCCCCCCCCCCCCAACCCCCACCCTAGCTAAGCAGGGTTAGGACTATACAGACAGAAACAAGTTCATTTGTTCCGTGTAAATCAGTCTGAATCTGTCACTGCCATTATATTTTTAGTAAAAAGAACTACATAACACATAAAAATTTTAGCCCAAAATTCTAACGTTGAAAGTGCAATAACAAACTGTATGACTTGAGTCATAGAGCATATATTGAACTACAAAATAAATGTGGGATTCACACTTAAAAAGTCAAGGAACCAACTGTTTCCTTTCATACTGAACTGAAAGATAACATATCTCTAACAATTTTAAAGTTATTCTAGACTTATAAAATAATCTCTTTTACTCAAAATTATGGCTTTTTTATCATTAAATATATCAATTACCAAGAGATGTAGATTAGATCTGTCAATCAGAGTGAAGTAATTTTGTTACTATCAAGTTGTTAGCATTTTATCTCACTCCACAACTGTAGTATAAAGGACGTCCATATTTGTTGTAATATTTCTAAAAGCCCCAGTGCATATGAGAACCTCTTTAACAAACTTAAGATGATTATTTTCATATATATAAACGTTATAATGCGTTGACATACAGGTACTGTACATGTTTATTCTTTGCCCCTAAATCCTGGTCAGCATACTGATAAAGCTGAAAACTAGTTTACTGATTAAAAAGAAATTAAACATATATGATCCATGTGCTTTAAGTAATATAAAACGATACTTGTGACATAATTTATGTCTTTAAATTCCTTGCTCATACACAGTATACATACAGTCTTCATTTATACCATATTACATCTTTGAAATCTACAGTGCTTAAATCAATTGCATCAATTAAATGAGGTGAATTGCTATTAAACGCATTTATCTACACAAAATAATGTTGAAGTCGTACATATATTATGTGGAGAGGATTTATATAACTTTCATTAAAAACCAAATGATGAAACTGTTAGGGAACATTTGTTTCTTTCATACTGATCTAGAACAAATGAAACCATAATATATAAATTTAGATTTCAAGTGAAGAGCATGAAATATTCTATATACCTATAATTATTGCTTCTCTTATATGAAGTTCCCATCCATCACCCTTCATATAATGAATGGGCAAAGTCATGTCACCAAGTTGCTGAATTAACAGTTTTTCACTCGATAGCTTTTTACTTCAATAGAGCTACACTACATGAACTTCCATACCGACTGTAGATATTTTACATAAACAAAAGGAAATCTATTTGTTGGTGCAACATTTCTCGAAACCTAATTAAATGTGACTACACATTTTCAAAGTCTCAACTTTAAATAGAATCACAAAAGAAACAGGACATACAGCTACTTCCATAATATGAATCTTTCACGTATGAACTAAAGTAATCAATGAAATCAACTGAGGGTATCCCACATTTAACTAGTGACTGCATTATCTACTCCAAAAAAATCAACAATAAATTTTGTCTTTAGGGTTTGATAAAATCTCATAATGCATACATGAGCAGCATTACAATACATTACACATTTCTCCTGTACATGTATATCATCAGTTCTGAACCTAAACCTTCATGTATGAACTTAACAAATCAATTCCAAAAGGGAGGAGGGAGAAGGGATCTTGCCGAATTTCAAGTCAGGCAACAAACATATCTTTTTTCTGTCTAACTTAAGTGCCCCAATTATTTTGCATATATGTACAAGCACACAATGATAACAAATCATTTGGCAACAGCCTGACACGATAAGTCCATTGCCACATCCCCCTCCCCTCCCCTTTTGGGAGAAATGTCACAATGTCTACAGGTATATATAATATGTATCATGATGAGCATTCATAAATGTACTTTACATCTTCAAGAATCCCATTACATCCTTCTTCCGAATCTGGTTTCGAACGAAATCTTTCACGTTGGTCCAAGATCGATCCCGAAAGGTTTGTGGCTCTGCATTGAAGAGTTTCAAAATATGTGCCTTTCCTGGTAGGGTACGTCTTAGGAGAAATGAGCCCAAATGGTCTGCGACAGTTGTCTTCTCTTTCAAAGTCCAGACTTTCCTGATTGGATGATTCTCAGAAGGACTTTTTGATTTCCCAGAGTAGGCACTACAGTCTGTTTACCAAGGAGAATATATATCTTTTAAACCTTCAATCAGAAAATATATTTCATTTTGAGACAAAACAGCACATATAGCCCTACGTCCATGCCTTTGGCTCCCAGATAGAATAGAGTGAAACTGTCATGAAACATAAAACTAGAACTACATGTATACATTATTCAAGTGAAAATACCCAGTACCATTTTTTGGTGGAAAATAATATAACCCTACATGTTGTATTAACAGGAAATCTCTCTCTCTCTCTCTCTCTCTCTCTATATATATATATGTGAAGTATATGTGAAGAAAATATGCTTCGGTCGATTCATCAAGTACTGGGTGTTCTATTTTTGTTAGGACAAATAATGAAACGTTCAAATAGTGCAACTGCATTCTAACAATCATAATTCAATCAATTAAAGCAGCCCTGACTCAAAGAAACTATATGCACCACTGGCTTTCAGCTACTGACTAGGATTTGACTTTCTCTTGTTTAACATACCTTCTGTCCTCACAGTCACCAAAGGTGAATCATCAGACTGCACATCTTCACCCTCAGAATCTGACTCGGCATCAGTGATGTACTCTACAAAAAATCAAAAGAAATATTTATAATTAGCATAAGTTATGTTATATCAGGCCCTTAACAGTGTTTTTATGTGTATACAAATATTCTGAAAAAGTATTTTTCTACATGAAAGGAATTAGCCTCATAGAATTATTTAGGACAAACTAACAACAGGAATGAAATTCATGCATGTCTTATATATAATTAATTTATAGTTTCAGTAATAAACATTTTAATTCATTATGAACACAACATGGTTCGACATGATTACAATGCTTAGCTCACGACAGATGCATGCAGATTTCTCTCTCTTTCAATCTTTTGGACATCTATCAAACAGTCTTGCACAAAATCGCCAATTATGCACCCCCAAAAATATCTTAATTATTCATCTACTTTTTTTCTTTGTTAAGGGTCCTACGGTTCTGTATCCCTTTTTATAAAGATATATTGAATATGAAAAAGAAAATCAAATTTATTAGTTTGAAATTGCTGGAATATACATGTTTATGTTCAATACATTGTTGTTGTGTTTTTTCTGTTACTTTGATTGCTACTATTATGTACATGTATTCATGAAGGACACCATGGAAGAACAGCGGTATTATATTGATACTCAGCTGGAATGGGCCATCCGCCATATTTTTTATTCAATTTACACTATGTATTATGTATTATTGATTTATGAAAATAAAAGCAAACAAAACCTGCACGTTTTTCTACTCTAGTTGTTCTTTGCAGTTTGCATGAAGAATTCAAAAGAAAATATTATGCACTTTACCTTCACTGGGATCCAACTGCACTTCCTCTAGTCCTTTATTGGCAAGACCTTCAAGATCTCCCCTCTCCATCTTCAGAAGAACTTTTGAAACCTTCGCCAGTTGCACTGTTGAATCTGGGAGTCTATAGTATTCCCGATGCGTTCTGATGTCATGCCCAAGGAAATTAGCTAAGACATCTAGCTCATTTTCCTTTAAATTCATAATCTGGGCTACAGTGGCAATTTGCTTTCTCAGATGTGTTGCTCTGAGATGTTCTGGATGTTCAGCATTACATTTGGTGGAATGAACACGGATAGCATCGCATGCTCTCCGGTGCCCTTCCCCTGATCCAGCAAACACATATGTGTTGCTCTCCTCGATGCCAGCCTCACATCTCCTCTCTTTCAACAAGTCCATTGCCCTCTTCATTGTCGTTGTCAAAAGTACAGGCACCGTCCTCAAACGTTTTCCCACGATTTCGACTCTCCATAGAACTCGACAAAGTGCTCTCTCCCACTTGCTGAGAGCACCATCAATTATACCACCTTCTCCTTGCGAGCAATTTTCATAATCTTGCATGGTCATTTTTGAGACCTCTCCAGGTCTTTTCCTGTTGAAGACAACAATATGTGCCAGCAGTACTTCAGAAAGATTATGCCATTCATGTGCAATTCTGTTGGTGTTGCTCTCTTTCTCAAGCCCATTCAATTTTGCATGCATTTCTCCCTTGAGATGTTTCGCAAATTTGACTACATCTTCGGTAAGTGGCAACAACTTTGGGTTATTTCTTCTTCCTTCTTGAAGACTTCTTAGTGCATGGTGAGTTACATAGCTCCCCCATTGAAGGTCATACAGGGTCAAGAATGCCTTGCAACTTTTCTTGATGGCAGAGTTCTGCGTCATAATGGCTTTTCCTTGTAGAATCTCGCAACAAGTCTTCAGACCGTGTCCGATCTTTAATGCAAGACTGGGGGTTTTGTAGACATTGTTTTCAGCACAAAATCCTGCAGCCAGTTTTGTAGCAGACGTCACTGCAACAAACTTCTCAGGACGTATGAGACTTGCAAGATCGACATTGGTCTCCCCTGTCATTGATCTGTACTCGAGGACCATTCTTCCTAGCTCCCTTGACCGTTGCCTGATATAGTTCTCTTGGTCTCTGCTATGTCCATGTTTCATGGTTAACTTCTCAGCAAATTTTGTTATTAGGTCATCCGACCTGACCACAGCGGCTATATTGTCATCGATCATGTTCGACAGGATTTCAATGGTTCTCGTATCCACCCCAGGAGTATTTGGTAGCAGCATTTTGGCAGCACGCACTTTTCCTCGTTTCTTTGTTTTCCCAGATGGTATACTATCAAGTATCTGGCTGCACTTGTGTTTCCACAATTCTGTCTTCGTGATAAAACCATAACAGTTTGAGCAGGGAACGTAATCTGATGGATCTGACTTGTCTGCTGGCCTATGAACAACAATGAGTTCTCCAACTCCCTTCTTCAGGACAGAGATATTGTGTAGGTAGTTTCCATAATTGCGCATTAGTGTCAATTGTCTCACTTTATCCTTTTGGTCTTCACTAGAAAGCCATTTCTGCACCTGTGGTTCGTTTCTGTGTTTGGGAGTTTGTAAATGGCGAGGTAATTTCTTCTGAGGTTCCATGCAGAAAGGACAATATTGGACTTTATCCCAGCTTTTACTTCTTCCATTTGCTGTGGCATTCACTTGTATCCCTGAAGACCTACTGCAGGCATGCAATACTGCTTTTGAGGTGCTGTCTACATGATTCTCACTGGTTGATGCTTCATCTTCATGAGTGGGTAGACAACCACGATGAATATTAAAAGATCCAGGGATAGGAACGACAGGACTCATCTCCCTTTCCCCAACATCATCATCAGATTCCGGTATGTAATCCGGGTCAGAATCATCTGTTAGATCTGTAGTAGTTTCCGACAGGTCTGACACCTCTGACATGGCCTGAAAAAAAAACAGTAAGAGAAACTGAAATTAGAGTCCATATAGAAAGCAAACATCAAATATCTCCTGCTGAATTGGTCAAATGTAAGTACACTATTAAGGCAAATTATGTTTTATAGGTCCCCTGACATGCATGTTTACTTCTATGCTGGGTCTGCATGATAGATCAACAAACCATTAACTGTTTTATCTTAATGTGTATTATGTATGTTTTTAAAGATTTTTTGTGTGCATTTTTCTAGACCCTAATTGTTAAAGTCCCACCCTGCAAAATCCTCCAGATCAAACTGTGCCTATTGTGAAGTTTTCTGCCAGCTTAGATAAAAGAGTACAATATTATACACCAATAATACCATAGGTGCATCATCAACTGGTTCTTGAGATAATGTGATCACAAGCTATTTTTGCATACAGAATGAGCCCTGTGACCTTTGACCTTGTGACCCCAAAATATAATCAGTTATTGATTTTGCGAGATACATACATTGATTTTGCAAGATACATACATGAATTAAGTTTGGCGGGAACCCATCAATCGGTTCTCGAGATAATGCGATCACAAGCTTTGTATGCATACATAATGAGCCCTGTGACCTGTGACCTTGTGACCCCCAAATCTAATCAGTTAATTGGCCTTGCAAGATACATACATGACCCAAGTTTGGAGAAAATCCATCAATCGGTTCTTGAGATAACGCGATCATGAGAACGGACGTACAGACGGGCGGACAGACGGACAACCCAAAAACATAACGCCTCCGAAAACAGTTATTAATGCATTGATCTATAAACCTATTAATCACCACACCCAAAATAAAGGGGATTGATTTTCCTCAAACAACACATGTGTTGGTGTACTGGTGAAAAAAAACCTTCAAGTATGGACTTGCTGAATTAATACGACAAACATGGACCTAGCTATTTAAAACTGTTAAATTTCAATTGGTGTGATTTAAAACCTTCAAATGTGGACTTGCTAATTTAAGCAAACAAACATGGACTTTCACATTCCTGGATATTTATTACTGTATACAATTGCTAATTATGGTAGAGAATGTATTTGTAGTGTATAGGCAAGTAAATATTTGTCCTAAGTATGTTTACATCATTGCCCACATGCAAGGAAATTTATTAAAAACATTCTTCTTAATTAACAAAACATTTTAGAAATACATACATCTAGGCCTTCTGGTCCCTCTTCACTTCCATCTATGACACCTGGGGAATCTGAGTCCGGGTTATAGCAGGCATCAACCTGGCTGCAAGACATGCTGTTACTCAGGGAGTGTACCTCTTGCCTAGCTGTCCCATTATCATCGGATGTTGGTGTGCCACCCTCTTGAGAGTGGGGTAGTAGTTGACTGGTGGATGGTGTTCCTTGGATAGGACACTGGTGAGAGCTTTGGTTGCTGATGTTGTTCATGATTGGTTGTGATGCTGGCTTGGATGTTGCATCTGGCATATAGGGCAGCTTATTGGTGGTAGTGGAGGTGACAATGTCCATGCTGTTGGGTGTCGGCAGCTTGTTTATAGCCGTTTCCTGCATGTTACTGGAGGTGTGCTCCACAATTGGTGTGTGCAATTGGGTCTGAAATTTAAATTAATATTTGAGTTGAGTTTCTGATACACTCTGAAGTAAAACATTTATTGTGACAACTACATAACATTTTGTCTTAAGGCTGCTGCATGCCGAAAACCTATATGAAACATATGAAAAGCATTAATGGCTATATCGCAATATCATCAGCATACCTGCAGTACTCCAGATTTTGTACATGTATGGTGAAAGCCTAAAATCATCAAGAATAATTGGCACAATAGTTTTTTATTTCCTTATAGCCCCAGAAAAGTTAACAAATTTCCAATGGTCCACCTAATTTTATTTCAAACAACACATTTGTTTGTGTACTGGTGAAAAAAAACCTTCAAGTATGGACTTGCTAAATTAATACGACAAACATGGACTCATTTACATGTATTCTAAACTGTTAAATTTCAATTAGTGCGATTTAAAATCTTCAAATGTGGACTTGCTAATTTAAGTAAACAAACATGGACTTTCACATTCCTGGATATTTATTACTGTATCAATATTGCTCATTATGGTAAAGAATGTATTTGTAGTGTATAGGCAAGTAAATATTTGCCCTAAGTATGTTTACATCATTGCCCACATGCAAGGAAATTTATTAAAAACATTCTTCTTAATAAACAAAACATTTTAGAAATACATACATCTAGGCCTTCTGGTCCCTCTTCATTTCCATCTATGACACCTGGGGAATCTGAGTCCGGGTTATAGCAGGCATCAACCTGGCTGCAAGACATGCTGTTACTCAGGGAGTGTACCTCTTGCCTAGCTGTCCCATTATCATCGGATGTTGGTGTGCCACCCTCTTGAGAGTGGGGTAGTAGTTGACTGGTGGATGGTGTTCCTTGGATAGGACACTGGTGAGAGCTTTGGTTGCTGATGTTGTTCATGATTGGCTGTGATGCTGGCTTGGATGTTGCATCTGGCATATAGGGCAGCTTATTGGTGGTAGTAGAGGTGACAATGTCCATGCTGTGGGGTGTCGGCAGCTTCTTGCTAGGCGTTTCCTGCACGTTGATGTTAGTGTGTGGCATGACGTTTGGTGTGGGAGGCTGCAATTTAAATCAATACATGAGTCTGATTTTGGATACACTATGAAGCAAATGTTTATCATGAGAGCGATGTGACGTTTTCTGTATAGTTGTTTGTATATTCCATTATATCATTATTTGCAAAATCTCAATATCGTATAAGAAAAATTATAGTGCTGGAGAATCTACAGTCACCTAAAGCGTACATTTAAATTATCGACTCTAGAGTTGTATGATATTATTGACATAAATATTTGAATACCACTTGTACAAAGTAATTATATAATATTCTTTTTCATCATCTTTTTTTGAAAGTTTTTGAAGTGCTCTCCTTAAAAGGCCCAAGGATTGATAGAGTATAGGGCAGCGTGGAATAAGGGCATCAAGGAAAACTAATGTCCAACATTGTGCGATAGTAAATGGAAAGAACAATAATGATGGAGGTGGTAAATTAGCTTTTGCAAAAACTGGATAATGTTCATATTTCACCAGTAAATACAAAATAAAACAAAGTGTAATATCGTACCTGCCGCCATGGCAAATCCTTAGTGCCGTAATCGTATCGTATTTCCTCCCCCACCTGAATATCGTCACATGCAAACAGACACAGATGTGGACTTGAGTCATGCAGGATGATTTTCTTCATTACAGAATTTGGTGCCTTATGATCATCATTAATCCAACGGCCTAACCCCGCCTCTGGATCAGATGCATCAATGCTGCAGTCGCAAGATAAATGAAAAAAGATTGCATGCTTAGAGGTAGCATGAAACTATACTGAACAAAATACAGCTCAAATAGACCTGTGTACAAATGTTAGAGTTAAGGCTCATATTTCAAAATAAAAGTTATAACTAATACATACCAGTATTTTTGTTGTTGTAAATATTTGCAAGCCCTGGCATTTCCAGCCCTAATTGGCAAGTACAATTAATGAAGAATGGCATGAAATTTATAAGTGACCTATTTTATCAATAGAACGTCGGAATTTAATGATGAGAGGGGGAAATGAAAAGATTTTTGGTTAATCGATACAAAACTATGACCCCCACTATTTTCAGTACCAGGGTGATTTTTTTGCCCAAATTTGAACCCTCTTCTGAAAATACTTGAGAATAACATACAAAATGCAAGTAAATCATTATTCCACCAAATTATAGCTACATATTACCCTTCGTGATCACATGCATGGTCTAGCTCATTTTCATCATTGCAGAAAAGGTTTTAAATACTTTGATAAGGCACACAGGCCACACCTATTCCATCATATCTTCTTAAAAAAAACTCTACAAATGTTTATGGTATCATTGCAGAAATCATGAACACAAATAATTCAAGTCACTATAATTGATCTGAAATATAAATAGCAGCATACAGTATGGTAACAAATTGATGAAATAACATAGTTGTAGTTTTCTTTATTTTCATTTTTCTTGAAACAGAAATTAAAGAAACTTTACTAACCTGTAGTTCACACCTGTATGAAGAAAATGAAATGTGTAGTCATTGTCTTCATCTGCATCTAATGTCTCACTGAAAATCCCTCTGTATTCTAGAAGAAAATCACCTTTCTGGAAGTGTTTGCATGTGAAAAGTCCATGACCTGAAGTGGAGTACACATGATATTTTACATTCTAAAGCTTACAAAAATATTCCTTACAATAGTCTGGAAAGTTCGGCTTCGTAAGGCATTAGCTGTTAAAATGGTTCAACAAAGTTTTATGAATTAAATGCGTAATTTGGGTGGCATAAGCATTCCACATAAAGCCATCTATGCCCTCTAATATCCACTACATTTGTCTTCACTCTGCTGCTCTGAAGTTTAAATCTACTAACTTATGAACCATAATTTTGTGAAATCAAAGCTTTGCATTTAATAATTGTACTGGCTTATAATTAATTGCAATTAAGGTACATGTACATGTATCACAAATAGTTAAAACTGTTATAGAAATCGTTCCAATCTACTTTATCCCAGCTCCAAATTACAGTTAATTCGTTGATCACTTGTAAAACATGTACATATATATGCATGTCTAATAAAAATAAAATCGTCTCTGGGAGTTAATGCAATCAAATATTTTGATTTCACCCACCTATTGTCTCATTCACAAACTTTATTTCAAAGCCATCTGGGTCTTTTTCAGCCCTGCACCATTTCTCTACCTGTTGATGCGGTGCAACACGGCGGCGTCTGGTTGTCATCTAATGATAAAAAGAAGACAAGAGAAGGTGATGCATGTAAATCATAAGTTGGGTCTGGTCTAAGGACCATTCGCAATTTTCAAGACTATCTTTCCTTGATATTCTTTCTTGCATGTAGGCCTAAGTCAAGTCTATATATCTAGCCCGAGACAGTTATACTGTGGAAGCAGGATTGCTCTGCTAATTCTAACCAGCCAGCTTGCATGCATGGACTTATGACAGACCTTGCAAAGAGTTCAGATGCTCTTTTGATGACCAGAATGAGATCCAAATCCTAACTGGGATTACCTTTAATTTAGTTTGTTACTGTCAACAAAAGGAACATAAAATACATGTACAAGAAGCATTTTACAAGCTTTAATTTGTAAATTAATATTTTGTAATGATTTTGTACATATAAATCTAGGAAATGTTCTTAAATCACATTGTAGTGTCCTCTATTCTTCTTCACAAACTAGTCAATAAAAATGTGTACATGATGTGAATGCAGAAACTTAATGAGGTATGTAATATTGCAATTACTGTCCAAATGAGGATAACTTCATTAACTTAATAGCTCACCTCAACATATTTTCTTTTGGAGAGAAGAAAATGGATAGCTAGTATAGCAGGGATAGAAACATTACGTTCAGAACATGCATACACAGACAAAGAAGATGAAGACAAACATTTAAAGAAAAAGATACGATACGACCATGATAATGTAAAGAAAACAAAGAATGATCAAGAGATGGAGAAAAAAGAAGACAAAGCACTGACAAGACAATCCATGTAGTGGATCATCATTTGCAGAAGAAGAAGCATGCAGGGGCAGAGAAGATGGAGGATGACAGGGATGAAAAGATGGAGGATGACAGGGATGAAAAGATGGAGGGTGACAGGGATGAAAAGATGGAGTAGGGCAAAGACCAATGCTGGGGAGAGTAGAAGAAGGCAGATCAGAGATAGAAAGTTCAAGAAGTGAGGGCAGTGACTGAGTAGACTGATGAAGAGATGGATCGGAAGGTTTTGAACTGCTTGATGTAACAGACGGAATAGAAGACAACGAAGAAGAACGAGAAGGAGGAGGAGGAGGGGGAGGAAGATCATCCATAGTCATTGTTTTAGCTGTGGAAAATAAAGAGGGTGAAAATTTGAAGAAAAAAAACAATAAAAACCTAAATTTGACTGTTATGATTTAGGGTTGATTCTAAAGTTAAATAAATGCTTAAGACTAGTATTAAGTTAAGCCAAACAAACTCTAAACAACAGAAACTAGACTAGGTTTATAGATCTATCTCAACCTTTTCTAGTGATTGTTAGGTGGGCATCAAATATCGTGCAGTCTTTCGCTTCAATAAGGATCTAGATTCTACTGGTCTATAAGTGATGTTCCTTCTAAGCTCTTACATCTGTAAAAGTTCATTTTTCATCATTGTCAGATTGAAGATAAACACACTGCAGATATCAGAGTGGTGTGCAACGTAGTCAATAATGCTAATGGCGAAAACAGACTTCAATTCAAATGCAGAAATTAATAATAATAATAATAATAATAGTTTGTCCTTATATAGCGCATTTCAGGACCACAGGCTCTCTCAATGTGCTTTACAGATATATATTAATACCCGGGTCACACTTTGTATGCATATTCTCCGCTCCCTGGGGAGCATTCCAGCCAGTCGCCATTTTACAAGCGCCACTTGCTAATCAAACCACATTAACTTTTGCATCCTACTGGGTACTCATTTAACACCTGGGTGGAGAGTGGCAAATGTAGATCAATGTCTTGCCAAAGGACATTAGTGCCGCGGCAGGACTTGAACCGCGGACCTTGTGATCCACAGCCCGGTGACATATTCACTCGACCAAGACACCTCAAATTAAGGTAGAGGTCTAGCTGGTAAAGATGAAAAATAAAGAGCCTATATCTGAGGTGAGGGGGATTTATTATTACAGGTTTAGATCGATCTAGATCATGTTTATTTTTTTATCTCACTGGATCATTATCAGTTCAATTCATAGTCGGATAGAAATGTGTCTAGTCTAACTTTAACTAACGTACTGGTACGTGCGATGACATTATTGCCTAAGAAAAGTTAGATTCAATCCAATTTAGATATGATTATGAACACCTTTTTTACTTATTTTTCAGTCAGTTTCTCCAATTTATACATTTACAGTGCATATAAAAAAAAGCCGATTATACTCCCATTCAAATCAATTCCAGACTAAGTAGATCTCGACTCAATCTACTTTAGATATGAACACCCTTTTTTACTTATTTTTCAGTCAGTTTCTCCAATTTATACAGTTACAGTGCATATAAACATAAGCCGATTATACTCCCATTCAAATCAATTCCTGACTAAATAGATCTAGATCTAGATCTCGACTCAATCTACTTTAGATATGAACACCCTTTTTTACTCATTTTTCAGTCAGTTTCTCTAATACAGTAACAGTGCATTTAAAAAAAAAAGGCTGATTATACTCCCATTCAAATCAATTGCTCTTTTGCATGCATACAAAAGATAGAAGAAAACCGTGGACGTCCACCTTTCCCGGGCGTCCATGGTTAGAAGGTATGTATTCCTGCAAATGTCCACGTTCGCAAAGAGGCCTACTTAAAATCATATTGCTGATTTTATTTCCCCTCTTCTTTTAATTTGGCGCAAGCCATTTTTGGCACTATGGACAAAAAAGGTCAATGTTAACTCAAGCGAGAAGAAATATTTGTTATTTTAGTGGCATTTTATAGAAAAAAAAACTAGGCTTTACTCTATGGCTAGGTCTCGAGCACGTTTAAAAATGCCCTTCCTAGACTATTTTGAAAAGTAATTTTGACAGATTTGTCAAAAGTGTTTTAAAAATACGTACTGTATTGTCCCAGATTAAGACCTAGCTCTATACTTTTCTTCCATCAAATATATAATTTTACTTACTTTAATTAAAGATATTTGTTGACCATCCGTTTCGGCATCGCCATCAATCAGCATGCAGCTAGCGACTCGAAATGTTACTTGTAGAAGACGGGCACCGCGCCGTTAAGCCGCGGGGCGCGTCCCGTGCAGCTCAGGCCAGAGTACCCGGAAGTCCGACGTCCCCGTCAAGACCTCGCTAACGCGCGTTATCTGAAATCACAAGGTAAAACAGGGACTCCCCTAAACTGATCCAAAGCTGGCAGCAGACGGAAATGAAATCCGCCGATCGAGTAATTTTGTCCCACCGATCATTAATCCTAGTCGGTCGTAATGATATGCACACCGGTGTATCAGATTTGTTAACGGTTATCGTGGACCTAGCTCCAATCGAGTCTCCTATTTGATATGGTACTTGTTTAGCCGTAAAAAGTCATATTAAAGATAAAAGAGAACCGTGGACGTCCACCTTCGCCGGGCGTCCATGGTTAGAAGGTGTGTATTCCTACAAAGGTCCACGTTCGCGGCCATTTACAAACGCACACACACACACACACGATCTGAATGCCCACACACAGTATATAGTGTGTACGAAGGCTTGCAAGATAGGTAGCATTCACAAACTATGATTTGCACTGCTAAACGTCATGTGAGCTACCGAGCGTGAAATACATATATGTATATGCAGATTATCCATGGATTTAGGCTGAGAAGAGTCACGCCTCCCTAATTAGCCGAGTCAAAAAGTGGGGGAAGGATATTTTCAAAATGTAATCGTATGTGATCCCTGGGAGCTAGCGAAAAATAAGCACATGGATATATTCCTTACGTCTGGCCCAACTTAAGCCTTAGGGGCTCAATTCATGAAAGTGGTAATTCTCGGAGCTATGATGGAAACAATGTTTAAATCGCTGTTTTTTATTGAGATATTTTTAGAGTTCTGAGTTGAGCCTTTTGGGGCATATCGATAAAAACCTGCCCTTTATATGACACCTCTTTTTTTAGCATCACATTCACGATCTCGAGTGATAAAAGTTTGAATCTCAATTTGGTAGTAAAAACATTGCCCTATTTTGCATGATCGCGCAATGCACATAGACTGCATAGGGATGCGTGCAATCTCTATGGGAAGGGCTTTTAGCACACCAAACCGAGTGCACAATCAGAAACACTACCCTAATAGTAAGAGGTGCTTCTCAAATCTTACATTGCAGCAAAACAGAATTGAGATTGGACTGGAATTCAAGTATGCTCAGCTAGAATACCTTTTTGCGATTGTCTGATGGTTTATACTGATGCATGAACTCATCTAAGAAACCCCTGAAGGCATTGATACCCAATGTGAGAGGGAAGGTGGTGTTGTTAGCTTCTTCATACTGCTTGGCTACTATGCTCAGGACCTTCTCAAAGTTGGACATCAGATGTCTGTACTGCAAGTTTACAGCATTACCATCCTACAGAGATGACAACAAAGTGATAGGGTTATAGACGAAATGACGAATAGATTGAATACATGACTAGCATATGATTGAATGAGGGATAAAGAATGGAGGCATGAAGTCAGAAGTGAACCCCATTTGTAGCGACGTATGTGATGAGATCAACATATATTTCAGGACAGTAGTCCATAGATATTTTAAAATGCACACTTGAGTTATAGACTCCTGGTAACACTATTAATACAAGGCTACAACATAACTTTACAAGGACTAAACATAAAAATTATGCCATTGGTGTTGCCTACAATAAGCATCTAATCAAATTGAAATGGTATAAGGAGACAGATATGATGATACTCACATGTAAGGTAACTGAGTATGTACTGATGAGGTTTTCCCTGAATTTCTTGAGCGCTTTCTTGAAGACGACATCCACCTGACTGTACGTTTGGCCCATCTCATTTACCTGCCATCAAATGTGAAAAATAGTTCAAATAACCTACAACACAATTTAAAAACTTCACAGTGACATCTAACATCAGATGCCTGTCTCTAACCTTGCAAGGATAAACCATCAAAGTATACTATGGACCCTCATTCCTTTAACTGCACTAAGAATAAAAACAAAGCATACAATGCATATTTTTTGTAAGCAGCGATAAACTGTTGAAATAGAATGAAAAGAAATGAGAATAAGTATGCAAAAACAGGACAAATTTGAGGGCTACATGTACATATTTTGTACAACAATTTCTTATCATTAATTACTATTTTGTTATGTTTACTGCTAGTACAGATCTGCTGTAAAGAATATCAAACTTTGAAATCATATGCCATCATTCAATAATGGTCCTCTATGAAGTATATTTTACCTTAGATTGGATGAAGACATTCATCTGTTCCAGAGCCTGAGCATCATTGATGAGTTGATCTGTAGGATACCTCCACTGTGACATCCCTTGAAAATTAATATTACCCTGATTAGTACGAGTTCTTTTAGGAAGGGGTGAATTCACTGTTCCAGAATTCTTCCTCCCTGAAGGGGGTTTCTGTTGCTGTGGTGGTGTCCTCTCACCAGTTAACTGCTTCTCGTTGGTCTTGTCATTGAGGACACCAGACTTGGAGCTGGAGTTACTCTTGATGCTACTCTGCTCCTCGATGAGTAGAGTCTGGTCCGATGGTGATCGTCTGAACCGTCGCTTAAACTTAAAGTTGTGCTTGTAACGTTTGAAGAGATTCTTTGGGGGTGCGCTTGGTGATTCTGGAGTTCGTGGAAGACTGCTATCCTGGTCAGACAACAGTGGAGATCTAGGTGAGGTAGGAACCACCTCATCTTCAGTGGCTGATGAATCTGAGATTACAGATGAAGGCCTGCCTACAACAAAATCAACCTAAACACAAACAAATAACACACATCACAAGGTTTCTTGGTTTAAACAAAATATCTTGATCTTGAGAAGCTAGCTCATGACTTTCACTCTTAAATCAGATTGAATGGAATTTATTTCCACATTTGCATTAAAAATACAGAACGGTATATATAAAGTAAACAAACATCAAATACATGCAAATTAAGAAGATAAAAGGGATAATTTACACGATTGGGAAAACATACAATGTAAATGTGGCGGGATCAAAATAAGTTTGTGTAAAACTTATGTCCATGATCCCCTACTGTTAAGAAGCATTTATACAAGTCTAAAGACTAGAACTCAAGTATTTACAAACCAAAAAGACTTATCTGTTTTCTGTTGTTTACTGACATTTCAAATACAGGCTCAACATGTTATATCATAAAAATATAAGCTTTGAAATAAATTAACAAGGTATTTCTACTAATGCTTTGGGATCCACACTGATGTCACAATCTGTTATATAAGAAATATAAAGCTCTAGCATTACTAGTTTTCCTTACTCTCAATGACAATGTGTTGTGCAAAGACTTGTGTGGGTGGAGTAGTTCTTACTGTCCAACCAGGTCTTTCCTGGAATTAGTCTACCTCCTCATGTCTGCGTACAACACAGTATCCGTGAGAGCAAGGCGTTCCCTGGCATTGACAAAGGATAATAAAATGGAATCTCATGCTCACCTTTCCCTTTGGACTAAGTGGTGGTGATGGTCTAATGGGTTGAACCTTATCCCTTTCTTCCATCTGCATCTCCTCCGCATCATCATCTTCTTCCAAGATGATGTCATCTGTTGCTAAGACAACCAACTCTTCTCCATTAACCTCAGCTGCCTTAACTGTCGCCTTCTCCTCCCCTGCTGTATCCTCCTCCTCCTCGTCTCTTCCAAATGGTGTCTCTTCTAGAGAGTCAATGACGCTCTGTAGATCAGCCAGCTGATCTACTAACTGCATTGATTCTGTCCGTGAGACTACGTTACCACCCTGCATAGGCTTCTTGATGGCAAGTGCTTTAATATCAAGCTTGTTTACAACAGTTTGAGGAGTTCTATTTGGACTTGTATTGCTCTCCATGGAGGAGTCTGACGATGTTTGTTTGTTGGGGCGTTCACTGGAGGAGTCTCTATCACTCTTACGATCCTGGGAAGATGAGCGTGAGCTTGAGGTTGCCCTTGCCATGTAATCACGGGCCATGTCCCTCACCTTAGTTTGTCTGGCACAATAAACAATAACAAATAAAAAAACTTTATATGTTACCATACCTTTCACAGCAAAAATGAAGAATCTATCAAGGCAAAATTAGGAATACAGTCTTATTTTGTATATATAAATAAGAATTATTCCTCCAAAATAGGATTGGCAGCTATGTGTTACTCACATTGTACATTATAGTTAGAGTTGCTGTACTTTTTTTTTATCATTACACCTTACTATCTTCCTTGCATGATACAAAAACCTTCACAAAAAGATATAATTCAAATATAAACTATTAAGGCATTGACTTCTGAATTCTCTCTCATTCCTAAAGGCCTTAAATAAAGGGGTCACCTCGTTCCTCTGCCATAAATTAAAGTTATAAACAGCAGTATTACTTAATTTGAGATTATCACACTATAATTTATATAATATTCAAAACATACATGAAAACAATACATGAATCTCAATTAATGACGAGACAATTTTGTAACTATTCTTTCTTGTGATTAAAAACCTGATTAGTGAAGGGGTGACTACCTTGCAAGAGATCTTCTGAGAGGGGACACATCTGGAATGGGACTAATAGGTGGTCCTACTTCAACGTTGACACCATCATTGAATGACGGTGAGAGCAGTGCATTGGGACTTGTAGGACTTGTCAAACTAGTAGAAGAGGGATGCAGGCCACCGGTAAGGGTGAGGGAGGGACCAGGTGAAGTGGTTGGTTCATCTAATAGGAGCTCATCTGAACCCAAGGATCCCTCATGGACTCCACTGCTCCTATAGTGTTAGAGTAACAGGAGGAAATTACTGCTACAATGTAGGAGAAGCTTGTACAATCTTTTGGATTATTTACCCATTCTGACCAGAAAAGTGGACTGACATGATTATCTATTGGAATTTAAAACTCATTTGAACCAACATAACTAAAATGGTACATCATTTGCAATTATATAGTTTTCAAACAAAATGCAAATTTCACTATTCTTTGCAAAAGGTTCCTGACAAAGCAGGATGAATCTAAATCCTGCAATATATGTACACTGGAACTTGCTAAACATCTACAGGTACATGTACGCTGTTAATCATATAGGTCAAATTCAAGTCTCAAATTAATTTTTTGTCCACGGGGGCTGTTTTAGTACTCACGGGGCTCTTTTTTAATATAAATTTCCATTGAATTTGTACCCATGATGCTCCTAAATTCTTGCTATTCCATCATAATCATTTATTTAAGTCGGCATTTTCCCTCTTACAAATTTACAAGTAACATAGGGGTTACTGACTTTCATCCCGTGATGACATTCTCCCCATTTCTTCCCGTTTTGCACATTATTTCCTTCTCATCATTCAGAGCAACCTTATTTTCATTCATTTTTTAGTCTTTACCATATCGTTCCACAACAACTTTGGTCTTCCTCTACTTCTCAATATTGATTTACTGGTCGAGGTTCATTATTTGCCCATCGCCCTCGTGTATTTTGAGCCTTGGTCAAATTGCACAACTACATGTAGATGTACTGAACTAAATGAATTACAATGTAATTATCAGGGAGGGGGGATGTGAAGGTAACTACTCTAAAAACTACATGATGATACTACTTACTTTTTTAGACAATGGATCATGCAAGCACAGCGTTAATGTACATGTTAAAGAACTTTCACGATTAAATAACAACTATTCAGCTGAACTTTTAAAATCTACTTTTTATAGATTTATAGAGAAATAAAAACAAATTTTTATCCCACAAAGCAGTAGATAGTAAATTAGTCACAAGAACTTACTCTTCTGATTCCATTGTGGTTGTTCTGTTCCTCTCATAGAGATCGTCCTCGATATCATCTGTTGTCAAGATTCCCTCATCACTGATAGCAGAATGGACATCATCAGTCCTCCTAACACGATTCTTGACTTGCGAAGATGACTCATCATCGTCTCCTCTTCTCAAGCGAGTCTTCACAGGTGTAGGCTTCACGCTTTGCTCCTTTCTCAGTAATATACATCTGTCATGATATGAAGAAGACTTAGTCTATACTCATTCAAATTTAAAATGCATGCCATTTAACTCTAGATTAGACAATTTTTTTAAGCGCCAGGAACGTCACGGCGTGACACACATGTGCGCTATATAAGAAGTCCCCGTTATTATGTCATTTGGTAACCATAATGCAGTTTGAATATTCCTACAAAGACAATTATTTGTCATAAATTTATTTCAAAAAATGATTGTGTTACTTTAAAGACTTTTTCTTATGTAATGACATTAAAACAGATTTTTTTTATTGTACAATATAAGTATGTAAAGACCCTGCATGTATATCTAACCTACACAATTTCTCTTACCCAATAATCCATAACGATTTTCATCAAAGCACAGACCAGTAGATTAACATTGTATTACAAAGTGCCATCTGCTCAATATAAGATGTACCTACATCGCATCATCACCTGTCTGTCCTACATGTACCTCCCACATGTATCTTACTTAAATGTTTAATGACAGGCTATGGACTTACCTCTTTCTTGTCTTCATGCCCCTTGTTCTTGACCTACACATGTATCTTACTTGAATGTTTAATGACAGGCTATGGACTTACCTCTTTCTTGCCTTCATGCCCCTTGTTCTTGACCTACACATGTATCTTACTTGAATGTTTAATGACAGGCTATGGACTTACCTCTTTCTTGCCTTCATGCCCCTTGTTCTTGACTGCAACAGGAGGATACCCCTCCTTAGTTTCTGGTACTGTCTCTGTTCTAGTACCATTCTCCACAATGCTTGAATGGTAATTGCGGCCTTCCTCTGCTCAAAGTATATCCTTCTATCAAGATAACCTCGCCAATTTGCCTACAAAATAGGACAATAATATAAATGTTAGAAAACCTCTATTTTTTTTTCTATCTAAATTCTTTTCAACATCTTACACTTTTTAAGCCCCAAAGCCTGAATAAGAGGTCTTGTAGAGAGTACTTAAATCATCAAAATGATCCATTACATGCATGTACATATGTCACACAGCTGAGTGTCATATAACCCTGAATATCAAAGAGCGACTTCTGACATAACCAATGGATACAGTTTATTGTAACATTGTCATCAGAGGACTTGCAATTCATTTAGATCAGTCAAATTAATACAAAAACAGAGTGCAGGAAATAAAAGCAAATAATTATCTTGGAGATATATTGCCAAAGAGATATCTTGAACAGTGTGAATGGCATGCATCATTGTGTGGAAAGCTCTCGCCATCGATCAACTCCTCACCTGTAGTTTGATAATGGATTCTCTTGTCTCCCTGTAGCGTCTCCTAGCTAGGAGCCCTCTGTACCACCACTGGATCTTACAGATACGCTGGAGCACATGGGCATGGAGTGCTTCCTGGAGCTTTACTCTCTCACTTTCTCTCAAGAACACCTGGAGAAATAGTTAGAGCACAATAACATGTGACAATATACTTTATATTGTACACATCAAAATGTTCACATACAAGATTTGTTGGTAGATAACAGGGACATATACACTTTTTTGTGAGATATTGTTTTTGCAATAATTAACACAAGCTATTCACACTATATATTTCACATGCTTTGCCAGCTCACTTTATCATGACCCTACAAAATTTTACAAAATTCAAGAAAATAAACCCTCATGAAAAAACAACTCCTTAATTTAAACAGCATGTGGTTTTGTTTAAAGGCATTGTTTAACAACGTTAAATCTGAGATACACGGCCCTACGTGTTATCAGTGTCTGTGATATGGTGTAATATTGAAGCCCTAAAAAAATTGCGCTTCAAAATGATCAAGAAGTGTCTCCAAAAAGTAAAAATCTTTGAGTGACCGGTTTTACCATACTCGTTTTCCCCAATAAACTGTAGTGTTGTGAAAAACGTTTTGCAAACGCAAAATTTGGTTTCGATTACCAATCATAAATATCATGATAATCAGACAGGCGATCGGCTTGTAAAAGTCATGGGGTTCCTGACTGACCTAAAGGTTTATAATTATCATTGCAGCATGAGCTAAATCCAGGATTTTGTTTCAGAATCTGAGACAAAGTTACCGGATCCCTTTAAGTCACAAATGTATGTAAAAACTTGTGATAATGATTTGTTTAAAATCCATCACCTCCTTGCACAATAGATTATGAAGGCCTACGCTTTGATGGAATATGATCATAACAGAATATATATATTTTGAATGACTTTTTCAACCTTTCAGAATAAAACATTGAAGAATGGTTTAACATCCAGCTTGTCTACCTGACAAGATAATGTTATTGAGTGATAATGATTATACTAACCTTTGACTTGCCAATCTGATAGTTGGTAGCATCCAGGTCCATAGATACAAGGAATGTCTTTATCTCTCTGGCTGAAGCCTTCATCTGCTTTGGTAGCAACACTTTGTACTTATGACAGAATTCCTACACAGGAAGATTATTTCAAAGAACATACATGTATGTTTCTGGTATATTTTGTTATTACAAATCTGCCTAAAATTCACTTCAGTTTGTCTCTAAGTCTGGTTTATTTTATAGTCTCTAAAACCTTTTCTATATTTCTCTCTTAGAATTTCTTCTGTCTGAATTTTATATTTTACATGGCAGTTTCAAATATCTGCCTTAAGTTTTGCCTGACTGTTTTGGTAGTAACACTTTGTACTTATGACCGAATTCCTAGATAAGGCAATCAATAAACAATATATCAAAGTACATTTCAAGGTACATTTTGTTTACATTATTCTGGCATTAGATGTCTTCAATCTGTTTGTATATCTATGATTTCTCTCACAGTCTCCTACTTTTCAGTAATTCTCTATCTTTTCCTTGACTATTTGGTTTCATTTACTATTCAGTACTAAATATGTTCATATGATTTGCTAATTATGTCCTGAAAGTGCAAAATTAAGCAGAGGTTCTTAACATATGTTCAGATATCTGGAACAACTTGAAGAGATCAACATTATATACACATGAACTTGACAATGTTCAACGTGAGCAGAGGAACTTTTTTCAAGAGGCCTGAATCAAAAACTTTTTTAGCATGAATTTTGACAATTTCAATGAGTTTGGAATTCAAACATATGAATATCTGTAACGGTCTACATACCTCAAATTTGAGTCTGACATTATATCCAGACTGTCTTATCCTGACAGTCTCCAGCATACCAGTATATCGTAGCTGTCTCATGATGAGTTCTTCATCCAGACGACATGGCTCTTTCTGTGAGTTGGACTTGATGCACCGAACAAAGAACGGATTGGCTTGGTTCAAGGTATCCATCAACTTACTCAATGAAGACTGCCAAATACAGACAAGTTAATGGAAGGTAATATTAGTCATGTTCATGGATTTGGTGAAATGTGTTTCCTCTTTAGCTAGGCTAAGAAGGGAACAATAACAGAATATTTAGTGCTATTCAATTTCATAGATTTTCTTCTAGCTGGTACAGGACTTGTTTAAGACTTTTCTAAGACTATAACAAGAGCAAATATTCTTGAAATAAAATAAATTGTTTTTCAATAGCTTTTAAAGCTTCATGAGTACCAATTTCACTCAAATATATGTACACCTATTCCTGTTCCTGCTTACTTCCCACACATATAATTCAATTTGGATTCTTTTACACACTAACCCTTTTGTGACAAGGAGTTTAGAACTATTATTCATAAGTGAACATTTAAGATTGAAATATAGACATCTATGAGTAGTTTATTAGTCAATTGGACCTAAAGTATATTGCAATAAAATACACTTTACAATAACTCTTGGGCTGGATTAAAGGGGTTACAGCATCTGAGGGGTTACAGTGTAAGTGGTTGACTGTGATAATATGTTTACCTGGAACTGTGCACACACTGTGGGGGGATGTTTCTTGGATTTCCTACGGTTTGGAGAGTACCGTCCAGCAATCTTCTTCACTGACTTCAGATCTCTTAGACTCTGCTTAGCAATGGTTAATAAATCATCAATCAAATACACATACAAGATAGAGATGATATACACTGTAAACTATGGAACAGTGATGGTCATAAGAAAAGATTATAATCTTTAAAAAGGGGTACAAAATCAATATATAAATATTTCTACATATCAGGAATTTGCTATTAAACAGTCACAGACATGCATCTACAATAATTATACTTATTACTGGCATCTATTCCATTCATAACATTTGCAAATTTAGATATGCAAAGAAAATTTGTTACATTTCTGTACTTTTGACATGGCTTACATGCATGTGATTCATTATAATGCCTTTTGATGTTCAATCTACTGTCCATTCAATATGCGATGTTAAGTAAGTAAAATATATAGAGATGAATCATTATTTCAAAGATGTCTGCCTTCAATCATCACTTCGTAATAACTAAATACACCAGTTTACGGTTACTTCAGTGCGCATGCATAGACATGGACGCCATTTTAATTGGCTTTTAAACAAAGTCAATGACCTAGAGTACAGTGGTTTATGCGTACATTAAGATTGCGCCCATGCAAATTATGATTTGAGCGTACAACACAGCGCGCAGACAGTGATGTCATCATTATTTGCATGGGCGCAATCTTTAGGCATAAACCACTGACCTCTAGAGGTCATTTGTAAATTAAGATGGCGCCCACAACCGTAAACTGGTGTATTGATTTTGCTTACCTTAGAGGGCTGGACTTGAGCTCCACGGAATGATCGATTTCTTCTGCTCATTGGAGAGAAAGGGATCAAAGAATGAGTCATAGCATTTACAGACACAAAGCAGATAATTATCATTTTATACAGCATTCCTATCAGAATAGTGCTTCAACCAGACACCCTACATGTATGTACTATATAAAATTGTCATGCTTTTGTTCTCAGGAAAGAGACACAAATTTAAGGTAACAAAATGTGATGCATTATGAGATGATATTGGGTGAATAATTCAATGCAAAATTACTTCTAGGCTCCAGTATTTATTTCTGAGCATAAAGTTGTTTTCTTCCTTCTCTCAACCTAATGGATACCACGCAATAATGGATAAAGCACATATTTTCAAAGGCTACAGCCGGCATTTTCTCAGACTATCAAAGAGCCTTATGCCAGCCTTCAATTTTTTCCCTCAAAATATCTCCTCTGCTTTTAAAGGACTCTAGCGTCCAATTACTATACTATAACTCCAACTTTTAGTATCCCTACCAATTTCCTAGTTATTTTGCAAGATGTTTTTTAACCAATCACAAAGTCTCAACACATTGTCCATATACATGTGCACATAATTGTGTATTTCAGATGAAATCAAGATTTTCTTTAGCAGAGCAACAGCAAATAACTAAAAGCTCTATGTAGTGAATAAAGTATTTTTTTCTTTCAGTTTGGCAAGTGCAGAGTTAGTTATTTCAGTTAGTCAGACACTAAATTGCAGGTGTTTGTTGCAAAAGTCCTCGGCTGGTAAAAAAAGTGTTTTTCTATTCTAACCTTTGAGTGCTTAATAAAGTAAAGCGAAAGCACCGACATGAAATTTTCCTCCCTTTTTTAATGTTTCAAAATTGAAAGGGATCTATGTACATTACTTGATTTATACATTGGGAATGAATGGATAGGTTGACTATAAGTATATCAGTACACAGGAACGGTTCTGATTATGTATGATTTGTAATGACAAAGGGCGTTTTTACACATGTTCAATACTCAGCCAAGATGCATTAATATACTACCTTGTATGCAACATGTATATTGCACAACTGTATGCATTCCAGGAATGTCAGGCACATGCCATATCACTCGATATTCATTCATGGTTTTTTTTTCTTCAAATGAGAACAGATGTTGGCATGCTACCACAATATATATATACAATTTTCATTCTACAAACACATTTTGGACAAGGAGAGGATTAATATAATTAATACTTACAATCACAAGACTGATTTCAAACTACCATATAAGATACATGTATGTGTAAAATATATTTCTATGATATTTGAACCGATTTGGACTATCTAATGTGTTGATCGACAAGTCAAAATATGGTTGGACTAGGTAACAGACAATATTTTCATGGATGTTTAAAATAATGTTTTTCATGGGAGATTTGAAGAAGAAATATTCGCTCAAAATAGAAATGAAATAGTCTCCAACCTGGTAACCAGTATTGATGTATTGTAAATGTATGTACATGTAGGTATGTACATGTATGTAGGTATGTATGATTTAAATGACTGGATGTATGATGTTGAAGAGGGAGAATGGTAAGCAGGGAAGATTTTATTTTGAATTGCCATGCTTATTTTGTCAACTTCAGAGGTAGCCATTTGTCCCCAAACTATGAAGAAAAAAATAAAACTGTAAATCATCTCTATTCATTTGTGAATTGTGTAATTACGGTTGGCATCATGCAATGCAGCAACACACAAAACTACCCACAAAAATCATATACATGTAGTTCCTAAATTGTTAAAGGAACATTATTTAAAATCAAGGTTAAATAAAGTGTGAATGTCATAAAATGCACATATCCTAGTTTTAGAGGATTTTTCTTTGTTTCGTAGAAAATATACATTTCCATAAAAGCAATTTCATCTGTTTCCAAAAGAAGATTTCCTGCTATGTCACAATAATTTCTCCTGCTGGTATTTATTTCAATAGCACAAGAATAAACCCTACGTAAAATATGCCTTTGTCAACTAAAGCTGAATTTGAGGTATTTCATGCTCATTTGTTGGAGACCATTTTTCTAGTGTAGCAGACCGGGAGGGATTGAGAAGACTGAGATGAAACCAATGACGTACTTGACCACTTTGGAGGCCCTGAGATAATTCTCCCGGTAGAGTAGATTTGGCTTCAGTGTACCCAGGCTCAGATGAGATGTAGGACTAAACAACATTGGGCTGGTTAGTAGGGGGGATACCCCACGCGTCGTCAGGCTGCAAGGCAGATGATAGGCCGGCAGGGTGGGTAGGCAGGAGGGTGGGGTGTGGCACACATGTTGATGACGATGAGGCAGCCCGGAAGTGGCAGGGGAATGGGTGGGGTATGGGTTGAGGTTGGTAATACAGATGGGGGAGGGGGAGAGGAGATGGTAAATATATGTTTTTAAACATTATCATTTCATGCCAGTCATGCAACTCAAATATGTAAAGCCAGGGTGCGCTCTTGACAATGACACACACACACATAACACATTTCAGTGGCGCTCATTGATTTTTATCGGGTGCAGGGTTCAACATTTTCTGTACTATCTAATGGTGCAATTATTTGTAAGCAAATATTTCAGGAATGTGCTGTGGCAGGCAAGTGTGATTTTATCACATAAATCACCAAAATAACTGAAATTGACTGTGCAGAGCATGCATTTTCAAGTTACATCGCACCCTGTCTTCCATGTACATAAAACAAATTTTATAACAATCACTTTCTGATGTAACGTTATCACAATCAATTATATAATACAATACTTGGATATACAGATAATTATAAATTGTCACACAACCATACACAGGATAGATGCAACAGAGAAAGGAATAGGAAGGATACAGCAGGATCTATGTAGAGCAATGTATGTATGCTTCAAGGGAATGGACAGGTATATAATGTGGAAACAAGTACATTTTTGTGGGACTAATTTCATTGTATGCAAGTTTTTATTGGGAGAATGGTAAACATAGTTTTATTTCAGGTGTTTGCATATAATGTATCAATCTTTGGAGGTGTAAATATGTGTGTGATGTAGAATTATGGTAACACTGATTCTTTTAATCACTGGGAAAAAAAAGCAACTACCTTTTTTTTTTACATTAATAAGTACAGGTATGATATGGCCCTAACAAAAAGATAATTAGCTTCATGCCAAACACTTTTTCTTTAATATAACATGCTTTTTGCCCACTTCAATATGATTAATCAGGGAATGGATAAAAATGGAAAGATTGTTCTCCATGCAAAATTAATTGCTTTACTTCAATGCTTTATAAATAATATACATGTACTCCTAAGGAATATACAACAGGACTTTAATATGTTGCATAGCATACAGAAAATCCATAATTTGATGCATAAAAATAACATTATAAAAAAAATGATGTGATGCTGCTGGGCACTGCACCAAACAATCCTACTACATAACTAGATCTACGACTGTGCGCAATCGAAAATGATGCCTCAGCCAGAGCTATTTTACAAACCTTACACATTTTTGTAATTTATGTTTGATTGTAATCCATTTATAACAGGTTCTCATAATATCATGATTACATGTACAAGCTAGTTTTTCATATACATGTATGACCCTTTTATCTTTGACCTCATGAACCTAAAATCTAATCAGTTTATTGGCTCTGCAAGATACATACATGTCCCGAGCTTGATAATAATCCATCCGTTGGTTCTAATGATAATGCGTTCACAAGCTATTTTTGCATACGTAATGAGCCCCATGACCTTTGACCTCATGAACCCAAATCTAATCAGTTCATTGGCTTAGCAAGATACATACATGTCCTGAGTTTGATGGTAATCTGTCTATTGGTTCTAATGATGTCATCACAAGCTATTTTCGCATACAAAATGAACCCTGTGACCTTTGACCATGTGACCCCAAAATCTAATCAGTTCATTGGCTCTGCACGATACATATATGACCTAAGTTTGGCAGGAATCCATCATTTGGTTCATGAGATAACGCGATCACGAGAACAGGATGTACAGTCGTACGTACAGACGGACAACCCGAAAACATAATGCCTCCGGCTAGTTAGTTGCAGAGGCATAAGAATGGAAATATCAACTCTGAATCAAATATTTTAGAGAACATTTTGATAATACTGGTTAACGTTTTGTAATGGGGGAGGATATATTTGCACATTCATAGTCAAGCAAAACGCGAGCAATAGTGTCTGAAGGGTGTTGTGAATATATATAAGGGATGAGTGAGGGATAGGAGTGCATGCCTAGTCTCTTTCTCAACTCACTTGATGAGCGCCATTATGCGGTAACACCTAGAAGCTGTGTACAGGTTTCTGGGAGACAGAAACAAGTGACTGGGGATAAGAGTCTAATCATCAAAGTCAGGTGAGCGGACCGATGTGTGCCTTTAAAGCGTGCGACTTTTAATTTTTTCTCATTACCTATAACTATTAAATCTTGTGAGATATTCTTCACACTATCAAAGCATTGGACTAAAAACTCATACAGCTTTGCATAAAGATCTACAGGTAATACATAATTGTATATGAGATAACATGAGGCAACTTGAGATCTCTTTAGTTTAAAAGCAGCTTGGGACAAACTAATATTATAGGACTTTATTTCTTTAATGAACCACATCTAAAAATACTATATATCTGATCGGACTAAAAAAAGGTTTTGAGTCTGAAATCAAAAGAAAATAGTTAATTGATAAGCCCATATTTTTATTCTTTTCATTTTAATAACAAATAAGGCTGCCTGAATTTAAAAAAACAAAGAAAAACATCTATTAATTATGTCCTTTTTAATAAAAATATCTTGATTCCCAAATATCTATCTAAGGACTACTCCGATATGCCATTTTTTGATAAATCGGTCTTCCCTTTGTATAATTGCAATTGCTCTTCAAATGAAGCAATTATCTTCTCCTTTAAGAGTGCATGGTTAACATGGTGATGAGTAATCTCTGTGAAGTACTTACATAGAAGCACAATGGTGCGCACATCTATTGACAGGGGATTCAAATAATTCATTTTAAAAAGTTTCACAAAATTTCTTTTTGAGGGGCAAGGGAAATATTCACATTTGAAGAGACGCAGGTCATGAAAAAATACAATAAACAGATCACGACAACAACATTAACAGGAGGACAAGATTTTGGCGGCTTTGGTCTTTATATATCTATGCATATTTTTTTTAGAGGAAAGATAATACCAAAAATTCTACAAATCAATTTGGAAAGGAAAGATAGTTTTTATAAATTGTGTGAGTAGCATAAATCTATAAACCTAATTTAAAGAAATTGTATCAAGAAAGATAGAAAGGAAATAGACGAGAATCGAAATAACATACACACATATTTAACACTAAATTAATATCATTTAAAGTGTCTGAACAAAACATGATAACAATTCGAAAGTACCATTTTCAACGAATATAAAATTTATCAAACATTTCATCACAAATATCAGGACCATTGACAGAAAAAAGCAAGCCCATAAGGACAATTTGGGAGAACCAACAGGAGTTAAATAATGGACCAACAAAATGGATGTATACATTTTCTGCAGGAATTTGGATATTCACATGTTTCACTGACATTCCATTTGTATAACTGTTCACATCACCAAGGAGAGATTATAGTTGGGGCTCAATGTAATAATGCATTCATTCATTCATAACCAAAGTTATATCATTCTGGGCTAATGATGATTTTTTTTTTTTTTTTTTTTAAATTTTTAATCCAGAATATTACTCCAATGTTATTACGGAAGGGGACATAATTTAGGTGTATCAGGGTAGTTCTGCTCTTTATAACCCGATACTGATAGGGATTATGATTTATTGCTTCTGAACATATTGTTGACAGAGAATGAATAAGTAAACATATAGCCTCTGTGATGCATACCTGAGAACATTTTCATCCTTTCCATCAATGCTTAGGCTGAGGTTGGGTGGTCGCTTCTTCCCTCTTATAGCTGCAAAGATTTCAAAGAATAAAGGAAAAAAGACATTAAAAAAAGAGAATCAAATAAAAAGTGACAAAAAAGAGAATTAAAGATTACATGTCTATCATCAATAAACAAGTTACTAATACTTTCAAATGATCAAAATATGTCACCATCATTACAATTTTCTTCTCAAAATATCAATAATATCACATTGTGAAATAATTGCTGAAAGAAACTGGGATATAGCATTCAAGCTATAAAATGAAAATCCAGAGATGTAAACCATGCCTTAACCCTATATAGCCTGGTTGGGGCTAATCCCCCCCCCCCCTCCCCCCTCAAATCTCGGCCGTTGATTGACCGATTTCGACGGAACTTGGCATGTCTGTGTCCCATCATGTATTTCACAAGAATGCATAGTCAAATCTATGATATCTATTGTTATTCTTAATTTTTGCCTAATTAATGATGCAAATATGCACAATTTTTCTAGAACCTCATTTTTCCAGTCCCCCCCCCCCCCCATTAATGGAGAAAATGCAATCAAATTTTGCATGTTTGTAGCTTTTCATAGAATCTAAAAGACAGCTTACCGGTCGTCAGATTAATGACATGTATAGAAATTCCATATTTATAATTGTAATCAATTATGCAAATATGCTAATTTTTCTTGAAATTCTTATTTTCTGATTCTGATTACCAATTCAGGGCAGAAATCTTTTTTCTAGTTATAAAATGAAGAAAAGGTGATGTTTAGTGTATGTTTTAACAATCTATGATTGAAATATGGGAAGTGATTATGCAAATTAGATATGTGTTTCTGAATTCTTATGTTTTCTTCTTTTTAATTTCTTATGTATTTCTTTTTTTTTAAATCTTGTGTTTTTCATTTTTTTATTATCTAGAATACTAAAGTAGTTGATGATGACCCAAAAAAGGGTTGTTACACTGTATCTGAGGAAATACAGAAAAAAAACATTCTTCTAACAACACTTCTTGTAAAAACCCATCCGTTGTACACACAAGATCATTGGACTCCGCCTTTTTTTAGTGACATTGGTCACGAATATGTGCTATATCTCTGCAACCGTACCCCCGATTTCCGCGAACAGGGTCGTAAAATGTGTTCGAGATGTGGACAAAATAGTCATGCTATTGAGGGTTAAATAACATATAATGTTCATATCTTTATATCAAATTAATAACTTGTTGGATAATAGATGTAGAGTTGTCACACTCTTCAGCTTCGGAAAAGACAAATATGTATTGAAAAAATTATATTGAACAAAGATATGCGGAAGCGTTTCATCCTGCATTCAACAGAGTCGAGATACAAAAGATGTACACAAAAATCAAATCAAACTCTACAAATGCAAACTAAATTATGGATGTGATCTACATTTATTTACTCACTTGCATCTTTACTGTGGCTTGACCCTGCGATCTTGAACGCACTAACCGATCTGAAGAATGCTCTGAGTATAGCCCATCTGAACACAGCTACAGGATTCTTGCCTACAAGCTCTCCAACGAATGCCAGTCTACTGTTCTTCAACACTGACACAATGTCAATCCTCATCAGGTCAGTGTTCTTTTCTCGGAAATCCTGTGCAGGTCAATGGTTAAAATGAAAATATGTATCAAATACAAGCCTTCTAAGCTTCATATGCTTGGTTCTTTTCTAGCTGAAAAGCTTTATGATATCAAAATACAGAGAATATCGTGATTTCATTGGCAAGTTAATTATAGAGGTATTAAGAATGTCAAAGTTTACTTTTTTCTCTTAGTTTCTCTTAATGACAAAATAAATTTTCTGATACTTTCCTGACATAGCAAAAACTAATGCCTTGATGTTGTAATTGACTTTCCCAGCATGGTGTTGAATAATGAAGGTATGTTCTTGCAGGGGTACTGGAAGTATTTGTTACCACAGTGCATGTATGCTTAAACCTTAAATCTACTGATTGTGATACATGAGGTACAACTATTGAATCTACCTTGTTATGGTGTTAGCCTTACCAGCATAGTCCTAAATGATGACAGCATTTTCTGGATGGTACTTACTGCATAAGATCTTATGCCTTTGTATGCATGAACCCTCAACCCACTGATTGTGATACATGGGGTAGAACCACAGTACCTATCCTGATGTTGTCTTTGACCTTCCCTGCATATCGTTGAAAGATGAAAGCATGTTATTGGATGGGTACCTGCTAAAAGAATCTGATGCCTTTACATGCTTGAACTCTAAACTCACAGATTGTGATACATGGGGTAGAACCATGGAACCTACCTTGATGTTGTATTTGACCTTGCCAGCGTAGTGTTGAATGATGAAAGCATGTTCTTGGATGGGTACTTGCTGGAAGTATTCATTACAAGAATGTTCTTTCACAAACTTATTCAGTAGGTTGCTACCATCTGTGTCTTTGGCTGGGAAACTGGGAAAATATTAAGATATTGCAAAATTATATATCAAAAGGAAATCAATAAGTTACATTACAATCAATTTGTATATAAAAATTTGAATGCTGTCCCTCTCTTATATATATGTTAGGTTTGGGCTTATTGTTGGCTATACCTGTTATTATTTGTATAACTAGTAACACATAGATATAAACTGTCATCTAATATGATCTGGATTCTGATCATGTTTCATATCAATGATCTCTGTGCATGTACAGTAGATCATTTGTATTTACAAGAATGTGTTTGCTTTTTTTTACCCCAGCCTTAAAATGCCTCTAAACGATAGTTACTGCCAAAAATATACCTCACATCTTATGACTGCATAACCTCGTTATCTCGTAATATTGCCATAACTAGCAGGACCCGCGGAAATCCGCTGGATTCTAGAGGGGGGCGGGGTGTAAATAGATATATGGAGACTCTCTAAATTAGAACCACCAAGAACTTTATTTGCCATTTATAAAAAATTAAAAAAACCGATCCAACTGTACCGGTAGTTATTCTTTAAGCCACTGGAAATGCAGAGAGTTCCGTAGTGTGGCGTACCAACTACGCAGAAATTAGGCTGCGTATTAATGGGAAAATAGTCCCTGCGTAGGTTATGCGTAGGCTGGCGTACAGGTTTGCTTATGGTTGCTTATTGTGTGGAAAGCTTTTACTGCTATGTCGATCTGGCGTAGGGTAGCGTACTGTTGCGTAGACATGTAGCGTAGTGTTGCGTAAAAAGGCATACTTTCTGCGTCAAGTTTCTACGCCAAAAGTACGCGAAAAAAATTAAACATGTTGAATTGCTTTCGTTCATCTTGCGTACCCCTTTCCGTCCCTCAGCATATAGTAACGTAGGCCAGCGTAGTTGGTACGCAATACTATGCAACTCTACGTATTGACCCCATGCCAATTAGTGACCTGCCAGTGTCACAAATAAAGTATTAAAAATATGCTCATCTGACCCTAATTAAATGCCTAAAACTCCCGAGCTTTCGGGGGTTTATGGCCCTTCGAAACCCGTGGACCCCTATATTGTATATACACTCAACTCGCTGGGAGCTGATCTCCCCCCCCCCCCCCCCCGACTTTGAAGAACGTAACCCCCGAGCTTTCGGGGGTTTATGGCCCCTTGAAACCCGTGGACCCCACGCCTATATTATATATACACTCAACTCGCTGCGATCTGATCTCTCCCCCCTCCCCCCCCCCCCACTTTGAAGAATGTTTCTTGGAGCCTGCATGTAACATGCAAGAATGGTGCATGGTGATGCAGATTTACTTTTTCCACCCCCCCCCCCCCCCCCCCCAAGGATTTTACTCATTACGCAACTGGCCGTTTTGCAATGCATGAAGTCACATACTTCTGTCTGGTTGATATTGAACTATTAATATGTAAATGTACAATTCATAACCTTATTTAATGCTTTCTTTTAATTTACTGTAGAGTAAAGACAATAATAGTCTCCGATGGCTGAGTAGACGTAGAGTCGTACAGTTTTATAGCTGTATATAGGTGGACAAAATTATGGCACTTCGGCCCGCACGCTGTTGTGTTGACGGGTTCTTCGATGGATGGATAGACGTATGGGTAGTTGTATAGTTGTACGAATATTGGCCTGCTTGGCCCCAGTCAAAGTCCAGGCCGCGCGACAGCAGCAGCACTGCACTGTGTGTACTGTACGTGTGTTGACTGAAGGCAGCTTGCGACTGAACTGTCAGTCCAATGATTTTCTTGTGAAAACTTTCCTTTAGAATATGATAATCAAAATTCAGTAAACATGGCCGAAATAATCACAAAATAAGCTTTGATTTCATACCTCCATTCACGAAAACTATATAAAAATCGCGGCAATCATGATGGAAATAGGTCTCTAAGTTTGAACGTCGACGGGAAGCCCCGTGTATCTCTCTGGCTTGTGCAGCTACTACAAAGCACACCCTATAGAAAGATGCTTTACTCTGGGTAATCCCGACGCTTTGCATTGTGCATTTCATACGCAACATAATGTGAGTTGAGCGTCATCTGTCGTGTGTCTCTTTGATACAAATGTAATGTTGAATATGCATGAGGTATCTCTGTCGTCACATATATCATGCATTATGCATATCGCGACCTCGGGTGGAGTACAGCCAATTCCACAGAGTAGACTCTCCCGTGGACGATGGCACCGGTACCCCGAGGGGAGGGTTCAGGAGGAGATAGCTGCACCAACTTCGGTCAGCGATCTCATTAAAAAACAATAGAATACAAAGGCTCGCGGAGACGTCATGCCCCCCCCCCCCCCCCCCCCCCCCCCCCCGCGGAGTCTTAGCGTATTACTTATAGTGATTAGTGTAGTTTACAGTATCCAATGAACATTTTGAGTTTTTAGCATACTTACTTGCAGTCATCATCCAAAATGTGCATAATGCCTGTAGGTCTCTTCTCAATGAGCAACAGACATCCTGTGTTGTCTATAAATTCTATGTCCTTCCATGCAATGCCTTCTCGCTTGTACTCCTCCTACATTTAAACAATGAACACCACAGAGGCAAGTTAAATCCATGCTCAATAGGGTACATACAAGTATGGTCAACGGAAGAAAACAAACGTCTGAAGGTATTAATGGTGAGGAGTTCATGCTACATGTACATGACTTGTCCTGCTTCTTCCTTTTCCCCCCTTTTCCTTCTTCTTTTATCTGTTTTCCTTTTCGTTTATTATTATTAATATTATCATTTATTTGACCATTCATAAAAAAGCACAAATACAATACAGCATGGCAAGAGACAAGTACATATTAAGAATGAACAAACACATGCACAGAGATATGGGAGCAGCAAGTGGGTCAGGGTGCATAGAAGTGCAGTTCAACACTGCTGCCCGGAGGCATGTGCCCCCACAAATGCTACTACCAGTACATAATTAAACATTATACATACACCCCCTATACATGTATAATATTGCACATGTTAAAAGTGGAAAAAATATACAAAAAACAAAAAACAAATTACTATAAAAAAGATTAGAGGAATTAAGATTGAATATCGGAAAGTTGATTTACAAGTTGATTTAAAATTCCTTGTCTCTTCATGGTTGTTTGTAGTTTTGTAATACGGTACTGTTTTGTGTTTTCCAAGTCTTCATAAGCACAATTTAAAACAATTTTATTTTTTCAAGGGGATCCACAAACTACAAGCACTGCTTTTTAGGGGATCCACCCCCCCCCCCCCAATTTCCTCAGAAATAAAGAATGTCTTGTAAAAAAAAATTATTTTAATAATTTATTTATGTGTACAGTGTATACTTATCAAGATAAAAAAAATGAATATGTACATATATGTTTTCATATTTTCTGTAATAATATCTGTAATGCCTTTGTTTACCTTTCTGTTGGGAATCAAATGAATACGATTTGAAACGAATTGAAAATTGAAACATCATGTAGAGACATTCTTGAATGACTCTGTCGTATAAAACCTTGAAAGAACCACTTCTTTGTTTAAAAATCCCTAAGTTTGGAGTTGGATAGAAAGACAATTTAATAAGTAATAATCAAAATCTTACTTCCAGGTGTCAATATTGTAGTTTATAATAGAAGTGTACCCTTTGGTTTATGTATGGAAATAATAGCATGCAGGGGGCAACTTGATGGTACTTATCTTCCTTAATAATATCTGAACCTGTGTATTAAAAAAAAGTATAGAAAACTTACTGAACCCTTAAGGTCCTTCATCATTTTCTAACGATAAAACTTTAAAAGTCACTGTATAAAATTGTCCTGAGTATTTGCCTTAGACATCATGACTCAGATTTGTAACCAACAAGTTATTTCAACCAATTGTGGTCCTTGCCTGTTCTAGCTTGAAGACATGTTGGTTAAAGTAGTACTGGAGATGCTCGTTGGCAAAGTTGATACAGAACTGTTCAAAGCTGTTCCTCTGAAAGTCCTCAAAGCCAAAGATATCTAGCACACCGATGGAGTTACCCTACAAATCATCACAGATAATAAGAAACAAACACTTTCAATTATTTAAACATATTTGTGGCTTACACCCAGTAAATAAGATCGATTGATCGATCTGTATTGAAAAACAAGTCAGAAACAAGTACTGGGTGTTAAGCTATGGTCACAAATTAGAGCAGCGACCGACCGATCAGTAGCCTGCTCGGTCGCTGCTGGAATTAGGCATCGCCCAGCGATTAGTTCGGTGCCCGGGCGGCGACCGCCCAGGCACCGAGCGTATTTTGGGCGGCGAGTGAAAAGTGGGCAGGCGCCGCCCAAATTTTAACTCCGCGCTAAAACTTCAGCGGCGACCGAGCGATGCCCTAACAACGAGCGGTGACTGGCCGGTCGCCGCTCGGTGGCCGGGCAGCCGCCGGGCAGAATTGGTTAAAAACTCGCCGCTCGGCCGCCGAGCAGGCTACTTTTGGGTAATGTGACCATAGCATAAGCCACAAATATGTTTAAATTATTGAAATTTCACCCAGGAAGCATTACATTTATAAAACACTTTCAAGTAAAGCAAAAAAGATAGGATCCCCTACATTGATTGTCAATATCATATCTGACTTTCCAATTCCATTTGAAGGTCTGTTTGATAATTTTAATCAGTTCCTATAAGTGCGAGAAGTCAGAAGTCAGAAAGAGGAAGTTAATGAATGGATATATCACTTTATGTAATGCATCAAATGCCTTTGAAATAAATTATAACGTATGAATGTATGAAATAGAACATACATCGCTGCATTTATTGAAAAGGTGCAGACAACAGTGCAAAATTAATAAATAAGACTTCTGTTAAAATTTTTTGTTACATCATGTGAATAGTATTAAGTCCTTGTAAACCCACACATATAAGATACCTTACCAATTCAGCAACTGATTGATTCATATTTCCAATTGATTTTCTAATTTGCCTTTGAAGAGATTGACAAGCTTTGACAAACTATCACCATATCCCATCCCTCAAACATCCAATCAGCCATGTTCCCCTTCCCTCTTCTCTACACCAAAAGACATGAACTTACTTGATGTTCACCTTTGACCTCATACTTAGACAGGAGAGCATAGTTGACCTGAAGTACGATCCACTCAAACAATGCACAGTATAAACCCTTCGCTAGTGCATTACGAGTCGCTATGGCCTGAATAAACATATGGAAATAATCATCAAAAGAATGAATTGATGCTTCAATAGATGTAAATGTACATCACAAAGGAAAGGAAATTCTTAAATTCAAAATAACATAAAATCCCATTGAAAAGAAGAAAAAAAGCATGTTGGGAGTCGTACACATACATGTATCACTAAGGTAAAAAGGCACATATTCTAAAAAGATCATTTTTTATTAAAAAATAATGTACAATCCTTTTTTAAATAACACAAAATTATACCTCCTTCATGTGCACTTGGAATTCTGTTTATTCTGCAAAGAACAACTTTCCTAACAATAATTCAACATAAACCACAAATATTAAATAATGGACCAAGCCATCCTATAGTACAAATAACTGTCTTAGAAAATAATATCGCTAGTGACATTCGTTTGTCTCGCAATGTATGGTCAACAACTACAAGAGATCTAAAAGATCATAATGTTTTGTGTGCCGCTGCTTGCATATAGGACATGTTGTACTCTGCACATACCTCAGCCATCCTATATTGCACAAAGAACTGCTCTCCCCTTGCCACAGATTTCCTCTTGGTGAGTGCTAACATCAAAGTCTCTGTCTTTACTTTGAGTAGGTCTGAAACCACCTTCACTGTAGCAATGTTCTTCACTGTCACGTAGTCCTGCTCACTAGCCTTGCGGAAATTGATGTTGCCAATGTGAAGAACAGCAGAGAGCACTGAGAATATTCTATCAAAAAAATGCAGGGGGAGGATAAGGAATGTCATATAGAATATCACATAGGATGCTAGAATGCTGTATTAGTCAATGCAATTTAAATTATAACAGAATTAGATTTGTTGATCAATCAAACACAAATTAATTTTTACTGATATTTTTATATGTAAACATAGAATTCAATGTGGTTTTTAACGTAATTGTTGGCCATAAACACAAGTAAAGGCTTTCATCATAAAAGGAAGACACTGTTTTGTTTCACTGAAATGACAAAAAGATATGACAAAGTGGAGGTACAGACTTTCATTTTCAATCAAAAGTTTCACTGCATCAAATTAACGACTGCCTGCCGGAGTTTGATAGCTCCGTAGTGTATTTAGACACAAGCGGAATCCTATACAAAACTTCAAATCATTTTTTTCATTATTGGGTGCCTTTTTGTTTCAATTGCTTATTTTGTGAAAGTACAGTTTAAAAAGATTGTGTCTTGTAATGTTTACATTGCAAATGATAGACTGTTTGACATTACTAAAGTCAGTGGATTCCTATCCCCGCTTCCCCTCCCCCTCCTACAAGCCAAGTCTGAGCCTCCTTACCTCTTCATAGTCCCTTTAGAAAAGCCCACCATCTTCATACTGACTCTGTTTGAGACGACCAAACTCAAACGGTTCCTCTCACTCTGTCCCAAATCCCTTTCACAAACCCGCGCTGAGCCCTCCTTACCTCTTAACAGTCTCCTTCGAGAAGCCCACCATCTCCATAGACTGCATGAGACAACAAAACTCCTGCAATTCCTCTTCCTGTTCCCCAACCCCCTTCATCAAGCCCAGCCTGAGCACTCCTTACCTCTTAACAGTCTCCTTCGAGAAGCCCACCATCTCCATAGACTGGATGAGACAACAAAACTCCTGCAATTCCTCTCCCTGTTCCCCAACCCCCTTCATCAAGCCCAGCCTGAGCACTCCTTACCTCTTAACAGTCTCCTTCGAGAAGCCCACCATCGCCATAGACCGCATGAGACAACAAAACTCCTGGATTCCTCTCCCTGTTCCCCAACCCCCTTCATCAAGCCCAGCCTGAGCCCTCCTTACCTCTTAACAGTCTCCTTCGAGAAGCCCACCATCTCCATAGACTGGATGAGACAACAAAACTCCTGCAATTCCTCTCCCTGTTCCCCAACCCCCTTCATCAAGCCCAGCCTGAGCCCTCCTTACCTCTTAACAGTCTCCTTCGAGAAGCCCACAATCTCCATAGACCGCATGAGACAACAAAACTCCTGCAATTCCTCTCCCTGTTCCCCAACCCCCTTCATCAAGCCCAGCCTGAGCCCTCCTTACCTCTTAACAGTCTCCTTCGAGAAGCCCACCATCTCCATAGACTGGATGAGACAACAAAACTCCTGCAATTCCTCTCCCTGTTCCCCAACCCCCTTCATCAAGCCCAGCCTGAGCACTCCTTACCTCTTAACAGTCTCCTTAGAAAAACCCACAATCTTCATACTGACTCTGTTTGAGACGACCAAACTCAAACGATTCCTCTCACTCTGTCCCAAATCCCTTTCACAAACCCGCGCTGAGCCCTCCTTACCTCTTAACAGTCTCCTTCGAGAAGCCCACCATCTCCATAGACTGCTTGAGACGACCAAACTCATATGATTCATCCACTCCTTCTTGACTGTAACAGTTACTCTGAAAAAAACATAAAATAAAAAGAAAGACCCTAATGTATTCATTCTGGCTTATATTCTTGAAACAACATAGAGTTGGTGCATGCAAGACGTGTTTCTGTGGAGCTCCGTTTTTAGACATTTTTAACATAGCTTTTTAATCAAATTATTTTGTTATTTTTAAGTATTCCACGTTTTATTGGAGTTTACAATCGTTGGAGTGATTGTGGAATACATTTTCATGACTTTTCATGACGAAATAAAGCTTTTACAGCGTTGGATTTTTAAGTCGTCGCGGTCGCCTACTGAGCGGTACGTCGCCTAGTGAGCAAGTAGCGGGTACGGCGTTAATTCATCGGCAGACTTCAGCGAGACTGGGCGACGGGGTTCCGCCCATAGTCATACCGCACGGCAACTTGGACAATCTTTGTGTGCAATTTTTTACATTAATTCTTAGCCATCCGTTTTAAATCGTGCATGGATCAAGGTAGTGAAGTAGTTTTTAGACTTTTCGTGTATTTTTAACTTGTGATTGGAGACATTTTGGCACGATTTTATCAACTTTCGATTTGGCGGGAAAACGGCGGCCATCTTGGATTTTCAGCTTGAGGTTACCGAGTGAGATAGCTTACTACTAGAAACGTGATCAAGAGCCTACCATTGATGATTTCAATTGGAGATTAGCACTGGAGACAAGACATCTTAAAGGGAAGTAAACTCTAGACTTTCTTATATTACTTCTACCTGTTTAGACTAGGTCTAGGCCTAGAACTTTATATCATCATGATGAACACTATTTTGATAACAAGTGTAAACCTTCTGTTTTGTTGCCTTGTCCTGAAACAGACAACTACATGTACTACTGCAAAGAAGATTGAATTCTCTTCTCCATATGGAAACCAATTGGGCAATGGGTTTTCATACTCGATTCAGAGAGAAGACTGTACGTCAAATCCTGCAATTTATTTCAAGGTCTCTAGGATCTTGTCTCGTCCAACTTTCCTCAATATTGAATTAAGACCAAACAAATACATTGGATTTTGTCTCATCCTACTACTGTCTGGTGACGTGAGCCTGAACCTAGGCCCTCGTAGAGTGGATTTAAGCCTGTCTAAGTGTGAAGCTTGTAAGACTCTTGTGAGGAAAAATCGTAGACAAGTAAAGTGCTCGGATTGTGAGGATACTTATCACGCAACATGTGCAAACATTAGTTCGAAAGAGTATAATAATGTGGTGAAACATAAACTGATATGGTACTGCCCCGCATGTAAACCTGAACCTTGTGGCATGTGTGAGGAGCTAGTTACAAGGCATCAGAAAGGAGTGGAATGTGACAGATGTTTAAAGTGGGTCCATGCTTCTTGTGGAGGGGTGAATGATGCGGAGTACTCCAATTTGGAAGGGAAAAACTGTACCTGGGTGTGCCCTATGTGTGACTTTATGAACTTTTCAGATACTCTGTTTAATACTTCCATAGATAGTACTTCTAGTAATCAATTTTCTGTTCTGAATGACAATGATGAGGGAAACACCAGTTACACTTCTGATTCCCAAGTTCCATCTCAAAATCAGAATCCTAAAAGGACATCAAAGAAAAATACAAAGAAATGTAAGAACAGCAGGGATTCATTGCGAATTATGATGGTCAACTATCAAAGCATCAGAAATAAGACGGCTGACACAAAAGTACTGATAGATGAATACGATCCAGATATAGTGCAAGGTGTAGAGACATGGCTCTCAGAGGATATAAGTAGTGCCGAGGTTTTTTCCGACTCTTATGATGTTTTCAGGAAGGATCGGCAAGTAGGAATACATGGCGGAATACTAGTGGCATGTAAGAAAGATCTCATTCTGACAAGGAAGGAAGAGTTTGAGGTGGAATCTGAACTTCTGTGGAGCCAGCTTGAATTAAAGGGGCGCCACTCACTATTGATTGGCACTGCCTACAAACCCAGGCATGATGACAAAAATTTTGTTAGCGAGCTTGAAAATTCCCTTCGAAAAATCAGCAGAAAAGGGAGAGAAACCACCATCACTTAATAGAAATCCCCTTTGCCAGAAAGGACGTATACAAATACTCCTTTTTTCCAAGAACTGGACGAGCATGGAATACCCACGACCAGCAGTCTGTAATACATGTAGCTACATCAGTTGATAATTTCAGAAACACACTCTAGCATGCATCACCTGCCATACAAGTTAGCGACATGCGGAATACCGCCCTGCTGACTCCAATTTCAGAAGGTTCAGAAGGTTACTACTTTGAGCTCTGATGTTGCAAAGTAAATTACTTCACAATATGTCCATATAAAAGAATGGTATATAGATTAATGATTTTGAGTTAATGAGCAATCAGTTAACCTGGAAATGTATGTTAATGACCGAACATTTTATCTCTATGAGTGAGCTTTACTTATTTAATGCCTAATTGCCCCTGGTAGCTGAAAAAGTGGTCAAACCTTTGTTGCCCTTTGCATCAGCTGGCAAACCTCTGCTCTAATACCCTATGCTTGCGCATATACTTCCTCTTTTTTGAAGAGGGCATGCAGGTCAGATCCGCAGAGTGGGGTAGGTAGGAGGGGCTCATAGGTAAGTAAAGTCCATTCATAGATAAAACGTTCAGTCACAAACATAAGCATCTACTTTATTTCGCTTCGCTTACCTGTACTTATTCCAAAAATAAGAAAGTGCTATTCACCCTCTTACATTCCATCACAGATGAGAGTTTCTTTAAAATGTGTCCTTTAAAGTAGGTCTACATTAAAGCTACCAAAGGTCAATATCCCCTAATGACATCAACTACATGTATGTTGACTTTATATTCTATTTTCATAAATGTTAATTTACACTGCATTTTATATTAAAGCCTCTTCTATATTTTCATCTTTCTTTCTTTCTTCCACATTAAATCCCCTTTAAGACCCAACGCTTAATTTGTTGGGTCTATCTGATCCCCCATGTCATGACAATTTGATCCCAGGAAGCGCATGATTAGACGCTAATGCACTGAAGAAAAATTAGCCCTGTTAAAAGAGTCTCTTTCAATCCCTTATGTGAGGGATTAAGGCTATGTTATCTCTCACTCTCAGCTCATGTCCAAAAAAAGACACCTTGGATGATGTGGTCAGATAGGCTGACCTGTCACTCTCCTTCACTCTTAGAGGAGAGAGAGAGAGAAAGAAAGAGAGGTAACGAACAGGCGATTGTTTTTCACATACACTATTGTGTACTTCACAGTTCTTGAATAGCATATCTGCTGAAATAGAGTGCAAACAGAAAAAAACTGTATTCACCACAGTATTTTGTTCTTTCTTACAGCGGTTCAAGACTAGATCAACGCTATGTGGTGGCTTGACACCAAAATGCAGGTCTGTAATCTGTAATAAAATGGATTTTTTTTTTTTTTTTTTTTTTTTTTTTTTTTTTTTTTTTTTTTTTTTTACCACCAAACTGGAAATTGTTATGTTCATCAAAAGGAACTTCATCAGGTTTCAGTTCTTGCACAAACTGGAATAATATATCACAAATTATTGCTTGATTTCATTCCAGTATCCAATTTTTTAAAGAATATGCCCATTTGCACAACAATGTAAACACATTATGAAATAAAAATTCAAAGGAAATTACCCACTTCTGTTCTGCTGTGCATGGCTGTGATAGTGTTTCTGATCAACTGATTAATTAGCTTTTAACCAGCATGGATGTAGAATTGTAGATGACTTCTTGTATTGCCTATAAAATCACTATGACAAGGTCAGGTTCAGTTTGAGCTCAGTTACCTTGCTATTCCTAGAAATCATGCTTTACTGGAGGTGTGAATTAAATGTAGATCTCATCTTTATCTCAATTGTAACTAAAAAGGATAGTTCAGTATACATGTAAAACCTTTATATTCTATTCATACCGCATAGTGTGTTTTCACCCTATCTGTAATATTAGGCTTCCTGATCATTGTGAACTTTCTAGAGGGAGTTTAGGGTGTGTTTATGCTTAATTTTGAAGGCAGAATTAGCGTTTTGAAACGCTCATCGTAAACCACGGGGTACTGCTTATGATTCTCTTATCCAGGCGAATTCGGGCTCTGTATCTGGATTTGCAAACCTGCACTGCGCATGCTACGTTGACCCCGGGAGGGCAGGTCAAGCTTGGGCACGCGCTTTTTCGAAACTCCTTCAATTTATCTTGTATTTAGGGTTCGGATTAAGCGAGGAGAAGGGCCCTCAGTTCCTCTTCGCTGTACTTTGATATCATGACACTCATTTCAACACACTGATATAACTATGGAAGAAGTACTTAGTATTAAGTTAACAGGTTACAAATGATCTTGCTTGGATGACTCTGCTTGTACCTGTTTATGCGCATTCCTTGAGAAGAAAAAAAATGTAATACCGGTATATATATAGTGTGCACTAAATAAGGCTGTGCACAACAGTGTAATGAGGTACCCGAGTACATTCCCAGGCTTACAAGCGAATACTTGAATATTAGAACGCCATGTTTTTTTATAATTTTTTTGAAATTTTGTTGGATTTTTTGATTTTTTTGATTTTTTTGATTTTTTTGCCACCACCATACCACTGGTGCAGTATCCCAGTATCGCCGAAAACACATGCAATTTTACTTCGAGTTACAGTTGAAGGCGCCGATCTAATAATAATAATAACAGTAAACAATGCTGTTTTAAAAACCAAGGATGGCACAATAATCCATTGTCCTCCGAGTCCAAACAGAAATCCGGACATTTGGTCCCAGTTTCTGAGTGGTGAGTTTGACAGTGTTCGAGTTGGGAAACATTTTTACCGACGGTACCATGCCAACAGCCGCCGCTCTCCCTGGCACGGGTAAGCGTCAGCCTGGACAGTTTTTTTTTTTTTTTTTTTTTTTTTTCCGGCCGAATATTCGGATACGAGAAATCGTACCCGAGTAGTTGTCAACCGTGCGGGTACTCGAGCATTCGACAACCCGTCGCAGCCTTAGTGTGCACCATATTAGTGGCGCCCGGAAACAAGATTATTATGACGTCATTTAAATGCGTTTTCAAATGATTGTGCGTTAGTCTTCCCCAGAAGAGAAACGCCGATCCACAACGCACTTTTGTGTGAGTTTACGATCAGCGTTTACGATAAACGTTTACACGAAAATGAGAAAGGATGCAAACATGTTTTGAACTAAACACATAACAAAAGCCTCATTCTGGCCTTCAAAAAGTTGAGCATTAACGCACCCTTAGGTGGATTGGGCATGAAATACCTATTATGGGAACACTTTTTTTTTTGGATAAGGACTGCCTTTTCTAATGCCAAAAATGAACCTCATCATTGGCAGTTCTTCAGATTTCACCTTTTATAGTTTTATTAATTCATTCATTTCTATTTTTTTTTCATACAGGGTAATTGTACTTCACCATATGCTTTTTTTAAGTGCCCTGAACTTCACCTGATCTTTTTTCAATTCTATTTGCAAATTTGAGGACACCATCAATCCCGACTTAATGGACAACTATATTTTCCGACATTAATCACAGTGATGTATCACAATTTTCAAGTAAATTAAATGGTGGATCACTACAATGAATGTATGAAAACACTCTTACACATACAAGTAACAAAGACATGTCAGACAGTTTGATGTGTCGAGGGCAAGAGTATGTAGTAGTATAGTATTAATGACTGCTTTGACAGAAATAGTTGTTTTTATACGCTCAAGGGAAGGTTACAATTGTGCTATTGCCCGAGGCGTGCCGAGGGCAATAGCCCAATTGTAACCTTCCCGAGAGCCTATAAAAACAACTATTTCTCGAATATTATAGCAGTCATTAATACTTTTATATGCCAAAAAAAAAGAGTCAACTTATGACACCACCTTGGCCTTTATCTGCACGGTTGTTTTTTATGAGTGTATCTTTGAGAGTAGACTTTTTTTTTTTTTTTTTTTGTCGAAGATGGGATTCGATCTCTTACGTAATAACGATGATGTGACTAAAATCACCACCGTAGACCGCTCGGCCATCGCACACTGATACCATATTAAGCAGTTTTCTCTGATTTATACATTAAAATAGATTGGAAAGGGCTTCGCGTGCTGGATGCTTCGCAGCAGCTCCATTTAACGGGCCCTTCTTTTACTTTTGCAATGCATTGGCACGAACTTAGATCAAGATCTATCGGCAGATGTTGTTTTTGGAAGTTTATTTTCGTCTTCATGTCAACAATGCAAGATAAAATTGTCGGTAAGATCGATCGAGATTCAATTGTATTGAAATTACTGACCAATTCTTCGCACACGTACGGTATCCGCAGTCGCTCAAACCATTTTTTAACATGTAAACCTATGGGTATTTCACCAAGACTGAACTATTTTCCTGGTAACCATGGTTACTGGGATTTTAGAACTATTTTTTAGAACTATTACATGGGTTCGGAATTTTATCGGGAATTTTACAGGAATAGTTAAAGTTTATGAATACAATTTCGACCAATCAGATGGCTGGATTTTTTAAGTGAGGTATATAACATAAAATAATAACATACACTCTCTATACCTATGATTGTGTTCATTGGCATGTGCAAAAACTCCTTACGGTACACATGGGACCACAATCTCAGGCATCAGTATTACATCAATTAGTTTTCTTTTTTGTATAGCTAGTGCATTTGTTGCTTCATAGTTTTTCAATACACGGATGATGATAATCATACAATCATTTAATATGCTAAAAAGTAGTAACCACTCAATTCAAAAAGCATAGTAAATTATGTTATCCTTATACTGAGAATAGTATCTTCACTAGCAGGACCCGTGGAAAATCCACGGGATTCTAGGGGAGGGGGCCAAATAGATAGATAGAGGCCTATGTGCTATCCCAAAAAAATTTAGATTATCTTTATATAGAGAATTTTTATAATATATGCTGTTTGACCATGAATGGCGCATCGTAAAACAAACTATGTCAGATAGGATCTCGATAATTACTATTTATTTGCATTATTATTGTTGTGATTTCAATGTAGTTTCATGAAAAGACTACATATGCAGAGGCTTGGATTATGATTATGTTGGCATTGTTCACAAAATGTGTATAATTATTTTCAAAGTAAAGATTTTACGCGAAAAATCGGACGGTTTGTGCACAAATTGACTCGACTGTGTGTGGGACTGTGAGCGTAGAATCCAGTGAAAGAATTTTTTTTCGGGGACTCGATCTATATCAAATTTTGGGAAAATTTTTGGGGGCTACTTTTTTTTATCTTTCGGGGGTCATTTTTCTTGGGCTAATTTTTCATTAATTCATTTAAAGATGCAGTTTGTTTAGTTTAGTAGCGTAGTGTTACGTAAAAAAAGGCGTACTTTCTGCGTCAAGTTTCTACGCCGAAAGTACGCGAATTTTGTTAAACATATTAAATTGTTTGCGTCCATCTTGCGTTCTTTTTTGCGTCCCTCAGGGTATAGTAACGTAGGCCAGCGTACTCTCAGTTCAGCGTAGTTGGTACGCAACTCTACTATGGACCCCACGCCAATTAGTGATTGACCTGCCAGTGTCACAAATAAGGCATTAAAGATATGCTCATCTGACCGTAATTAAATGCCTAAAACCCCTGAGCTTTCGGGGGTTCAGCCCTTTGTACCCGTGGACACCACGCCTGCACTCAAATCGCTTTGAGTTACCTGACCCCCCCCCCCCCCCCATACTTTAAAAATTGATTTGATGCAAGAACTGTATCATACTAAAAGTATTATCATGTTTTTAAACGACCATGACGACCGTCTGATTTTCTTGTGAAAAATGATTATCGAAATTCAGTATACAACTATACATGGCCAGAATAATCACAATCCAAGCCCAGGTTTCATACATCTATTCACGAAACTATATTGAAATCGGGGCAATAATAGCAATTTCAAAGTGTTGTTTAGACTCTCCTCACACCCACGGACAGACCTGGCTACTCCAGTCACCGCTACTCCATGCTCACACACTCAGCTCCGACAGCACCGCCGACAGCACCGCCGACAGCGGCGCTCAGCTGCCGTGGCAATACACTGTGGACTCAAGGCAGTTTGCAACTGAACTGTCACATGAAGGCGTACTATCACAGATCTATTTGCGCTATTCTTGTTGTGATTTCGATGTAGTTTTCATGAAAAGACCAATAAAACAGAAGCTTGGACTATGATTATGTTGGCATAGATCACAGAATTTGTATAATTATTTTCAGAGTAAAGATTTTACGTGAAAATAGGTCCATGGTTTGCGCCAGTTGTCGCAATCGCCTCGACTCGAATCGACTGTGGTGTGTGCATGTGTGTGACCTGAGAGAGTGTAATACACGTACACTGTGGGCGCCTGGCCTACAAAGCATATCCTATAGTAAGACGCATAACACGGGTAAGCTCAACCCGTTGAGCGTACATATTGGCTACATCCCATCACTCAGGTGAGTCGTCTGTTGATGTGTATTTCTCTTACATGCTTCAAAGCAAATCCTATAGCAAGAGGTCTTACTCTGGATACGCCGCAGCCTTTTACAATAAGACTTGCTACACCCGTTGACGCGAGTGGATTCTCGTCTATCGTGTGTCTCTTCGTCTCTCTTTGATAATTAGACAGAGGGCGGGTGCACGCCTTGCGGACTCGCTCTCGCGGGTTCGTCGCCTCCTCGCAATCCACGACGCCCGCCGTGCTCTCGTCCGCCCGTCCTCCCCGGCACCCCGAAACCGCGTTTAACGGCGTGGACGTCGATCGCGGGGTCGAGGAGGCACGCGGGTTACGGGAGACAGGCCTCGTGGAATTGTGCCGCCCTCCCCGCGCCACGGCGGAGGCGGGCGGGGTCGGGGAAAGACGTTTTTGAGGAACCGTTTTGGCCCGTGTTGGACCCCCCGCGGCGATTTTGCGTATTAGTAATATAGATGAACACAATGGGAAAATGACGTAATGCTCCAAAGTGAATGTCATGTTTCTCGTCCAATCAGTGTATATTAATCAGCATGTAGGCGGGTTTCCATTCCAGAAGATTTTTAGGGAACTGGCAAATTCGACTGAACTGTTTGCGAGGGTAAAAATAAATGATAGGACTGTCTTCGTTTTAGCATTGAGGGTGGGGGGGGGGGGGGGTTCTCACCTGATTGGGCGCGCGATTGGGATACAAAAACAGTCCACACAGTAGACTACAGCATGTTCCCTTAAAGGTAATGCAAAGTTTTGGGAAATTTGGAATATTGGATGGATAGTAATTCTTTACAATTTTGATATATTTGGATGGCCCTGTGGATGTATTATAAGCACTAGAAAATGCAGCCCCTAAAACAGTTCTGCTTTCGAGAAATTGAATAATCAAAAATTTCCTGGTGCTCCTGATAAATTTCATGGTAGCTTCGACCGACCATGAAAATCTCAGAATATGCAGTTCTGAAATATAATTTCCAAACAGGAATAGCAAATCGGTTGAAAGTAGTCAAGAAAAATTGTTTTAGAGATAAAGTAATATCAGTCTTGAGAGGGCGTTATACAATTTCATCACTTTAAACTCTATTTCCACCGCGACAACGATCATTGAAATATTGTAAAATCGCGTGCTTGCAATATGTTCATCTGAACCAAATTCATGACCCCATACCCAAACTTTGTATTACCTTTAAACAGCTCTTCTGTCTTCATAAAAGTGGACTTCGCACAAGTACATGTACATCTATTCATCTTCCAGAATCCCTTTATCTCCTTTTTTCTTGCATAGTATAAATGGTAGGGCAAGATCATATGTAATTAATCTAATGAAGGTAATGTTGATGATATTCATTGAATACATCAATATTTCAAAACTTTGAACTTGAAATTCTCCAAGACAAGTTTTCTTATTATGATCTTACCTGGTTAAGATAGAAGTATTCCTGTGGTTTATCCAACCAGAATGCTTGTTTCTCTGCATCACTAGCACCTTTGAGTAAGTAATAGAAGACATGGTAGTTACGCTCATTGGCCGCCTGCGACACAATGCGTGATTTCTCCAGCAAGTACTGCTCAACAATGGCACTGGATGGTGAAAACAAACACACAAAACAAAAACAAATCATTGCTCTGTAGATAGACTATCAATTGAACATTCTTACTTCTAATGCACCGAATAGTAAATGTGACCAAATCAAACAAATATTTCTATTAATGTGAAAAAACGTAGGAAGAAAATCAAGATTAGAAAAATCTATGCTTCCTGTTGGGGTGACCAAATATGGAACTAAAAGCTTATCTGATCAAATGGAAGCTTGGCAAAAAGTCAATGTGTCTGTAGAAGTCAAATAACATTTTATAAAATTCATAAAATGGGGGCAAAATGTACTAATTTAATTCTGATATATGTCACATTTGTGATATACTCCTCCTGTTCCATTCATGCATACAATATCACATAAACACATGGTAATTCATGTATTCAAGTATTCATGTACCATGGTCCATAAATTATACAGGGCTCAACACTATCCCGTGCCCAGTACACCTGGGTGCCTAATGTCTAACTCCTGACTCATTCCCCCCCCCCCCCCCCTCTAATTTATATATACGACTGAAGCATACACACTCAAAAGTTCAATCTGCACTCCCTTCTAAAAACAGATTAGTGGGGAACCCTGCATTGTACATGATGATCTCACATTAAAAGTTAATTTACACATGTTAAATAACATTCAAAGTCAATATATAATCACATGATAAATGTCATTTTAATACGTTCTCTTAATAAAGCATGTTTGGTAATGTGCCAAGAAAAATATAAATGTAGATATTTGGGCACAATGTCAGCATATTAGTAATCAACGAGACAATACTATCATTGTCTTAGCATTTTTGGCATGACAGAGAATCAAGAGGCTTTACATGTAATTAATAGACAGATATTTCAATTCTTCTTTCCTCAAAATTCAATTTATTGAAAGGAAGTCATGTGGCATCCCAATAACGACTACTGCTGCATCACAATTCTCAATACTACAAGTGTATGTACACATTAAGTGTGTTCAAATTAGTCTCAGATTGGCAACTACAAATAATTCTGACCTAATGATACACAAAGAAAAGAGAGAATGCTCAGAGAATAGGCATTCAAACGCAAATACTTATGTTTTTATAGTTTTACTTGCACATAATTTCTAGACAATACAAGTAAATATTTACGAGCCATATTCCTTGCAATATATATATATATAATAATAAACGAGAAATATAAATGCTGTAAATCATTAAAATCAATACATACATTCATTCATGAATTGAAACATGTAAAGATGAACTTACAAATAAAAACAAATAAAAAATTACATTTGAGTATACACTGGATTACTGATATAAACAAATCTAATGAATATAGCCATAGGGCATGCTCATAAACAGAGAAGGATGTAAATGTAATGTAGTGACAATTAAAAAAGAAAGAGAAAATATGATTAGACCTGAATCAAAGTGCATGCATGATCATGATGACAGAAATTTGTTTACAAATCGCTTAATGTAGTGTACATGTATTGTAAACAGGTTCAGGTTAAAATCTTCTTTTTGGGGGGAGGGGGAGGAGGGGGAGGAGGGGGAGGGGGGAGGGGGAGGGAGGGGGGAGGGGGAGGGGAGGAGGGGGAGGAGGAGGGGGAGGGGGAGGGGAGGAGGAGGAGGGGGGGGGCTTTCTAAAAGGCTTAAACAAGATGAATCTTAGAAGCTGCATAAAACACATCTACAAGTACAAAATTGTCTGATTCATAGATTCAAATGATGTACATGCACATGCACGTCTGCAGTTTTGATACAATACTGTACAATTGTTGTCTCCTGTAATTTTCTACACCATTTGTCTAAGTACCCTTTACAATGGAGTGTTTACAAGATTTATTCAGATTGGCATTTCCCATCCTCTTTAAAGCGAGCGATCAATTAATCAATAAAGTTTGTTGAGCTACTGACTACTCTGTGCTATGAATCAGACTGTCCATACTAGCAGACTAATCCTTAATCAACTAAACAGCGATGAAAATATACACTGTACCACATATCTGTATTGATTTATGGTAGAATGGGATAGTATCAGAGAGAGTAGTTTTGTCAGATATGTTCTATGAAGACTCTTCTTCATTTAGGTATTCACTATTGATTAGTATGTATAATAGTTGCATCTAAAAACCGGTATACCTTGAATAACCTTTCAAGCTTTCCCTGGCCCTGCTCACATGTAAAATTCAAAAGTGTGAAATTTATGCAGAGAAACATGTACTCTTCTAAAACTGACAGCATTTGACAACCATAGCTTTCTATCATTCTATCTCATCTTCTCTGGCCCTCTAATAAACTCCTCCTCCTTTCACTTCTTCCTCAATAGTATACTTCTTCAGCTGCTTCTTTTTCAAATCTACTTCATGATTTTTCTCTATTTCCATGATCTAATTGTATTTCTTTTTTAAAAAATCAGTTGTTTTCTCCTCCATTGTCATCTTGTTCTTCACAGACCTGTCGGCTCTTTCTTATTTTGACATTTATCTGAAATATTGTTAACACAAAGTTTCCTGATATATCCAACCAAAATCTATACCTTAATTAAAACAAGGGAAACGCTCTCGGCGGTCTCGCCTGCATTACGCAATTCGATATGATGAAAAATTGAGGTTGAAACATTATTTATAGGCAGGGTGGCCCATTAGCAGGCCCCCAAAAATGAAATCCTCTGAATATAGTCAGCATTTTGAAGTGAATATTGACCAAGAATCATCAGAAGAATATTTATTATATACCTCACTTAAGAAATCCAGCCATCTGATTGGTCGAATTGCATTCATAAACTTCAACTGTTCCTGTAAAATTCTCGGTAACCATGCATAAAACATTTCAATATTTTTAATAACCATGGTTATTAAAAACAGTTGGTCAGCCTCCATGGTTACCCCATAGGTTTACATGTTAAAAAATGGTTTGAGCGATGGAGGATGCCGTATGTGTGCGAAGGATTGGTCGGTAATTTCAATACAATTGAATCTCGATCGATCTTACCGACAATTTTATCTTGCATTGTTGACATGAAGACGAAAATAAACTTCCAAAAACAAAAAAACAACATCTGCCGATAGATCTTGATCTAAGTTCGTGCCAATATGCATTGCAAAAGTAAAAGAAGAGTCCGTATATGGAGCTTTTGCGAAGCATTCATCACACGCGAAGCCGGTTTCAATCCATTTTAATGTATATATTGGAGAAAACTGCCAGGCATTTTAACGGCGGGCCATAGCCGAGTGGTCTAAGCGTTGGTTTTCGGTACACCTCTTGTTGTACGCAAGGGTTCGAATCCCGTCTTCGACAAAATGATAAATATTTTTAATTTTTCATTTTTTAGTCTATTTTTTTTCGGCATATAAAAGTATTAATGACTGCTTTAATATTCGAGAAATAGTTGTTTTCATACGCTCTCGGGAAGGTTACAATTGGGCTATTCCCCTCGGCAAGCCTCGGGGAATAGCACAATTCTAACCTTCCCTTGAGCGTAATAAAACAACTATTTCTCTCAAAGCAGTCATTAATACTATACTATTAACTATACCAGGATCGATAACTTGAATGAAATATGAACAAATTAATTTTTTTTAAATGATTTATTAATTCTCATATTAAGTTGTGAAAACATAATTCAAGTCTACTGACCTAAAATGACCTTTGACCTTTTGACCTGGAATTTGTGTCATATGATTGTGATACTTGATAACCCTTGGGTACAAATTTCATGGAATTTGAACAAACAATCTTGAAAATATGCTAAAAATGACTTTTGACCTTTACTTAGTGACCTGAAATTCTATTCACATGATTGGGGATACTTGATAACCATATAGTCCAAGTTTCATTGACTAAGAACTTATACTTTAACAATTATATCAAAAATTCAAAAACTTAACCTTAGGTTAAGTTCTTTGATGATGATGCCACGACATAGTCCAAGTCTGTTGACCTGAAATGAACTTTGACCTTGACTTTGTGACCTGAAATTCTACTCACATAATTGGGGATACTTGATAACCCTATAGTCCAAGTTTCATTGACTAAGAACTTATGCTGTAAAATTATATCAAAAATTCAAAAACTTAACCTTAGGTTAAGTTTTTGATGTTGACGCCGTCGTAGTCGCCGCCACCGCTGTCACCGAAAAAGGGGCGCCTATGTCTCGCTTTTTGCTACGCAGGCGAGACAAAAACTTACTGGTTTTTTTTCAGAGCGCCAGCATGTATTTCAACATCATTGAGGCAGCAAAACTTTTGATACTCTCTCTACAAAAACATGCATTTAGATTTTATCCATTGAGCGCCAAAAGGGCATTCACCTTTAATATACAAAATGATAAACACCCTCCTGGCTCCAATAGGTCTGCCTTCACCAGCTCGAGTTGGCCCAATAGCCTGCTATTTTGTGATCCGGGAAATTAGCCCGAAGTTACAAATCAAGTCTTCATCAGCTCAAAACTAGAGCTCGATGGAATTTGCTCAGTGTTCCTGCATAGTGCGAGTCTTCGGACTGGTGAAGACGGACCACAAATAGGGGGCTATTTTGCAAACTAGCCCAAGATATCTCTCGAGGAAATTTCCCGAGCAAATAGCCCGCTATTTGCATCTTCCCCTGCCAAATAAGCTGCTATTTCATGAGTGGGTTAATTTCCCAGATCAGATATAGCGGGCTATTTGACCAACTCAAACTGATGAAGGCAGGTCTAATTATATTTTATTATAATTGGAGCAAGGTCCTTTCCTGCGCTACTTGATGCAAGCGTAATCATGTTAAGCTAATACGGTAAATGGTATTATTAAGAAGATGATAGGAATTTACCTAACCACATGTATCAATCATTGTCGGACTTGTTTACTGTAAGGTTTAGATTAACACAATTAATGAAAGCATTGTGTGACTTTGTAAGGCAAACTCAATCAATCACTTCGACAGCAAACCTTTATTCCATGCAATCAAATCAAACATTCTTGAGTCTTGACTTCAGATTTGACATGGATTGAATGTTAAATAAA